ATTCATTTTTCATTTTTGTCGTATAATATGGTTTTTGACTGTCCGCGGGCACACATTTTTCCTAGAAGCAATAACGATCCAATGTCGTTTCTTTAATTTTGTTTATTTGGCTATGGTATATAATATATTTAAATTATGTAATTGTTTTGCCTTGTTTTTAATGCTATTTATTTTATTGATACTTTTAAATAAGAAGGCTAAAAAAATGTTTAAGTGCATATTATGGGGTTTTTAAGTGCATAAGTGCTTGCATATTTAGAGCTTTTTTAGAGCTACAAGTCCTCTGCCCTACTTATCATCTGAAGATTATAAAAATATAAGTTTTGACAATATTGATCCTAATAATTTATTTCTACTTTTAGTCATTATGTTACTGATCTTACTAAACAATCTTTCTGATGGTACCTACTTATGTTGCTGATATAAAAATATATTGTCTGGCTAATTTATATAGATTAGGAAAAGCTCCTTTGATATTTTCCCATTCAATAATCGGATCTCCTTTGAGTTCAATAACCGATTTATCTAAATAAGAATGTATATAAGAAGGGATTTTAAAAAAATATTGGAACCAGAAAATACGGTAATTCAGAGTATCACCAAAATTACTATGCTGATTCATTTGAGCTTTCGTTTTATTTGTTTTATAACCACCAACAATTACACCAAACTTGGCTTTAAATAGTGTAAAGTAATAATCCATTAAAACTTGTTACGGCCAAGAATGTTCCGTTTACTAGTAATTTATAACCAGTGTTCGAATTGAGAAAAATTAAGTAGAGGAGCTCAGTCCAAAGATTTGAAAACTGCGTTCTACGTGCGCAATTATTTAACACATGTCCGTGGGGGGGCTTCGTCCCCCCCTTCGTCAACCTTACATATATTTTGAATACCACTTTTTAGCTAAAAAAAATTCCAAATATAAAATATTTTGATAGCAATACCAACATCCTTCATGTTACAATAGAAAATAAAAATAAAATAATAATAAACATAATTGTAGACGATCAGGCAGTTTCATGAATCGAATGATATAATCATATATTTGGTTTTGTTTTTAACTATTTTTACTCTTTGGTGCGGGCCACGGCCTTAGAAGATTAGTCTATGGTCGTTGTGCGGACATTTATTTTTTTTCCGAAATGACGATATCGCCGATCGCCAATATTAATAACAAACCGTACAATGTATAAAGTATAATACACCAAATTCACAGACATTGCTATTTATATTTTTTCAGAAATGACGGCGTTTTCCCTTATCATAAACACCATATAATCTTTAATTATGAAAATAGTTTTTATATTATAAATCATAAAATCCGTTTTCAAACTGACGTAAATTGAAATTCACATAAAAATTATTTTGGACATCAATTAGGATGAACGTCCCCCCGTTTCAGTGAAAAAATATATTCGGGTACGCAAAAAAAAAAAATAGTAGAGGTGCTCCGTCCCCCTGCGCACCCCTCCAATTAGAGCATTCCTTATAACCAATAGGCCAAAAATAACAATCACAGCGAGTCGCGAATATACGGATACGCTTTCCCGGGATATTAAGAAAAAAGTCTCCAAATTAATATTTGATTTAAATTCAGTCCTTTATGCACAAACAAAATAAAATTTACAATAACATATAATATAATTATATAATATTATTTAAAAATATATTGATTCAGATACAAAAGATATGTAAAATATGTCTAATAATATTATTAAAAAAAATAAGAGTGCGATTATTCAGATATAAAAGATCTCTTTCTTATATTTTGACCTATTTGCTTTAAAAAATTAGGAATATCTCCAGATTTGTCTTCATCAAAACGCTTACATAAAATGTTCTATCGAACTTCAATTTTTTTACCAGCTTTTATTTTTTTCCGATTAATTTCTCCTACTTCAGCCAATGTCATTCTTGCCTTGTCCGTTCCGACTTCTTGAAGCATTTTTGTAAGTAATTTCCAATTACTGGATGTTTAATGCCGACGAGATGGGAAAACCTATTGTTCCAGCCAGTGGCATAGCTAGGATTTTCTGAAGGGGGGTGTTAATTATAATTATTAAATATTATATATAATACATACAAACTAAAACTTTTATTTTAATTAATTAATATGTATGCATAATGTCTGTAATAGAGATGTAATGTATATTCGAATTCGGATAGCTTTACCATAAATTATTCGAATATTTGACTATTCGAATATCAGTATTCGATGCTACAATACCTATTATTATTAAACGTTTTGTATTACACGAAAACGTAAATGAATAATTTTTGTCACGTATTGTCGCAATCGCGATAATGTTTACCTGTATATATGTAATTAGTATTGTGCATTATTTTATATTTCATATTGTATTATCGATTTACCTATATTCCTATAATAATATAATATATAATACGACTCAAGGGGGATGTCATATCTACTAAACACCCCCCTTGTATACGCCACTGGTTCTAGCCCTATATGGTACTGTGTATAACTGTCAAACTATAAATTATATCAATTATTGTGTGGGAATTATAAATAAACTAGTGTGAACGGTGTACTGTTATTATTAACAGTTATTATCGGTGATTATTAACAATTATCGAAGATTATCAGCGGAAAAGGGCTATGGCGAAAACGGATAACTTCCACTGTAACGAGACTTTTTTTCTGGGGACTTTTTTTCCGGGGACTTTTTTTCCCTTTACCCTTTCCCGGTGACCGACAATCGAGATAATTATAAAGCCATTAACGCATGTCTGAAAAATAACTTGGTTACAAATTGGTATGAATAAATAGTTAGATATATCGATATTATATCGATATATTAGTATAAAAATATCAATGTGATGTTTTCGATAATATCAGACTCTAATATCGATGAAACGATAATATCGATGTTGTTTGCGTATCCCTAGCGGTGTTCTGGGTTTCATGATCACATTATTGATAAACCTGAACTCACGTATTGTCCTTTAATTTAATTTATTTATTTGCAGTTCTCGTAATAATTAATGAGAAGGTGTCAACCTTATGTCATATATTAAAGCCATGAAAAAATCATCATCATTATTAATATCATGTGTTAGTTATGTATAATTTTTATCGTAATCTACTATCATAGACCTTATACACAGGTATTGTACAGGTAGTGTACTTATACACTATATAGTATACATAAACACTTCTGATTTCCGTTATGTTTTGAAATGGTTTTTTGTCGTTGGTAAGTTTTCTAGTGCTATATGGAATAAATAGATGATTACGTATTGTGATTATCTGTAATAACGTTGATATAGTAATGCGCTGAAATAATCTGTGTATACAAATGTATATAGTAATAAGTACACATCTTCACATTATGCTTATACGAGTCACAAGACATATTTAAATTGTATTTGTTTCATTTTTAGGTTGGAAAAAATGAATTTTATGTCGAAAAATTTTGATCTACCAGAAAACATGTTTTATTTCCACAATACTGATTTACATCCCCTTACATTTGTACTCAAATGGGATTCAAAAGATAAATTTTTCTTACGCTTATTAAATGTAAGTACATATAGGTAGTGAAATGTTTTTGTAAACCTAATCATTGGAATTTTACGAAACATTAAATTATGTTGTTGAAAAAAAATATGCATGTGAACCCTATTTAATTGTTATAAACTATAATTGATAATAGAATGTTTTTTAAAATGCTTATTGTACATACAGATCATATTCTCATTGTTACAGAAGAATTAAAATAATTAAACTTTGATAGTGTAACTTTAGCAAGAAGTTTGTTTAATATTGAAGTATATTATTTGTATGTTAACAGCGTTATATGGGAAATGTAATTAATAAACCAGATGACCACTCATTGGTACTTTCTGTACCCAAAATGAATAAATATTTTCACAAATTCATTCCAGCATTTGATATTAAATATATTGAAGATTGTTTTACACTTAAAGATTATCCTGATCCAACTAAGTATATGTAGGTTTTATATAATTTTTATTATTAACTAAACATTATTTAAGCATGTAAAAGCTATGTATATTGACTGAAAACATGTATTTAATAGCAATTTATAAGATAATTAAAAAATAGTAAGAAAGATAATGTTAACAAGTATCGTGGTGGAAGAGAAATAGTTCAGATTTAATATTGACTACTATTTTGTGCTGGTTTCTATTTTTTGTATTCATTAAAATATAATACTTTTATTGTAATGACTATATAAAAAAATACTTATTTAGCAATTTTTGTACATGTTTATAAGTAACTTAGCTAGTTACACTTATAACAGCATAAAAAATAACTACAAATTAAATCAATCAATAATAAAAATTAAATAACATTTTTTTTCATTCTATATTTTTGAATTTTCATAAATTATAAATCCATTTATTAACTTTTATGTTAGTAGTGTTTTATTAAATATTATTATTATTATTATTATTATTTTTTTTTGTAGAATTCACGATTCATGTTTGATAAATTATGAAAAAAATGATATCTTTGATTGTTGGTTCCATAGAAAAAAATCTTGGATTGATTTTTCACCAATTCCAAAAAATATTTTGAATTATTTTGAAAAAGATTCATGTTATAATGAAATTTTACCTAGGTTTGTATTATTTATAAAATTGTATATTTTTTTATTATACTTAAAATATATTTCTATAGTAATATTTTTGTCTTTATTTTTGTTTATGAAATGAAAATTGATTAAAATTATGTTATAGGTTATTAAACATTATAAAACTAGTTTTTTATTTCATATGATATTTTATCATATTGTAGTCTTAAAAGTTTTCTATACTATTCATGCAATAGCAAATACAATTTTTTATATATTACTATTTATTTATGTTTCTACTAATTTATTTGTCAAAATTAGTCTGTAAAGTTATTTTATTTTTTTTGTTAAAAAAATAGAATAAAGTATTATGTCACTCATCATGTTTTGTAACAAGCTTTAAAATAATTTTTTTTAAGTAAATTTAGCAAACCATATTTTACTTCTAAGTTTCTATATCTTGAATGTACATTTTTTTTATAATAATATATTTAATTTTTAGTTGTATGTTGTATACTAAATTGCTTTTTTTCTCCTCAATAGTTCAATGTAAAGTATTATTGTACTTAAATTTTAAAAATCGCTATTGCAGAGAAAAGGTTTGAACTGAGTTAAGAGCTTAAATTTCTTAAAAATGTATAAATATAAAAAATTTTTTAAATAAAAAAATTTTGTTATAATGACTAATGAATAGGGAACTGATTTATATGTAATAAAAATACAGAAATACGTACACATGTATGTAAGTATAATTTATAAAATATGTACTAAAAACATCCAAATATGTAGGAAAAAAATGTAATTAAAAAAAAAAAAAATATATATAATTAATAAATTATCAAATATTAAATGTTGCCTATTAGATATGAAAATATTTTTAAAACAGTTCAATGATCGTTCCACATCAACCTACATCGGTTGATTAAAGCATATTTGTAGCGCATAATATCAGAAGGCGATAATTCCAAATTTTTAGAAAGGTGTTTACTACTCATTATGTCATTGATTGATTTAAAATTAATATAGCCTGGCATTTTTTTCTATGACAGCATGAATTTTCTTTTTTTACAACATCTCCTATTAGTCTGCTTACGAGTTTTCATTTTGCAATCATTGATTTGACAATTTACATACTTTCATATTTTTGATATTTTATATATTTCTTTCATATTTTTGTTTCTAATTTTGTAAATGTATGTGCAATAAAACTAAAATTCACTGAGATGAAAATTAAATTATTTTGTAATGTTTCATTTTGCATAATATTTTAAGCTTTTCTAATAGCGATAAAAGTTACTGGATCTAAATATGAAATAATTTCTTGTATTTTTGTACAAAGAATGATGAAATAATAAAATATGTAAAATAAAAGTAGCATAATATTAATAGGAATGATTTAAATCCTGAACATTTCTTATCGAATCTTAAATATCTCGTTTTAATAAAAATATGTATTTACATATAAATCCGTTCCCTACTAATGAGTTACTTATTTGTTTTAAATTTGAATTTCTTTATTCTAATGAATTATTATTAACAAAAATTTTATTTGTTAAATGTATATGTTATGGGCAAAAGTTAAAATCAGATAAACCTCAAAAATGCCTGGGCAAAATGCAAACTGCCCACAATCCTTGGGCAAAATGTCATATTTTGGCTTTTGACTGAGCAAACCTAGTTATGACCAACTTCATTTGAGCAAAACTGCCAAAACCGTTTACTGACTTTTATCGTAAGGGCAAAACCGTAGAGTCTTAAATATATTTGCTAATATTAAATATATTATGATTATTATTTTTTTTGTATTTAATATTAGTGAAGTTTTTTAAAACGCTACAGTTTGGTCCAAGTGAGGTTTAAATGTATTAATTAAGTTTATTCAATTATATTTATTCAATAATATTTATTTTATAATTATTTGTATTTAATATTAGCGAACGTATTTAAGACTACGGTTTTGCCCTTACGATAAAAGTCAGTATACGGTTTTGGTAGTTTTGCCCAAATGAGGTTGGTCATAACTAGGTTTGCCCAGTCAAAAGCCGAAATATGACATTTTGCCCATAACACATATATTAAATAATTATCAACTTTTTACAAAAAAAAAAAATTATTTAAATAAATAATATTATATGTGTAATAATAAATGATTATTTACATTTTAGCAAAGATATTGATGATTTGTGTAGTCAAGCTTCGTCTAATAGTACATTAGACTCAAAGAAAAGGTATATATTTATTTTATTTATTTATTTCTGTTGTTTATAATTTAGTTGTGCGTTATTACCACAAAACCTAAAAATCTAAATGTGCCATTAAACTTTTTTCTTTTATGATTTAATTATTAATCTATATTTTAAAATTATACTATTTCTATAAAAGTAAAAAAAATCTATATTATAAAAAATATATGTAAATAAATAATAATATAATTATATATAATTGGTAGGTATATTAAATATAGATTTTATTTATTTGTTTAATAATTCAAATTGATTATAATGACTAATGAGTTACTTATTTGTTTTAAATTTGAATTTCTTTATTCTACTGAATTTTTATAAAAAAAAAAAAAAAATGTATTTGTTAAGTATATAAATTTAATCATCAACATTTTACAAAAAAAAGAAGAAAAAAAATGATTTAAATAAATAATATTATATGTGGAATAATAATTGATTATTTACATTTTAGCAAAGATATTGATGATTTGTTTAGTCAAGCTCCGTCTAATAATACATTACACTCGAGGAAAAGGTATACATATTTTAAATCATTTATCTCTGTTGTTTATAATTTAGTTGTGCGTTATTACCACTAACTTAAAATTCCAAATGTGGCATTAAACTTTTTTCTTTTATATATTTGTATTTTTAAAGAACGAGAATGCCTTACACTAATCAGGAAGATTACAAAATTGTTGAATATATCGTCAAATATAAAGGTGCATTCAAAGTCACTGGTACAGAAATTTGGCGTCAAATGGAGCAAGCAAATGTAAGAAAATGTAAAATGTAACTAACACTGCTGTTTATATTCAACTAATATTTCTTTACTTTCTATTTAAATTTGGAACATTTCTAGTTTACTGGACACCTTAAAATTTGGCAATTTTTTTGGGAGACTGTCATATTTTAAGTGAAAAAAATGATGGTAAAATTGGAATTTGGCGCAAAAACTTAGTTTTGTAGTTATAATTAAAGTTTATAACTTAATAATAAAATTCCTAAATACTCATTGTTTTTGTAAAAAACTTTAAAAGCGTTGTACAATGGCAGCAGCATTGATTATTTATCCATGGAACCGAGTTCAGGTATAATAAATTTTTGCACTTTTTTTTATGATAATTTTGTATCTAGTTTTGATCTCTTATCGTTATGAAAATATTTGCATTTTATTTTTTCAAAAATTTGAAACTTCCCACTGCGTGGCACTTTTCGGGGGGATGGGGCTTCGCCCCAAGAGGAATTATAGTCTAAACCTAACCTAGTTTTTGTGCAAACCTTGATAATGTTGTAAATGGGATTATGCTCTGTATGTGAATCTAAAACATCGCTACGCGAGTAAAATCCAGAATCATATTTCGGGTGTATCAGGATTCCAAATTTGGTCACTAGCTCGCTACACTCCCTCGGACATTTAAAACGAAAATATCTCCATTTACAATAATAGTAAAAAAAAATTTTCATCGCTACGGTTTCGAACCTCTTCATATATGGTGGTCCCACGACAACAACCGAAAAAAGATTGTTTAACCAAAACTATCAAATTTCAATAGGCTGTAACTTCCAAACTATTTGTCTGCTCCAATTTTTGTTAGCAACATCGTTTTTAGCGTTAAAAAATACATAAGTTGACATAAAAAAAATGTGAAATTTTGGGTGCCCTGTAAAGTAGAAATATACCTTAAATTTACATTTAACATTTACTACTTCTTTAATATTATAATAGTATAATGTTGATAAATCTAAATAACTCATTAAATTCTAAAGTAAGACAATAAAATATGAGTTACTTAATATTCAAGTTGTGGCTAGCATACAAAAATATTCTTTAGAATCGAGTATATACCTCTGTTTTTCACTTCATAAACATTGTATGGTGATAGCGACCAGCATGACTACCTCATTTACAACTTACCTATACACTTTATCTTCTCATGCTGTAATTTGTATTTTTATAATCGATAATAAGCAATTTTTGTAAAATCTCAATTTAATTTGTAACTTATGGATTTTTAATTAACATATGACTAATATAATTAGTAATTATTAATATTGATTATTCATAATAAAATATATTGAATTGTGTATCACTTATGTAAAAAGTGAAAGGTTTTATTTTATAATTTTGTATTTTACATTCATAGATTTGCAAGATTCGTACGTGGCAGTCTATGAAAGAAAGATACATAAAATATATTAAGTGGGATTTAATTTCAGGATGTAAAAAATATCCATTTCTGAATGAAAATGATTTAAAAGAATTACGACAAGGGTTAGTTAAATTGTTTTAATTGTATTATCAGTTATTTTAAAATAAGTGTTTTAATTTTCAGTTTGAAGCTTGAAGTATCTACTGATACACAGAAAGAAGCACTAAAAACAAAATATTATGAAATTAAAACACGTAAATTATTTTTGGATGAAAGCGATTAGTTACAATTGAATCACATTTGTTACAAAAATAATCATAGTTGTAAAAATTATGTAAAAATTTTTTTTTGCCATTTAAACTAAATTTAATTGTATTATAATATATATTTTTTTACATATAATAATATAAAAAACACTTATTTACTCAGTAGCATATCCATAGGGGTCGGACCCCCCTCTATGAACCTGAGATAGTAAATGAACTTATATAGTATCATTTATGTATACTTTTTGCCCGAATGGGTGTTAATAAATAATAATAATAATAATAATAATAAGAAACATTTTAATTTCGCTTATATTAGAAGCCTAAAAACAAGTTTATTGTAAAAAAAAGTATTATTTGTTTTGTAAGTTATAATTTATACAACTTACCAATGTTGATCTATAAATTTAAGTTCAAGATAATTTTTTCCGCTCCAACTCATAATTAGTGGCGCAGTCACACATTAAAGCACTCCAAGGGCAAAGTATTTTTCTTTGCCCCTACAATAGAAATCAAAATCTTCATCTCTAAAACTGTGTTGTGACCAGTGGCCCATTATAATAGACTGTAGTTGCAACCTATATCACCACTATTTGTATCGTTTTTGGAGGTAACTGATCGAACAGAATGTTAACATATAATTGCGCACGCACTGTCGGTTAGGTTGTTGAAAAATCAGCAGGGCAATGTAAACACTCATTGCCTTCAACGCTGCCCCTAATTATTTTGGAGATTACTGCGACTGTGTGAGGAACAGTGGCAATGTTATAAATGTGCCAGGGCAGGTTAATTTTGTAAATATGGTCTATATTTTAACTGATGTTGCTCAAATTAAATGTCATTTATTCAATATATTTTTAACGAAATATAAATTATCAACATTTTCGTGCATTAACTTATGATAATGTAACAGTTACAACTGAATGCAAAAGTATATTTGGTAAATAATTGAATCTATTTCAGAGAAATATGAGATTCAAGGAAAACATTTTCATTGGGACTACTTCACACAACGCTATTAAATACAAAATTTAAATTGTTTATTTAATTATTAATATATTATAAATGATTGAAGCCTACACGTTTCGTTAAATAGGACCAAAAGTGAAGTACAGATCTGAGCACGTCTATAGCTGAAAGTAAACCCGGTGTATGTTTCTATAGGGCCTTGAAATATATAACAAGACCCTTTAATTTTGTTGTGTGATAACGGATTGTGAATTCCGTTACATTTTTGATAGCCGTTATCCAATACCCGCCCGTGGATAACAGCACGTTTGTTATCAGTTAATTTAATAAACAATTCAAATTTTACTGATTGAAACCTGGACAACTTTTAGTAACATAAAAAACGAATTCGGCTTTTGGTATATATTTTTTTTCAAATTGAATTTTGTACTTACGATATTGCATTTCTTATTGCGGATCCGTGTCCGTGTTTAACACATGGATTCGTTTTTGAACATAGATGTATACAATATCTACAAAAATGTACAATATGTTGTATATATCTATGTTTTTTGAACTAAACGACATATAATTTTTATCGACACAGATTTAGATAATTCAAGTTATTTCATATCTATTGTAATTGTTATCATAACTTTTATCTTTGCCGTGACGCAGTGTTATGGACGGTGGCGAGTTTTTGAAAGTTTTGTTGGCTTCTGGTGAAAACGAAGATATTTCCAAAAAACTCTATTCATGGTAAACCTCGATTCGGAACCGGGTGGTATTTTTTTCATTGTTGTAACCCGGAGCGCATTGAGTCTATTCAGTTTTAAAACTAGTTGCATTTCTTTTCTCAGGTTTGAAGAAAAAGGAATCATAAACAAGATACGGGCGCACGTCAGAGCTCAGATGATATCCACTCTGAAAGGCAATGCTCCATGTGGTGCAAATAAAAATAATGATTTATCCCCTAAGCTACTAGCTATGAGTATGTTGGTAGCTGAATTCCTGTTGAATCAAGAACACCTATGTACTCTCTCTGTGCTCATTACAGAGGTAAATGTTTATAATTGATTTTTATTAAATATTTAAAATAGATTATGGATATGGATTTCACTGACTATATGCTTATAGATATCAACTTAATCTGATTAAAATGCTTATAGTTTTGAATGTTTTGTTGGATTTTTTTCTAGGTACCCATGTTGAGTAATTTACGTGAGTTCAACTCTTATGTCAACCACTTGGGTAATAATACACACGGTCCACCAGTTAATAAGCCTAGGTTTCAATTAAATGATGTTCAGGATATTTTAGAAGCAGTAGGCATCCAGCCTATTTCTGATATTGCAAAATGTATCTCTCAATATTATTTCCATGACATAAGCAATCAAAATTTATCATTATTAGCATGTCTGTTTAAAGCTATAACAATTGTAAGAACAAATGACAGGTATATTAAACAGTTGACAATGTCATACTATTATAATTATTTTTTTTTTTGCTTTATCGGCCCTTAATATTACTATTATAACTATCATAACATTAATTTAATAATTTATTTTGAATCCACGTGTTTAATAACAATTAATTATTAGTAGCATGGAGATCATAAATGATAAAAATAATTAAATAAAAATAATTCAACAATTCACAAAAACTAAGTAAATCTTAAAACCAATAAAAAAAATAATTTTCAAGTTTATTTATGTTTTTTATTTTTATTTTTTGTGGTCAATATATTGCCATGGTTACCATTATAATTGTATGTACATGTCCAAAATATGACTTTCAAACATAATTTTTTTGAGTAAAACAATGAATAGTTCTTACAAAATAAAACATTATTCCAAGATGGTTCTTTTAAGAAATAAATGTTTTTTATATGATTTTATTGACTTATTATATATCTGACAAGTTTTTAATTCAAAACCGGTTGTATTTTACAAATACAATAATATTTCAGGCTAAGCATTTATTTATTTATTTATATATTTTTAAATATTAACTATTTATTGATATATCCATTGACGAGTATTAACAGTTTATTAATTTTTGTTTTATTTATTACTTTAATATTTATTAGGATATATTTTTTTCAAACCATTTTTTATTTGGTTACCCTAAAATATTCATAGATATATAAATCTAGATGAAATAGATTCATGATGGTCACTTCCCCTCTATTTTAAGTTTAAAAAATATTTAGTTCCTTACTAAAGCATAATCACAATTATGTGTCTATATCTAGTTTGATATATTATATTAATGATGCATAGAAAATAAATATTATTTAAAATTTACTGATTTTGTTTTTTTAGTAAATATAATGAAGTTCAAAATAATAAAAATAATTTGAACAAGTCTACGAAAATTGAGATTGATACTTATGAACATAGATTAAATAATTGGTTAGTAAGTATTGAAGACATACTTAACTCATTCAATTTAAATGAAGGACAAAGAAATACTTTGAAAAAATTGTTAAAAAAGTAACTATATTAATAATATGTAATGATAAATAATAGTATACATTTATTTTAATAGTTTAAATTTTTAGTTATCATCAAAATAACAATGCTCAAGAAGTTGCTGTCTATAAAGAACGTTTGAAAAAACTTGGAATGGAGATAAAAAAAATGACTGATAGAGTTGTCGAAGTAGAACAATTGGCTAAACATTTTCATTCTCAAAATACTGGTTTGTTAGTTCAAAAAGAACAGATGGAATGTGTCACAAAGCAATTACATTTAGAAACACAGCAATTATATAAATTAATCAATGAATTTGAAGTTAGCAAGCAGTATTACCGAATTAATTCAAGTTGTACTAAATTTAAAAAATAATTCATTGTTATATTATTTGTATTTCAGGAAAAAGAAAAATCTGTGCAAAACCAACTAAAAGATGTTGAAAACCAAAGGCATGAATTACAGTTAAAAGAAATAGAAATTTTAAAGAATGAAAGATTGTTAGTATTAATCTTGTGTTTGTGAAAAATATAATGTATTTTTATATTAATACGTTTTTAGATTAAAAGAAAAATCAATAAAAAATATTGATGAAACAAACATTATCGATTCTAATCAAGTAAAAATGCTACAAGAACAAAACATCAATTTGACAAAACAAGTACAGAATATACAATTAAAACTTGATGAACTCAAAGAGTTTAAAAAAAACGAACAGTCAAGCCCTAAAATAATGGATTATAGTCTTCAAAGAATTGAGTCTTCATTAGTAAATAAAAATCATCCATAATATCAATTTTAAATGAACTACTTTTTTATTTATCAAAAATAATGATTTTTAGGATAAAGAAATGGTGCGGAAATTACAAAGAGAAAATGACGAGCTGCGTGAATTCATTATAGTTCAACGAAAGAGAATTGAAGAACTATCACATAGAGCATCAAATTTGGGAAAACTAATCGAAAAAACTCATCAAATACCATCCACTACAACAGACTATCAACACAAAAGTGTAAAAAAAAAACTTCAGTTCGTTGAAGATTTTGGTAAAAAAAATCATCATGCTTACAAAAACATTTCATCGACTACTACAGATTATTCAACAACTCTACCAGAATCTGATAATCAAACTGAAGATGATATAGTTCAAGGCGCACTTTCAAAGTGGAAAACATTGGCCGTGAAAACAGCCAAAGTGAAACAAAATTTGATAAACTATCAAACAAATAGTATGCGTGACGACAGTGATAACAAAATAATTAGAGTCAATAGACAATCGTATAATATTCGTTCAACCTTGTCAGACGATTCTGATTCCAGTTTTTTTAAAAATAGTGGTGAGAAAATCAATTTAAAAGACCTTGCCAACAAGATTGGTTATCATCGATCAATTAGACGATCTAAGAATGATACAAGTCTTGACATGTTGCAGAATACTAGATCTCGGAACTATACATATATTTCACCAATAAAATCATCTTCAACCAATACAAATAATGTGTTCAAGGTATCGCCTATAAACAGAACAATTTCAAGAATCGAGTCACCAGTCAGCAGAATAAACTATCAAAATGAATTTTCTACTGATACATTTAATGTACCCAATCAATCAATAATGGAATCAACTGTTATAAATAGGCCCCTTTCAGATAGTAATTCACCAGGGACTAGCAGTTCAAATAATTTTATGAAAAATAAAACGCCAGACAATATTGAAGTGAACAATTACAAATCTTCGCCAAATAAATTAGTTGGTGAAAGATACAAAGATAATAATAATTTACAATCTTTGAACGGTACAGATTTACCAAAAGAAAGTCAAGAAAAAGGAACAGAAATAACTTCACGACAAAATAGTTTAAATCATAATGCTGTTGATACTAATTTCACGAGTAAAAACGAACAGGAAAGTGATCACACAATTTCATTTGGTAGCAATAAAACTGATAAATCTTCAGATTTTTGGGCGTAATAGGCAGTATTTAATTTTTTTTATGTAATGATCAAGTGAATTATTTAAGTACCTTGTTGTATATGCTTAATATTTTATTAAGAGTTTTGATAAATAAATTGTATTTTAGTATTTTAAATTTGTTTGTTTTCAATTATATTTTAAAAGTTACATAAAACTAGTTTTATTTCTATTAATATAAAAAAATACTTAGATTTATGTACAGTTATGTGTTATTGTAAATTAAACCTAATAAAGAAAAAAATTGTCAAGGTAAATAAATATTAAAATACAACAGGAGTGTGCTAAAATGTAATTAAGCATTATTATGATTAGTTAGTGCCATCAAATTGCCTATTCAGATAAATATTATTATTTATTAATATTGTATTTTTGATTAAAAATGAAAACATTTTAGGGTAATTAAAAAAAAATAAATCTAATTTAATTTAAACTTCTGTTTAAATTAAATAATACTATTGTATTGACAGTTTTTGCTACCATACATTATGTTATTTAAATAGGTTAAAAATAAGAAATTTATGATATTGCTATTTTAAATTTCAGTTTAAAATTATTCTTTCTGTCTTAAATAATTTATGTCTACATAAATGTGCACAGATATTTTACTTTTGATATCCATTGTTTTTACTCAGATTTATTTATTGAAAACTCAACACATAATCAATTAAAATTTAAATAAATATTGTAATTTGTAATAGTAAATTTAATGAAGTGTCTTCAAACTTGTTTAGTAATAACAACATACTTTATATATTTGATACAATTATTAATATATTTTATTGGGATTGAAATTAGGTTCTATAAAATAATTTCAAGATCTTATAATTTTAATATAAATACAAAATTAAATTGTTATAAATATTACAATTACATTTTTATTTTAGTTTGAAGTGTACATACAGTTATAGTTGGCTGTAAAAAAATAACATTTCAAAAATTATTTTTTGCCAGATTTTTTAATTCCTCCACCGACCATCGGTCCTTTCTGGGCAGCTTTTGTTTTAAGATCATTTAATGCTTTTTGTTGTTCCTTTAATTTTTGTTTCATTTTGAGATCATCTTCATCCAATTCTTTATTTTCTTTCTTAGGGGTTTTTAAAGGTTTCTTCTTTCCTCCTTCTCGTCCTGACATATTGCTATTTACATAAAATTATAAAACAATTATAAATCTAAATACCTAAAACACAGGAATTGTAAGTAATTATCAGTACTGAATGATAAGTAGGATGAAATATTATCGATTAACATAGCTAGTTTATCTATGCTTTTCAGTAGGTATATGTTTATACAGATTCTCAACCTACTTGATTTTTCAATACTTATCTAAGCAAATAATATATGTTCTTATCAATTATATGATGCAATTAATAATGTTAAAATGTAAAATAAGTAGAATTAACCTAATTAAAATGGATTGTTTTCTTTAATTATAAATTTAAAAAACAAAAACATATTTCTTTGGAGGGGAAACTAATACCCCCACGCTGAAATAAATATTGAACAAGGGGAATCCACAATGTCTTTATAAACGATCTCTACCACTGACATAGGCGTAAACAAGGGAGGGCAAGGGTGCGATTGCCTCCTAGAATAAATTAGGAGGGACAGTGCGCCTCTGATATTTAACATACCTTGTTTTGAAATAAGTAAAAAACAGCTAGTTATAGCTATTACTGTAACATTTTTTTTTTAAAAATCTTAGTTTTAAATTTTCGCTTATCTAACATGTTAAAAAATGAATAATTTTATATAATAATATGTAGGTAGTAAAGCGGCGTTTAGCCTCGGACAAACTTTTCGTTAGATATGTAATTATATTTTTGCCCCCCCCCCCTAATAAATTTCCAATTTACGCCTATGACCATTTGGTTGTATTATGGGTCAAGAGTATGAATAAAAAACTATCCATGTAGCTGATGTACACTTCATATTTTCACCCACGTTTTTTAAGTCAAACTCTAATCTTATCGTTTTTTAGAAGAGCTAATTATATATAGAACGGTGCTCTATATACTTAATTGCAACTTTCGCTAAAACACTAGCAAATGAACGTTCTACAACACAATAAACTGTTACGAATAAAAACGCACAGCATAAGAGTACAACAATAATATTCGGAACTACAGTCTCGAATCGTTTGAAACGAGACAGCGAACGTCAAAATTGAACGGGCAAACAAATGAAGTTCGATCGAACGCTTGACCTTGCTAGGTCTGTGTGTGTATACGTGCAAGTATAGATTATTTATTGAAATCGTAAAAAAGCGGATGGTACTTACGGATGGTTTGAAAATCAAATGATGTCGACAATACCAACAAGTCCTTGCGCACACGGATTTCGCCGGTTTCCAATATTTTGATTCCGTTCAGTCGTACGTGCACCAGATAGCGGTATGCTGTTTCTATGGTTAGAACGGTCGATAACGAACGTGATGTTGGTCACATGGTATGAAACGTAGCCAAAGATGTTTCAAAGTTATTATTATATCGTTCGTTTGCCATATAGATTAACCCATAATACAAATAAGTTCGTATTGTGTTGTTTTACTAATGTAAATGGCTCTAAAATCGGAACTTAGTAAATTATTTTTTAAAATCTCATCACCAGATGAAATTCTGTAATTTAATAATTCCCTGAAATTTCCATTATTTTCTGCAGGCTTTTGAAAAGCGTCAAATATACTGCCATCATCGCGATGTCCTCGAATAGCAATATTTTGTTTACCAAGAAATATTAATGAGTCAGTTATTGGTTTCAACCGAGATCTGTTTTCTTTAACTTGTTCGTAATGAGCTGTATTTAATGTATGAGTAATTTAATTTTGTGGATTATTATAAACATGTAAAAATGATTTACCATCCTGAACGGCGTTTTTATGGTAAATATTTCTACTATGAATTTCTAGGTAGGTAACTATCCTTTCCAAAAAGTTTAGCAAATTTCGTTAAAAGTTCGGTTACAAGATACTTAAGAGGCATGGTATTTTATTGATCCTGTGCCAGTATTAGTGTGATTAAAAACTGAGCAATAGACATAGAATAAGCCATTCATAGATTTTGATATCACTAGCCAAAAATATTTTTCCAAATGCTCTATTTTCACAAATCTTTTTTCTATACTTCCACATTTTTTGTGAATAGAAAAAGGAAAATAATTTTTATTTAGTGGTTTCCAGTGATCTTTAAGAAAATGTTTTTTTAAAAAAATTATTAATATGAGAATATTAATTTAAGAAATCTCCAATGTCTAGTGTTTTATTTAAATGAATTTCAGTGTTTAGTGGTTGACAAATAATTAGTTCATTTTTTTTTTTTTTTTGATAGTAAAGACGACTCACTTGAATCCAATTCGATTTTTATTTTCCTCAGTTGTTCGATCATTATTTTCCACAGTACTAGATGCACTTTTCTTTTTAAAAAAAATGTGTAATATCGACATTTTTCCTTTTCGACATAATGTTTTTGTCCAATAAACAAATAAAATAAAATAAATTCAGTACAACAATTATAACACAAACGTCTCCAATTCAATTTAAAAAATATATGGGGGTCACTTTTAACTGCGTATAAATAATATTTCCATTGATAGAGAAATTATACATAATACGAGGTCGTGTATATCACCGGTTGTCGAACTACAAAGTGTCGACAGTCAACACAACAATTTTACTATTATACAGTTAGAATTAAACTGATATATATATATATATGTGTATATTTCAGGCGGTCGAATATGGAAGTTATTAATGTATAATATCTGTAAACAAAACAAACATAGAATCTGATACTAATTTTTGGACGAAACTATGAGTCGGTTGGGGCTGGCCGGCTGATAGTTGTCCTCGCTTATACGGTTACAATAATATTATTATTATTGACAATTTATTAATATATATTATAAAAATAAAAGACGAAAATGTGTGACTATAACAATACATTAGAATTGTATTACGCAAGATAATGCAATTAATAGTACATCAAATTAAATTAATACATTTTGATACGGCCAACGGGGGGGGGGGGAGCGGTCGCCCTTAGCCCCCCCCCTTGATCCGCGCCTGAAACCTATTTTCTTCGCTGCTTCTTCTAACACTGTGGCTATGTTAGCTGTGTCTGCAAGCGAATCACCTATTATATCTAAATCGTCAGCGAAACCGAGGAGCCGTATCTTATTCTGACCGATTAATACACCACCTTCATTGTCCTGTAGTATCCTTACTAAATTTCTCTAGGGCAAGATTGACAAGTACTGGGGACAGGACATCCCCCTGTTTTAGTCCGGTTTCCACTTTAAAAGTTCTTGATGTTACATTTTGTGTTCTTAGGATGCCAGCTCATTCTGTAGTACATATCGAATATGATAGAGCGGAGCCAGTGGCGGAACTAGATTTTTGGAGGCCCGCGTAAAAAAATTTCATGGAGAATTTCTAAGACAGAATTTAAAAAAAAAACTAAGAATTTTGTTTTTCTCACGAAACATCTTTATTGTTTAATACATATATTTGTATATGTTACCGGCAATATGGATAATCCGGTATTTTGCAAAATGCCTAGGTATTATGTATAATGCCAATCGTGGAGTAGGCAATATGAAAAAAACAAACAAAATTGGGCATCGCCTAACCCAGTGCTTCTCAACCTTTTTCAAATTGCCGCCCCACTAAGAAACAAAATGTTTTTCAACGCCCCCCCCCCCCTCTTCACTTTATTAAAATAAAAATAAAAATAGTATATATGAAATATTTATAATTGAATAATAAATAATATAGATATAAATGTAAATATAATACAAATAAAATGTAAAGTGTATGTTTAAATATGATTCAAATGTTTTTAAATGTATTGATCAGTGAAATGCTTGGTGATTCAAAGCCAATTTTTTTACGTTTGGTTCAAAATTTGTGAAATTAAGCCGTAAGTCTCCCCTTTTGACGATATCTAGTCGATTTCTTTTTTTCGTTATTAGATAACAACGCACTGCCTCTGATATATGTAGTTTGTATTTCATAATCACAAATTTATTTTAGAAATCGATAAACGGAAAACAATTACAGATAAATCTTGGTATGTTGCTTTAAACGAAAAAAAAGTTCACCACCCCCTAATCGCCCAAAACGAGCTCACCGTACCCAATCGCCCTAAACGAATTCACCGCCACTCGGTACTCCTTCACCGTCCACCGGTGGGCGATATCGCCCCCGTTGAGAAGCACTGGTCTAACCTAACCAACGAATTTACTTATCGTTTATCATTAATATGCGTTCCCGATTTAACGCAATAAAGATTAACATTCTTTTACTATAATAATAATAATGAGATACAATATTGAACGTACTAATAATTTTATTACAATATCGTAATTTTTCTTGTCGTTTTAGTGTTGCAAATATGCATACGAATTATATGAAGTCAAATTTTTATTACAAACTACAATTTTTTTTTAAAAAATTTGGCCACTAATACTAGTTTTATAACTGATGAACAGTATAATGAGTTGATAAAAATTCAATCCACAAGAATTGGCCAAGGATTTTTAAAATGTGTTTGTAAGTCCGTATCAAAATAAAAAGTGTATTTGCCTTAAAAATAACATTTTATGCACTTCAAAATGTCACTTTTCTACATGTTATAATAAGTTAATAGTAGTTTAAGTAAAATATTTATATAATAGTAATAATATAATAACAGATAAAAATTAAATTTTTTCTGTAATATAAGTAATAATGTATAATAATTATAAGAATCTTAATGTAATATAACATATAATAAAATGTTTTGTGCTTTACCTAAAAAAAAAAAAATTGGTATTTAAGTAAAGTCGTTGGTAATAGGCGATACCCAATTTTGTTTGTTTTCTTCATATTGCCTACTACACGATTGGCATTATACATAATGCTTAGGTATGTATTTTATAAAATACCTTGGTTACAAGTAAAATAATGTTGAAAATTATACGTTTTATTTACATTGCCTAAAATGGGTCGGCAATTTGCATAATGCCTAGGCATATTGCAAAATACTTGAACTATCCATATTGCCGGTAACATATATTTATATATATATATATATATATATATACACATAAAAAAATCTCGTGTCACAGTGTTTGTGGCCATACTCCTCCGAAATGGCTTGACCATTTTAATGAAATTTTGTATACACATTTGGTAAGTCTGTGAATAAGTTCTTATCTATTTTTTATACTTCTAAGTGCTATTGTTTAATAAATCGTAGTTTAATTTAATAATTTTTTTCGGGTCAACTATGACGCGGTCCCGCTGTGGTGCGGGTACAACAAGTACACCACTATCGCGAAGCCGCGCCCGCTTTCTACCCAGCCTCAACCCGGGCAACGACAACACCGTTTCCGATATTACCCACCTACCTCGGAAAATCGGGCAGAGGTGGGAAAAGTTATCGGAACCGGTGGCAACGTACTGACCGGTCGCCTCAAGTGACCAACCTTTTTGCTCGTGACTGTCGTGGAAGCACATTGTCGACGTACATTTTTCTCGCGTTTCTCCACCACCGTCACCGAGGACCACATCCGTACTTGTTTTTTATTGTTGACATTGCTTTGACAATAAACTCGTTACAAAACGTATTCTGTTTCGGTTTCATGGTTTTTCTTTTTTTTCTATTTAAAAAAACCCGATCCACTTCGCTCCACTGTGACCGGCCACCTCACCGAGGGAAAACCTAATGTCCGCCGAGGCCGTGTCAACTAGTTATATTATATATGTAATTACTTTTTTTCTAGGAAATTTTATTTAAGGCGAATAAATGCATAAATACTTACCTATCTTTATATTATACTAAGATCTAATAACTAATTGATCAAGCTAGATTATGCTATTATTCTGAACCTCCAAAACTAATTATACCATGGTTAGTTGCAAAAAATAAGTGGAAAGCTAAAAACTAAAAATAAACTTTTATGCGGTTTTTAGTTAATTTTTTTAAATTTTAATGTTCATAATTTTCTAAGTTAAATTATTTGAGACTCCTCTTATGCCGAGGTTAGTGTGAAATCACACCTTCATCTATATGTAGCTCCGCTACTGAGCGGAGCCATATGTAGAGGATGTTAGTCTAGAAGAATAAAAATCGCAATTTTTGGCCTAAAAAATTGGAAAGCACCGGATACCGATGATATTCCATTAGAACTCATAAAATATGGAGGTTAGGAGCTACATGTAGTTATAATCTGTATAATAATGTAGGCATAATCTACAGACTATGCCAACTAATATGGATGGAAGAACGAATACCGGATATAATGAGGCAATCATCATGATTACTTCTATGGTAAATGTTAATCGTTAATAACAACCCAGCCGAAATTGGAAGAGTGGCTTCTCGTCCGGACGTCGTCACTGTCCTGACGTCTTAGTAGCGACTTTCAGATTTATTTGTACTAGTGCAATATGAGTATATATGGATTCGGTTTTCAGTAAATCAGAGTACTTAAGTTGTAAACATCTTACACACACTGAAAAGTGTTCATAAAATTAACCGTAATGGCAAAATAAAAATAATAAATCAACAAAAATAAAATATAAAAATTAACATATATTTTTAAACTTAAAATATAATTATTGTAATAAACGAAAACTTAAATAGTTGTATAATATACTGATTAGGATTGGATTATTTGCTTATTGTTTATATCATTGTTTTGCATAATAATAATAAGAAAATAAAAATACAGAAGATAGAGAAAACGAGGCTTCAGTCCTAAAAAATTAAAAATGTACTTCCGTCGAGTCGACTCGATAAATTCATGGACAGCAACACGTTAATATTGTCATACTCAAGTAAATTGAATTCTCGACGCATTGTGTCGTCTTTCCACCGTTAAAGTTATCTTATCTCCGGCAGACGCCACCAGTGGCACTGTCAGACAACAGTCGGAATCGTCTGTCCTAGTGTTGTTCACCTGAAAATCGGTGGAAACGGCATCGATCAATGCGCGTGTAAAAATAAAAATAGGTGCTTACACTAAATTTAAATATACATTTATGGAACATTGAAATAACGTTATAAAGAGGTATTCTAATTTTTTCACTCCACGGCTCCTATTGATGTCTTCATAATATTTTGATGACCCGTAGATTATTGAGAATATGAGAATATTATAAATATTATTATTATTATTAACAGAATCACGAGAATGTATTATATTACAGTTAAAAAAAAACGCATTTAAAAATTAAAATCTAGAAAAACTTTTTCGACGACACGATAATGTTCTCCCCTTTAAGGTTGATAAAAGGTCAGTTTGCTTTAATATCAAAGCAGACAACGCAAAATTAATTCTATTAAACGAATATTATTTTTTTACATTTGTAAAGGCGATGTGTAACAAACGGTTACAATCTATACCTTTGTAAATTTATTAATCGCCATATTTTTTTCACCATCGTCTATTATACAAAAAAAATCGTAGTTTTTCAATAATCGCTATTGTCTGAATATTATATACGGATGGGTAAAATTATATTGTTTTCCGGTTCTTTGCCTTGGTTCACTTCACCAACACCCGAATCTGGGAGCCGCAACGTACAGTCTGAATACCTCTTAAATATACATGCAATACGGCGGTGATCTGTTCAAGTTGATACAAATACACTTCAAGCGCAATCACTTGAACGGATCATCAACTGTGCGTTTATGTACTATATGATTGCCTATGCATGTTGTTACGGTAATGCTAAACACTACAATCAGTGGCGTAAGACTAGCTAGCGTCCCTGGCAAACTTAAAAAAAAGCGCTTTTTAACCAATTCAAATTTGATGTCATGATATTTTTTTTAACCTTTAATTTTACTATTTTTTTTTTAAGTATACAACTTATATTTATAAGTTATTATTATGGTGTTAATCTTTGGAAATTTGCTTTCTCGCTTTATGTCTTTATTCCTTCATATGAAATTTTTTATTTAAACGCCCTTGTGCTATTTTCATAATTTTATTGTTAATTTCACTCGTAGTGTGAACAAATAGACAGTATCTACATATTTCAAAAAGTATAACGGAAAAATTTCGATTTGATTATAGGATAGGAATACGAATTTTACACAATTTTGCGCCCGTTTGCAATTCACGTCCCTGGCATAGGCACAGTTCGCCATACCCTTGCTACGCCAATGACTACAATAAAACTATAATGTATATCTGATGGTGTCAGTCGTTTCATAGAGTTTCCTTTATGATGTGAAAAACTAATCTACATCTTATACTATAAGGTCGGTGTTATACTTTCTAATTAGGTTGGTACGAGCGAATGGCAAAATATCGATTTACAGTGGTATACAAAGAAGTTATGGTATTCAAATGCAGTGCACGCTTGCATCTAATAAATTACGCCACTGATGTACGCATATATAAAGTATGTGTAACATATTAATATCATTACTTGTATTATACGATCGTAACGTTTCAACATGCCGCTCAAATCGGCCGGTCCGCCTTTTCGAATGTTGTTAACGAACACTCCTCTCTCGTACAGCCCGTCCGATATGCTGAAACCGAAATCTTCGTACACCGCATCCTTGAACAGGGTGACCTAAATGCATTGCATATGTTGTTATATACAATTATTTAAAAATGCTGTACATGAGCAGTGCTCGAATTTGAAAAAAAAAAGTACATGGGCTGTTGTCGTTTAAATAAAGAGCGTACTCGGCATTGGAAAACATATGTCTCGCATTGGCCACGTAACGCATGCACGAATGGTCTGGAGTACGCTAATTTTTTAATGAAAATATTTGGATAGCTTTAAAATTTTAAGTTTTGTTCCAATCATAAACGTTCCGTACATAGCGGGTTCTCGAGAACGGTTCAAACGGTGCGAAAGAAATTATATTTAATCTATAAAATTGGTGTAAATGTTTACCATTACATTAACTCATGATCGAGATAACGTGAGTGGAACCAGTTACGAGAGAGAATTTAAATTTTTATTTTCAATCCAACTACGCAGTATTCCCTTGAAGAGTTTTTTTAAACGGAAAAAATCGTCTCGTCTGTCTCAAGTTCGTCGGGTGGAGGTTTTCTCGGACTGTGTACGAAAAAGGGCGAGAACGCGAACGGCAACCTTACTTGGAACAGGTCGAAATCCAGCAGCCCGTCCCTGTCCTGGTTCTCGGCTATCTTAAATATGCTGTCCACGTCGTAGTCCGCGTGCTCGCGTATGTAGTACGGCCTGAGCGTGCCGCCGAAATAGTCGCTGTCGAACTCGGGCACCTTGCGCTGCGCGCTCTTGGACCGGTGCCGCAGCACGATCCGTTCGGGCGTCGGCTCGTGCAGGTTGGGCGCGGACCGCGTGGTGTCCGACTCGATGGCCGAGTCGTCCGCGGTGGTCGACAGCAGCCCGACGCTGGTGTAGAACGGCCGTTGCGGCTGCTGGTGCTGCGGCCGGCACACCGTGATCACCACCCGGTCGTCCGTGTTCTGCAACTGCGCTATGGCCGTGGACAGCGGCGCCTCGGACAGATCGGCCCCGTTGATGGCCAGCAGCCGGTCGCCCACGTGTATCGCGCCCGTACGGTCGGCCAGTCCACCTGCGTCCGCCGGTGTTAATCGCATGTTAATAATCGGTAGTACCAGCAGCCCACATATGCGCGGTGTTCCTACAATCGGAGTAGTTGGCTCCGGGTTCGGACGAATAAGCCGTTCGATTCCAACCAACACCGGACCACCCACCTACCTAACCCGCAACTACGCAGGGACGTATCGGAATAAACGACAAACGGGCGCGCGGACCAAATCATTATCCTAAATAAATAACTCCAAGCGATCCACGATACTAGAAAATAAATTATGTATGTATAGTAGATATATGTATATGTATGATATATATATATGTATATAGATACATATACTCCTTTACACTTGTAAATCCTAATCGATTTTTAGAATAATGCGCATTTGTTTCAGGTCAAATCAAAGTCAATCTATTAACTTGATATCATACGACTCTAAAAGTATCTCTGTCTATGGATAGTGTATTTTTCTTATTTATAAAAAAATAATTCATGCACTTGTAGGTGATACAGAAATTGATTCAGTAAAAACGGGTAACAGTTGTAATATAATTAGGTGGAAAAGGGTATCGGTCAAAATATAATTTGGCGGAAACGCGTTACATCCACGGTAATATCGTACATATTCCAATAACACTAATTCAACATCGTTTCAAACACTTATCGATAAACCCTTTGTAGAGTATTCAATGAAGCATTCTGGTTTTGCGGCACTGAATGCATTTGTCATTATTATATTCAAATCACCGTACACGGAATGACGGTTGATTACACACGAATAGTAGTAGTAAATAATATAAATACGTTTTAATTGAAAATGAATCTAAAAAATATAAATTTTACTTTTATCCGACTGATGAAAATTACTTAACGAAACAATTATTGTGTAACAGAAGTGGTTTTTTCATAGTACCTGAAAGTATTTCAGTATTATTCAAGTACATTTCTGACACTAGTATGTATGTATGTATGTAGGATTTTTGAAAAGTACTCGAAATACTTTTTTATTGCAACTCTGCTATATGCTGCAGTATACACGAGCAGTATCGAAGTACGCACAGATGTACAGTATTATTCGGTGATACCCAATTGAGCACGGTCGTTGGCGGCCGACCTTTTTGACGATCCAATTGAGCACGGTAAAAAAAAAAATATTGTGTACAACGTTGTCAGATTGAAAACTATTAGGCTGGCAACATACTAGCGTTATTTTACCACGCCGTAAATTTACTGCGCGTTTTGTTAAAGTACATTAAAATGAATAGAGCACAACACACGAGTGTCGCGCAGTAAAATTATGGCGTGATATTTCGAAAACTATCGTGTGCACCTTGACTTTACTGTGCGTTAAAAATACCACTATGAAGGCTTATTGTGATTACTCTAAATTTAAAAATGCTGACAATCTACTTAAATACTTATTGAAAGTTGGAAATATATATTTAGGGAAAAAAATTTTAATTTTTATCTTTTTCATGACATTGTATGAGTGCTATTTTTTAGCAAAAAAAGAAAAAAGAAAAGTGTAATTATAACATGTGATTAAAATCCAATAAAATATTTTTAATTATAAATAATTATATTCAAATGTATTTTATTTTGTAATAATAATATGGGCGCACCGAGTTTTATACACTAACAATAAAAGAAATTCGAAATAAAAGGTGTCTTGTCGTTTTTTTACTGGAGAGTTATTTCTTTTAGGAAACCTGAGCCGTAAATATTTTAAATTATAAAATAATCTTTAAAAATCTAAAATTGAATTACATAATAATTATAAAAAAAAATCTTGAATACACAGTAATACGGTGCACCAAATAATATTCTACGGTACAAAGCGGCAACGTCGCACCCATTTTCGTACCCAATCGTGTGGTTTTTGGGTTCTTTCTTGGTTCCTATTGTTTGATTGCCATCGTGTTCAATCGGGTTACGTAAAAGATCAATCGTGCTCAACCGGATTCCAGCCGTATTATTGTAACATATTTTTTTATCAGCTAGGGGAGGAACGGATGATGCAATGCTCGGAAATGATTTAGAATGGTGTTTCGGCTAGTTATGTTATAAACAATTTTAAGTAATTAGTTTTTAAATTATTTTTGTACTCTTTATCCAATAATGCAAAAGACACTTTTGCAGGTAAATCGTATCGTAAACATTTTGAAAATCGATGACATAAAACTGTATGCCAGGTTGATATTTATTTTGTCTTAGGGTCACCCGTCTCCTAAACCTCCAGTTACCTTTATAAGTATGTTTATACTGTAATTTTTTAAATATTGTTCACTATATTTTATATTATACCAGCATTTTATAAACTATAAAAGGTAATATATAACAAACAGATGACAAAAATGTCAAAACTTCAACAATGTGCTATTACATTTTAATGTCAGAGGTATATAGATTATTAAATTTTATTTTATTCTAGAAATTGTACCTACAGGATATTGTATATATTCGATAAAATCAAATGAAAAAAAAAAATGTTTTAGTATTAAAAGTTATCTATTATTATACATTGATTGCGTTTGCGTGTATGTAATAACCGTAGCCTGGAGATTATATTAGTAATTATGAAGAATTTTGGTTTTTTATGTACACGTTGATTATCATCTATAGAAAGGTTTTTCAATAAATAATGTTCAGGAATTTTCGATGTAACACAATTATATTGCACGAAATATGCTTACGTCTTGTGATTACTCACGTTTTGCAAAACGGTTTAGAAATAATTAGTTGCCAAAACCAAAAAATAAAAAACAACCTAAAGTCAAATTGACACATTGATAAAAATTTGAGATACATATATCCCATTAGATAAACCACATCAAATCAATATTGTAATAAATAAATTTGTGACAATTTAGACATTCATACGAGATAGTATAAATCTAATAATGAATGATTTAAAAGTAATTATTTTACCAGGTGATAGTTCTTGAATAGAAATCGGTAGCCGGGAATCTTCCGATCCAGTAATAGTTATACCTAAAGGTTCTCCTTTTTTGTACAATTCCACCGTATATTGCACTAAATCGTCTTCGTTTTCATAATCGTCTAGCAAATAAAAAAAAAAAAACGAATTAGTTCACAACGAAACATGTGGATAGAACGCTATGATATATTGATATTGGATAATGTATATGTTATCGTATAAGAACTAGCCGGAACAACCGCTGCGATCGTAACTCATACGTGTTCAACATTGTATGAAAAATGTTATATTATCTGAAGTTTTTATCTCGAACGGAAATCATTGGCGAGTGTCATTCCTGACGGTAATGTGTCGTACATTAATCACAAAAATGTTTACGAACGATGACGGTAAAATCAAAATTAGAAAATATTTGAGTCCCTTTCGTCGCGTACGTAAATTCGGGTTAAAATCTTAAATAAAAACGCGCGGAGATTGTAGTAAAAATTACGACGTCCGAACCAACATTTTGATGTTGAAAAAAAAATCACCCGCGAAATAACTGTTCACGGCGTCTACTATCGTACACAGGGACAAACGCCCGAAAACGTATGACTACCGGCAGTGGGTTCGGTCCCCGGCAACGGCTGTACTGCGTTACCTGTCGTGGCACCGGAAGTTCGCACGCGCAACGTCACCACGTCTCCGGCTTCCTGGAGTATGTCAGTCGCCTCCTGTCTAGTACAGTCGCTCAGCGATTTGTTGTTCGCGGCCAACAACGTGTCGCCGATTTTCAACGTGCCCGATCGGTGCGCTATTGAGCCCGGCACGATCTCCGAAATACACACTTGTCCGTTTCCGTCGTCTGCAGCAGGTCAGGTGAACACGCCGACCGACAATTAATTATACATAACGGTTAATAATAATAGTAATGATAATGCGTTGTTTTACGGTCAGAGATGGAACTAGGAATTACGCCTTATCATAGACCAATAATCAAATACTTTTTTCGAGAATTTTTTCTAATAATTAATATACAATCATATTTATTGAGTTTTAACTTAATATCAGTATTTAACAGAGTTAAAAATATCAAATTAGTTGTTAATAATTACAAAAATTATACCCTATAAAATGTTACGTCCGAGGATGAATACCTACTCGTCTTTCACCCCCTAGTTCCGCCCCTGGTTACGGTTCAATTATTGTTACGTTACGCATGACCATTGCGATTACTACCGTCCGTGCGGTTCACTTCAGGTCCGCGAGTTCAGTGGAAATTGTTCAAAATGAAACGTATTAAAATCGGCATTATTGATCTGATGTCGCTCGGTGTACAAATTATACTACGCGAAATTATTTTAGAAGTAATCGTTTATGAATAATATATACTCGTAGTTCAGATAAAATCTTCAATGGATGATTTCAAAAAGAACCGTGAAAATGTTGCATTTCTAGGTTCGTTGTTATTCTGGCAATTTTATTTTTATTGTAGTTTTGTTATCGCTTACAATTTATGTAAACAGAGAAGTGAACAACAGTTATAAAAAAAAAAAAAACTGGAAAAGAGAATATGTTTCGATAACATATAATTATTGAAATACTCCAAATTTAAAATGTATTGGAAAATAATATTCGACTTACAATGGTATACCTACGCCAAACATTTTTTCTTTGGTTAGTACGTTTCTAGAAAATTATCAAAAAACAACAATGTTTGGTTCGTTATTTTTAAAGTTTGTTTTGAAAATATTTTATGTATAGAAACGTTAAAATAAAAAATTGGTTCACTTATTCAATGAAATACATCCGTACACAACTCTCACCGGACAGTGTATAATAGTCATGCCTATTTATAACAATATTTATGATGAAATGAGTGACTAATGTGATGAACAAACTTGATCCATTTTCTAATTTAATCATGAATGTTTGCAAAGTAAATATGGCATAAACATTAGGAGGAAGTAACCTAATCCGTATGGATGTCTAATTAACTGATTTACATTCCCGCGACCACATGTCTCTTCATTCATAAATTAATTTAAATTATAAAAGATGGATTGAAAAACTCGTTTTTATTATTGTTATAACAATCATGTATGATATTCATCTTAGTATAATAATATATCTTAGTATCGAATATTTTCTATTGAATCAGAACGAAAAAAATATGACTAACGGTTCATCATAGTTATTGTGAAATGTTCTACAATATTAGCTTACCTGTTATCGTGATCCCAAGACTCCTGTAGTCGTTTTTCACCAATTTCACGGTAAACTCTCCAGACGTGGGCACAACGGAATCGGCGATATCGAACTCTACCTTGATGCAAGCGTTTTTCACCTCGGGCCCTAAGAACTCGTGAAGAGGTTGCTGGTACAAGGGCACGAAACTAGTGCTCTTGCATCCGTTCACGGATAGTATACGGTCGCCCACTTGCACACAACCAGTTCTACAAGTTCAGAAACGCAGAACATACAAATAAATGTAAATTTATGTGCGTGTAATGCATGCAGTAAGGAAGCCTAATGTTTAGAGACAACGGAATAGATGATAATAACCTGTCGGCGGGTCCTCCCGGCTCGATATAGTAAACGACCAGAGCCAAGTTATTCGACCGAACGTCCATTCCAAACCGTCCGTTTTCGTCGGCTACCAATGTCAGTATAGTGTAATCAACACGCATTACCGTGTTCTCTATGCACAACAGATAAAATATAATGTTATTAAAAATAATATTTATTATAATTATAATAATAATACGCACAGAGAGTGCGGCGAGAGAGTTGCGATTTTTAATTATATGAGTATAGATTTAGATATCTTACGTGATTCCGTGGGTTCCCAGGCCACGGTCGGTTCGATTACCGGATCTTCGTACACGGAGTACAGGTGTTGGCGAGAGTCGTACGACGAACAGTCTAAAAAATAAAAATGTGCGTACGAGGTTATACTACATATGATAACAGTAGTGACGAAATTCAAAGGACCACTGCGGTTCGTTTTGTTTTTTTCGTTGCGATTGTAATACACCAGTACTTATTCTATTGATTAGTTGTGGAACCTTATGTTATAGAGTCATATACTTTTAACTGTCATACGTCGTGCACAAGTCTCAAACGATGTTTCACATAAAATCGGTTCCGATGAAATATCCTCCGGGAAAACTAGCAATTATTCGTGGAGTCCATGTCGAACATCCGAAAAAAGTTTTATTATTGCAGATTACGACCGAAAATCGGTTTTGAGACATTTTTGTGGTTAGATTAGTGTCATCACTAATCCTCCATCGAAATTAATTATAACCGTTATTTACGGTGTTTTGATGTTCTCCAACATCTAATCATTTTCTAATCCTCTTACATTCTGTGTGCGAAAAATCCGAGGTAAATGCTGGTATTATTTCTAGTCTGAGGGTTGGTTGAACGCCGCCGCAAGTCCGTAGCAATTTGTACACATCACTGGCCGCTGTCCTTAGGCCAGCCACTCTGGTATCGTTGACGGCCACTATCTGGTCACCCGGAAATATAGCACCACACCTAAGGTCACACCGTTCATATAGTATTATCGAATGATTTTACAAAAATCGAAAACAAAATTTCAAATAATGCCTATATACCAATGTGATGCCAAAGAACCTACTCGTATAATAATATATTCGTACACTGATATTATTTAAATTAAAAATAATATAATTTGTAAATATTTTTCGTATTTACATTTTTAACCCGGTACCACAATTCCCTGTGTCATAATCCCTATCTCATTAACGAGGTACAGACATCCGAAAGAGTCGACAATATTTCTACGGTAATACCGACAGAATTATACTTCCCTCGGTTCTTTAACAGCCAACCAATTAAAATAAGGATTTTAACTTATGGTGGCTATAAACAAGAATAACATAATACTCGTAATATTAACTATCTTGTTAATATTTAATTTTCACCATACGAACGAGCCCATATGCTACGAAGTTGGTGTCTGGTTGTTAAATTAATATTAATCGCTGTACCATAATACGAAGATTTAGGTTAGGTTTATAATTAGCTTTAAGAACTCGTATATATTTTTTAAGCAAGGATAATCAAATTAAATCAAAGAAAATAATAGATTTTACGATGGTAATATCGAAATCACAAATATTATGTAAATGGTTCGTTTACCGAGCAATATTTATCTACATTATTAATTGTACTCTGCGGTCAATAGCTAGGCAAAACTCACCGTTCAGCAATGCTACCAGGTTTCACATGGTCAACTACCACAGCACTGTTGTTGATTGTATTGGTCAAAGTCAAGCCTAATTGATGAGGTCTCGGGCTTTCGACTTCTACCAACATGGGACAAGCCGCATTACCGACCCGGTCCGCCGCGGATACTTGGTATCTTATGGTTAACCGACACGCTCCGTCCGTCTGCCTGAGTACGGCATCGGCGTCTGCTAGTGTCAGACCGTTCAACGAAACACCGTCGATGGCCAATAGATGATCACCGACCTTAATCGTCCCTTCTCTGAAATTTACAAAAAATACACACGTTTATATACCAATAATTCCCTCGAATCGATGTAATATGTGCCCATTGTAGGGGATCATAATTACGGACTAAAGTTAATGATGTTATTGAATATTGTGTTGCGTATTTCTTACATAGGTGCAACTAGGAGGCGCAATAGGGTTTTTAGTATCCCTTAGTTCAAATGTAGTACTCCTGTTTTTTTTTCAGATCTATATAATCTATAGTAATTACAGTTAAATATCATTTAATTTAATTTTCAGAAATTTCAGCACCTTCAATATTTGGGTTCTAGTTGCGCCCATGATTTCTTAAAACTTAGAAGCATCGGGATACTGTTTAGTGTGTTAAAAAAAAAACCTTTAATTCATACAATGACTGGATTGAATGATTATACGCGTAGTATAAGCCCAAACATTAGTCAACATTGAGAACTAAACTTTAAATTCTATTCCATATTTTCCGTTAAAAACACGAGGAAGAATCCATGAAAACACGTGGATATGTATCATGATGATGAGTTTAAAAATACGATTCACGTGCAAACGTGATTGTCTGGAAAAATTTAAATTTTTCAACTACGTACGATTTATTTATCACGACCTACACGATTTCGATTGAACTAGGACCCACCTGTCGGCTGGTCCGTCGGATCTGACGTGTGTTACAGTTAACGGTTTGCACATTTCTGGGTCCGGATGTGCACCGCCACGCAATACTATACCAAGGTTACCATCTTCTCGTTCGATGAACACGTCAATTACTTTGTGCTTCACATATTGATCTGAGAACAAAAATAATTGGGATACAATTATACATTTATCTATTCATTGTATACACGTACCTAAATCTTATAGTTGCGAACTTTATATTATATTTCAATATACAATCGTTAAATATAAGGAGAAGTAACCTTCATTATTAATTTTTGTTGAAATTATTGAATTGCCCTTATTTATTGGAATGATAAAACTTAACTTTGGAATTAATTCTATATCTACAAGAAAAATACTATAGATTTTAATTTTAGTCAATAGTTAATTATGGCTGTACTATTATATACCGCATTTGTATTTTATGATATTAATTGAACGTGAACTTTAATATTACTCGTGCATGCTATCATTTGTATTGTATCGGTTATTTACTACACAATTTATATGTGCAATATTGTACAAATGGAGTTTTTCCGTTAATAAAGAAATAATAATAATATCTATTGGAGGTATAATAATACAAGTTAATAACAATAATCCAAGAATAACTGAGGAAATTCAATGATATTTGAAGAAATTTGAAAGAGTTAGTTCGAATAAGCTTAAAGCTAAAAGAATATGTTTCGAAGTGGACGATTACATTACATTAAGGTATAACCGTGGTATACTGAATCTTTTTACATAAAACACACACATTCAACATTAAGTTAGTATAACAATTACATAATCGTGGTTATTTATCTACCTCGGTGATCACTGATCTCGTTAAGTTGTATTATTTATGAAAACGTGATTAGGCTTACATCAGATACAAGTAGGTACACCAAGATAAACATTTTAGATGAATTAAAACTACTACCAGACCTATGTGATGAAATTAAATAAACTAGAAAAACAACTCGATATTAAAAAAAAAAAAATAACTAAAGAAAAAAAAATAAATAAAATTATCACTTTAATACTGATACTATAACTTTATATGTTGTACTTACGCGTATTATAAATATTTGATATCACACGGATCGAACACAATGTGTAAAATAGGAAGGCTAATTTGATAAATGAAATGGGATGAGCACCAGTCCTCATAAACCCCTATAATCCTAATCGTGCTCAATAAATACACTAAAACGAACTCAGTCCCTGATCAGTGAGAGTGTACAAAATAATTTACGAATAAATAATTAAATGAAAGATATTATATGTAGACTAATATAAATACTATATACGTACATTGATCTACGTAGCAGCTGGGCTCGTAAATCGTGTTCTTGGATACCATTCGTTGATCTTTGGTCTTCTGGGTTGAACAAACCTTGTCTAGTAACCCTAAAAAACCAACCCTAACAATATGAGTAAAATCTTAGACGTTATGGTGTACAACTCAATGTGAACTGTTGAATTTTATATTGTGCTCTTATGGGGATCGGAAAGAAATTTTAAAACGATGTACATGTACTAAAATCGTTGGAAAAAATTTGAAAAATTTGGGATGTGCAACTAAAAATTGGTGAATACGTTTTCAGTAGCACAACTCAATATTTCTAAATACGTTTTAAATTCCTACTACGTGGGTTATGTATTGCAGCTGACACCACGTACTACTGCTATATGAGCCCAGTGCCGGCTGCAATGGTGTGCGAAGGGTGTGCAAAGGGTGTGACCATACTGGGCAACGCATTTTGAAAGGCCCACCGCATTTAGGTTCCCTCAGATGCTGTCCTTCAAAATACATTTGAAACTATAGAAAATTATTCTCAAATAAAATTGTAAAAACTAAAATATGATGCCAAATTTTCAACCAAGTGGAATGAAAGCAGTTGTGGTAATTTTTCACACTTGACTTGGGTAATTCAACAGTTCTATATTATTTTTATATTGCACAAAATTCATAGGGTCCCGGATTGGTGTGCATTTTACAGTCGGATAAAGACACGTTTAAGTGATAGTGGTCAGGGGATTATTTATGGTAGGGGGGGGTGAGAAGATCTATAAATTGTAGGAGCTTATATTATTATTGTTTTATGAACTATAAGTTTAAAATTGATCATGTTATATAGCCACCTATTAATATTCTATTAATATGTAGGTATTTAATTTCATTATTTTTTTAAAAAATGTTATGATTATATAATACAAATTAAAGTTGTTTACTAAAATTCTAATTTTTGTTATTAATTGGTAGAATTTTGAAATGTTGTCTAGAGGAAATGAACCCCGTCACCCCCACCAAAAAAAAAATCTAAATTCATCCCTGATAATAGTAGGGTGGTAGTATTACACTTGGAATGATATTAATTTTAAAGATCAAAAAAGTTGTTTACAGTACAGCGCTTGAAAAACAAACGATAGAAAAATTGATTTTCAAGACGGATAGCACTTAAATGGAATCCACGCGGTTACACCAGAGTCACATCGCACGGTCACACATTCAGGGGATTCGGGCAAATGGTTGTTAGACGTTTGCAGATCACTGAGCTCGCTCCCGCACCACACGTCCGAAAGAGTGGAGGATGATGGGGAAGGGCCCGTGGATCAGAGAAGAAATATTCGCACCGGACCCCGCGAAACTTCGGTGACGCTGCTGCTGCTCACGCGTCGGCTCCTTACATTTGCTCGTGGACTTCCGGTGCCGCTGCGCCGTATCCTCGTCGGTCGTACGTTGCTGCTGCGGCTTCGGCGACGCGTGTTTCTTCGATCGCAGCGTGGAAAACTTTAACGACGAAAACATTGCGCCTTCGTCATGCTGATTCACCGCGGCGTGGTCTTCGAAATTCAATGACGACGAGTTTTTCAGACCGCGGGTACGAGCGCGCGCACGCTGTAACTGCACTGCACAGGTACACACTGTACGGCGTACACGCCGTCGTCGGCTGAATCCGTTCTCGGCTGAAGTTTAATTTTGGAACGCTCGACTTACGCTGCGCATACGATATGATATGTAATAGCCGACGCCGACAACGCCGTCGCGGTCGTCCCTTCCATCAAACGACGATGACGACGATTAGGAAAAAAGAGGGAGGGAGAGAGAGAGAGAGAGAGAGAGAGAGAGAGAGATAAAAGAGAGAAAAAATATATTTCTACCACGCTCAACTCGCGATAGTCTCCGTCGTTAAAGTCGCCTTTTAACAATTGCAGACATAATTCACACAAGCGCCGGTGCAAAATAGCAGGACTTTCCGTATGTAAAAACAATTACGGGAAACGAAAAGAACAAGGGGAGAAAAATAAATGAATTTTTTTTAAAAAAAAAAAAAAATGAGAAAAAATTCTATATTCGTTAATATACACGTTGAAGGCCCGATGTTGATGCGTTTGGAGGTGGGAGAGTCGGTCTAATTATAGAGCGGAGGGATTGGAGACAGGAATATAACGAATGAACGCCCGCGAAGACTCGTATTATGTGTACGGTGACGTACTACGTGTTTATAATATCCATCTGTTATATTCATTTTAATGTTTAGTGATTTTAAAAATAATCCACAACACTATACGTTGTATTATTTTTAAACGGTATAACTTTTAGGCCAGAAAAAAAAATACAGCGACCACAATATTTGTTCATACAAATTCAGTTTTAGCCAACCGTGCTTGCTAAACGTATTATAACCATAATAATGTGTTATTTGGTCAAATGTACACTTATGAACCGGTTGACGCATAAACGATTAATTTACGGACGTTAGTTTTAGTTCAAAGACAATTTTAGTTGTCTCAACACTAATATCAGTAGTAACACCATTTGTCTATATTTAAATACTCATTTAATACGAATAAGAAAACATTATTTGGTTTGAATACTTTTATTTATGTCGTATACTTATTACATTTAACACAATAATTGTCTGCGTTTTCAGAACACATTTCATAATTTTCAACGGGTTTTAAAGCCTATATCAGAATTAATATTTCTTCTTTTTTGCAGACATGAACTACACGGGATGTAAAATATATTAAAAATAATCATTTATAAATTCAGTGTTTAGATCGCTTTTAACGTTATCGTATACGTATAGTAAAATAAAGCTACATGTATTAATGCTTTTCATCAAAATATATTTCAAGTGTAGAAATGTAGATTCTAAGTAATCTAAATACCTGCAGGAATCACAGAATAAATAGCATGGTTGATCGCGTTTAAATCGGAATCATATACACCGCTGTACGTTTACCAAAAGCCTGTCTGTCTGTTTTCGTCAACCGGGGTCAAAATGCACGCGCGAAACAACGGAAATAAATCGATAGGCGCCACTGTCACGCCACGGATCGTCATTATTACCGTTATCGCGTTCGGGAACCGATAATTTCAGTAAATGTTTCCAACACGGCATTTGCGATGGTTTACGAAGATAACAACGTCCGTTTTTTTGTTCCGCTTTTCCGCGGGCGTCGCAGTAAGCGCCAAAAAACCCGTACGGGCACAGGTTTTTTTTTCGTAGTGGCTGAACAATGTTCGACGGTCTGAAAAGCGCGGACGACCGGGGCGGCGACGTGCCGAAGACTAAGCTGCTAAAGACCAGCATGCGTCATCAGTTCAACGAGTTCTTCGATCACAGCACGCTGCACGGCATCCGGTACATAGCTCAGAACGATCGGCCGCTTCACGAACGGTAGGGTTCTTAAGGATTTAGGTGCGATCGACGTGTGCGACGATCCTGCACTCATTCCATATTTTTAAAATTGTTATACAATTATGCTACGTTAAAAGATTAACGGTTATGTTAGAATACCATGTTATCGACTTGTGAACGATTTGAAATGTGTTGATTCCGCTTAGTTCTCATTTATATTTCATTATTTTAAAAATTACAAAATATGCTATACAGTTAAACAGATTTAAATATACAAATGTTCCGTATAGGTTCATGTGGTTCAGTTTCTTATCAGTGGGTATTGTAATTACTTCCATCATTATAATATCGCTCTGGGAAAAATTTCAAACTAGTCCGACCATCACCGGTTTGGATACGGACTTTCACAATTGGGACGTACAATTTCCAGCTATAACGATTTGTCCTCTCCAATCTACATCCGATGAAAAAGTATGGGAATACGTTTCGAGGTAAATAAGTTTTTTATTTTAACCAGAATCTCTTTCATTCACTCTTTCTCTTCCTCACATGCACTTTTGTTGATTATGGATTCACCTATTCTATATGTATATATACATATATATATATATATATTAGAAATACTGTTTGACATTATACAAATGTCAACGTTGTTACAATATACTCTAACGCACCCCTATATTGGATTCTCAAAGAATACCTAATTGAGACAATATACCGTCGTGTATATCAATCTCAACTTCCAAACAAACTCTGACATTTCAATTTCAGCTTAGTAAAATAACATATGAAGGTACAATATATACACGTGCTGTACACTTTACACGCTGTAAACTGTTGACTATTTGAATCTTTGGTTTCAATCGTTTATTACAAAAGTTATTGTCGCTATAATAAATGCTGAGTATTAGGCGTTCTCACGAGAATGGAAAGAGTATGGGAAATATATCTCCTAATGATTTTTTTTATTTTTATTTTCAAAAATCCAGAAAAATATATTGATAGGTATATTGTTTTAGAATTATGAATATAAGTATATATTGTTTTTGTTGTAGTTTAAATAACAATAATAATATGAATTTAGGATATATGTTATGCAGTAATATTGCAGTTGTGGTAGAGAAAACCGACAAAACCTTTTAGGGCTTATTTTGCAATCATTTTTTTATCATCTTCCATTACAATATCCTGAGAACACCTGTTTCATTTTTAAATCGAATGTATGAATATACTATCTGCACTTAAACGTTATTATATAAAAATAATTTGATAAACACCCAATTGTCCAAATTATTTATTTATTATATACAATATTGTATATATTGTATACAGTTTATATGCATATTGTTATGTAACAAACTGATTTTAAATTTTTAAAGTAAGAAATACTCTTACCTACGCTTGATTAAAAAATACATATAGTTATTAGGACAAATATTAATATATTTATTCATAATTTTGTAAGTAAAAAAAAGTTGCAACTATTATATTGTTCACACAGCGTGTACGATGTGGCTAACACGGATAACGAACGTGTCGAAATATTTTATAAATACATTAACGCGATAGCATCATTCTCATACAGCAATATCGAACAGATAAAAACGTTTTCCGATTACGATTGGTTACCAAAGGACAACTTCAAGGATCTAGCTTACAAAGTAAGACTCACAATATATCCACATATCTCACATATCCGTTAAAGTGGCTTCATTTAAGTATATTAAACACGTAAAGTGTAACCACTTAAAAATGGCTTATACTATACAAATATATGTTTACTACATACTTTCTCGGGACGTAGTTGCTTATTCGAGGTATGGCGATTGATTACTTTTTAAGTAATTTTTTGACATTTTTAGTTAATTTTTCCACATTTTTAGTTATTTTACTGATTTCACACTTGTTCATTTCTTATTGTTTCTTATCGTCCATTATTTATATTATTTATAAACAGATAATCGTCATTGATTTACTTTTGATAACATCAAATACGCTCTAATTATACAATGCAATGATTTTGATTTTTGAGTAATTTGTAAGCTTTGATAAATTTATAAAACAAATGTTTGTCATTTTTTTGTTTTATATTTTAAGGACATTTGTTGTTATTTTTATATTATATTTGCATCTTTTTTAGGTCATTTTTTAATGTTTTTAAGGTCATCAACTTCCGAGCCCTAATTATAACTAATCGAAATCAATAGTATTCAATATAACATTATTCTGTACATCACAGATGACATAAGACGTAATCTGTGATTATATCGAATAAATGGATATTATTTGTTTTCGACCAGGCAAATAAAATTCATTTTAACCTTATGTTTATTAAAATATCTATACTTCCCCTATTTTCTTACTCGAACACGATGATCATGATGGCACTGTTCACCTCGGACAAATTACAAGTTAGTTATCTACTCGCCGTGCTGCTCCATTTATGTGCAACCACCAGGATATATTCTGAGGCACTGTTGAACGTTGTTTACGGTGTTGAGAACAATGTTGTGAAGTATTTATGCTAAATTATTAGGAGATCCCTCAGTCTCATCATATTTTCACCTATAGAAGCAATCAGTGGCGATTTTTTTAATTTTTTTCTGGGGGGGGGTGTCCTTTTACATTATCCTATAATATATGAAGACAAAAAATGTTTAACCCATTAATAATTTATTACTTAAAGTCTTAAAATGTAATTCTTACACTAACAAAAAAAACATAGCATAGTATTTTAGTTACAAGACAAAATATATAAAAATATAATATATCACAACTTTAACTCGTGACCTGAGGGAGGGTCCAGAATCCCTGGACCTCCCTCCCCCGCAAAATCGACACTGAAAACAGTAATTGTTAAGATACATTGCGTCGTTGATAAAAACCCTTAGAATAGATCCTAACAACCACGTTCCTCTAATAATCGCCACGTGAATCACGTTTTCACATACTTATATACATTGTTGTACAGGTTGTTTATCATTGTGAAGACCTAATGTTTGACTGCACGTTCAAAGGTGAACCGTACAACTGCTGTTCCGGGTTCGAACCGATTTTCACAGAATATGGATTTTGTTACAGCTTCAATTCCAGACACGTCGTCTTGGACTGGCCATGGTAATACATATATTAGAAAATTAATTCATACAAGCGTACTGTTCCACCAGTGGTGTTGAACTAAAATTAAGTTGAGAGGAGGGGGCACCATAGGTGCAAATAGGGAATTTCAATGGAGGAGGGGCTTCAGCCGTACCATTTAACCAAAAATTATAAGCTGAGGCTTTGTCCTCATACCTTTAAATGATCCAAAATAAACATTAAATTATTATTATTAATTATAATCACTAAGAGCTGTAATATTGCAAGATAATTACATATATAAAATAATAAATGTAAACGATATAAAATGATAGTTAATCCGGGGGGCTTAATTTACATTAGGGGGCTTAGCCCCCAAGCCCCACCCTATTTGCATCTATGAGGACACAATTAATTGTTGGATGCCTAAAATCTACAATATGCACCCTCTAAATATTATATCGGGTACTCGTATTATGAGTCCTAGTGTTAAGTAATTTTAAGTAAACGTTTTTATCGAATACACATCGATTAACACTTACCGAAAATGAAAGAGGGTTACCCTTTTTGGATCACAGGTTAAGCGTTCAGTGTCATAGCTGAATTTATGATTTTCGATAAATTTATCTCGAAACGACAATTCACAATCGGTCGTGAATACTAGTAATATAATTATATATTATTTATTTTCATCATTACAGGAAACCTGAAAACTATTCAAAATCCGGTACAGAATATGTTTACGAGACGGACAACAAACTGAGTATCACGTTCAACACGCATAACACGACTAAAAACCCGTTGAATGTAATAATAATAAACACGATTCGGTTCTTTTTTATCTTTCAAAAATATGCATTTCTTCATATTCTGATTTATGAATAGTTTATTTATAAATAAAAAAAAGCTGTATTATTTTCCATAACATAGAATTGTCGTAACTACCTCTCAATGAGTATTTTGTGTCAATATAAACTTTTGTTTTTCAAATGAGAACACCATTTATTTTCGCAAATTATTATTCAAGTAATTTTTCTGGAATTTTCGACGTATAACGTGATAAGAATTTAAGGCTACATATGAAAAGTTAAAAGTAATGAGAATATTGATATTATTTGAAAATACGCAAATTCCTGAATATGACAACAGCAGTTCGATACTCTTTGGAAGAGGTAGATACAAGTGCACTGCAAAAGAATGTAGTGGAAAATAATACAGTTTTCTTGTGCGCATAATATAAATTGACCAAAAATCATAATTTGATAAAAATATGTAATCTAAGCGAAGAAAGGATCTTACAACGAATCATTCTGCACTAATGTGTATACGTATTTTTTCTGTATGCGTTCTTTGACCCATTGGCACAGATATTCATACACAGCACGGATGATATTTTGGTCATTGACACGTTACCGCAACACCTATGGACCAGAAGGATAGCGAGGATATTGTTCGACAGCAAACAGACTTACACCACCGAGGGAGCCCGGCAGTTGTCGATCAAGCAGAGGAAATGCGTTTTTCCGGATGAAATACCGTTGTTGACCGACCATATATACACGTTTAGCGCTTGCATGATCCAATGCCGGATGGACACCAGTAGGGCACTGTGTGGATGTGTCTCGTGGTTTTACAAGACTATCGGTAAGTAACGCGAAGAAATGTTCTTGATTTATTGTATTTATTGTAACGTAATGGCGACCGACAACAGTAACAAGTGTTCATAAACGTATTTCATCGCCTCCCCCATAGATGCTGGGAATTTTAAAAATTATAATATTTTAAAATATTTACTCGATAAAAAATAACAATCTTATAGCGAAAATTTAAATTCTCTTGAAAGTTAAAATCCAATCAATATTTTTCCCTCGAAGTATTCACAGCAAAATATTTGAATTTTAATGATAAATAATCACAGAATATTGTTATTTAAATACTTTTCAAGTAGATACTTGATTTAAAATGTAAAGAGTAATTAAGTATACTTATATGTAAAAAAAAAATATCGTCTCTAATATTTCACAGCACTGCTAATGGTTACTATACATGAATATGAGGTATTTCACAGTCATAAATATGATTTTATAATAAGTCATTCCCTATTATGAAAATAATTGATACAATTTGTCTGCAAATAGGTAAATTATTATTGATTTAACATCGGCGGGGAATTATAGGTATTCTATAAAAATTTTTTTTCATCACAATAATAAACAATGTAAAATAATAAATTAATTCATATCTTGGTAAATTGATTCTATTTTATTATTTCAGATGGATACAAATATTGTGATTTGAAAGGACTTGTTTGTATTTCTAAGCATCTTGGTACGTATTCGTAGTTAATTTTTGGTGTAAAATAATGAAAGTAATACATAAAATGTCTTTGAGCTTAACTTAAGATTAAATACAATTGTCCGATAAAAATTAAAACTCAAAATCGAATTTATGAATAAATAATCGCACAAATTAAATTATTTCAACAATTTGATTGCTTTTCTTTTTATTATTTTTTTTCATAAGTCGAAAATTAAATTTTGAACGAAGTTAGTTTATTAGTTTTAAAATGTTTTTGCCAATTATTTATTGACAATTTTTCTTGTAGATAGTCATTCTGCATTGATAGTTTTAATGTTAACTATTTAAGTCTACTATATCTAATTATTTTTAGATACACGTTTATGAAAGTGTATATTTAATATATTAATTTTACACTGCCCTTTAAGGTTTCACTTAAAATGATTTATCATTATTTTTAAATTTATACAGCAAAATATTAGAAAATTCAACAAAAGATTTTGTTGAAATATCTTACTGCCTTATCATTATTTTTGTTGTTAATCTTTGAAGGCCAAATGCTTACATTATTAATTAAATACAAAACGATTAAAAACTAAATTAAAACTTACTGTATAAATTGGATCATCAACCACTTTATACAGCTAGCCAAATTGGTGAAAGGGTTTACAATAGTGTAATAATGAATAACTATATACATATATTCAACTCAATATTTTCAGATAAGATTTTAAATGGACTTGCCTGTCCATGTAAATTGGGATGTATGAACACAGTATATGAAGTTGAAAAATTACAAGACGCCCAGTATGAAAATATTATATTATTTGATTCAAAATAATTATGAATAACTTACTTTGTTCAAATGTTAAAAGGGCTGACATAATTGATAAACCTTTGGAAATCACTTTTGTATCTTGGCCAATGGTAAGATACAGAAGAGAAGTATTATTTGGCTGGGTGGATTTACTTGGTAAGTTAATAACTTTATGGATACGATATTATTATTACAAAATATTATTTAAATCTCTATAACTATTTTCAGTGGCTTTTGGTGGCATAGCAGGTCTATTTTTAGGATTTAGTTTGTTGAGTGGTGTGGAAATTTTGTATTACTTCACAATGAGAGCATTTTGCATGGTAGCTTATAATCCTAAGGCATTAGAAGAATTAAGTAAAGACTATGAAAATCAAGATAAACCAGTTATAGACCTAGGTTTAAAGCCATTATGGACAAGAACAGAAAACAAAGGAACTGATGTTACAAGAAAAAATGATAAGAAAAAAGAAGCATTTGTTTTGCCTTTTTTGCATTAAATATTATTATAATAACTAACAAAAATAAATCCATACAATTACACAACTACACATAAACATAATATTATGTATTATGTATATATATGTATATATATACATTTATGAATTATTATAACAAAAGCAAAACAAGTACATTGCACAACATAATAATTTTCACTAAAAAGTATAAATTTTCTAGTTTTGACTAGATGATATCAAATAGAAACATTTGTAAACACTAAAATATGGTAAATAATAAAATAATGTTAAATAATGATATTAAGGTTATTAAAATGTTACTAATTTCTTTGGATAAGATTGTTCATTTGTTCATAAACACAGTTTGGGCAAGCCGAATTACTGGTATCTTGTAGTGTTGTTTGTACAGCTGCTGCAGTATTAGGTAAATGATCTAGATGATCAACCACCATTTTAGTATCTTCATTAAATTGTTCATTTGATGAATAACGATGGCCACAAGAATATACTAATAATGTATCTCCCAAAGTTTCAGTATCCTATGAAAAAAAAAACATTGTTAAATGCATACGAGAAGTAGATAGATTAAAATTCATACTTGAAACTCTAAATGCATGAACGGTTGAAATTGGTTAGTATTAAGTGTTTGTACTGAACATTTTAACAAGTCTTCAGATTTTGTTTCTGATAATGGTTCTATCCATCCAGAACCTGGTGAATTAGTCACAGTGGCCAGTAGCTGTATAAAATCTTTTTGATTTTCAGCTAAAAAAATAAATAATTGTAGAATATTTTAAAAAAATGTGAAGATTTATGTTAGTAAATATTGATGAAAAAACAAACATTTGTTTTCTATATTTTTAGAAACAGATGTGCATAGTTGCAAACAAAAATTCACAGAAAAACATCTAATAATTGTTTTTGGCTCCATAATTTTCATATCTAATTCATCAAGGTCATGAGCTTTTGAAGAACCACTATTACTAAAATAAAGAAAATTATTTTAAATTAAACATTATTAAATGTATACATAAAGTAAAGAACTTATACCACAATAACAGAATTCCTAGTGGATGATTTAATTTGTCCCATCGATCTAATAATAGTTGTTCTAATGCATCTACAGGGAAAGACTTGGTCAACCAATATGTAAGATACTGAAAAAAAATTAATTAATATTGTTAATTCAAAGTATTTAATTTTAAAATTGCCTTTTTTAAACACATACTTCATGCAAAAATGAAACCAAATTGTCTTTGGGTATAAATTTAAAATAATACTCAAACATCTGAGCAAGTTTAGAAATTCCTGGCCATTCTTTTACAATAGTTTCTTCAGTAACTACACGTGATGCAAAAGACTCCGGTAAAGAAGTAAATAACTCTCCTTCTTCAAGATTTATAGAAAAACCCTCACAAGGTGTAAGAGCAGGAGCTGGCTCTTCATGGCCACCTTCTACATTAAAACCAAACATTTCCCCATAATCTCTAGTTTCTACAAATGCTTCATGTTGATGAAATAATGCTAAAGAAGGTTCATTGTTAATCAACCTAATTTTACTAATTGCTTGATGGTTTTTCATCTCAAGACACTAAAAAAAACAAAATAATTTAATCAATTTGATTGCATAACTTTAATATCTAAAAAAAATAAAACTATACCATAGAAACAACAGAAGAAATATTATAATAAGGGTAAAACCACTCTGCTGCATAATGTAACAAATAATCTACACCATGAACATTGAATATGTTATTGAGATTTTCAAGAAAGCGTTCAAATGGACATAAGCCGGGAAAACTTAATAGCCGCTTTACCTAAAAAATAAATTATAAATATAGCCAATAAGCTAATTGCTTAATATTATTAAATAACTTACCTGAATTGAAAGTATATCTTTAATGTTTGAAAATGAAAACCTTAACTGTGGCAATATTATTTCAATTGGAGAATCTAATTTATTTACAGTGCCATGTTGGATTTTAATAACTTTATGTGTTGATTTAATCATAACCATTTTACCATCCAACAATGTCTTTGCCAAATCTTCTTCTGGAATTTTACCCAACTTAAAGGAGATAAATCATAATTAATGTCAAAGAAGTTTATTAAGAGAATAAATGTTTACTTGTCCTTCATGATTGCTACCCCATCCCCATAGTTTATTGGATGCATCTAAAGCCAATGTAAAATCAGCTCCACATCTAACTTCTTTGATTAAAGAACCATTAGTTGATGAAGGGTCTGCAACTGAAGGTGGGCCAACTAATGTGACAGTCGGAACAAGTCTCTCGCGAACACCAGACACTCCTAACTGTCCATCTAAATTAAGTCCCCAAGTGTATAATTGTCCTGTTGAATTAATAACAGCTGAATGATGACAACCACAACACATCTAAACATAAACCATTAAATCATAACTATTTATTAATAATGTATAGTTAGTTATTATACTTGAACAATTTCTCCTAGAATATGAGATGTATCTACAAGTGTTGGACTTAAATGTAATAGACCATCATCAGCTGTTAATGCATCAATTTCTGCATCCATCTTCAAACCAAATTTGAAATACTTATAAATAAATATAATGATTTTCAAAAATAAAAAATAAAACTTACATGATCGCCTTCATTTAAGGCAAGTTGATTTCTGGCTCTTTTTTGTGTTTGAGCATGAAAACGGAGTACTTGTGGACTACTACCCCAAGTATATAAGCGACCAACATCACTTAAGGCTAACTAAATGATTTAAATAAATTATGGATATTTTAAATGCTAGAATAATAAATCTTGCTTATAAATTAAATGTAAACTTTACATTTTTAATAGAATAATAGAAAATTAAATAAAATTTAAAAATTAGTAAATGGTTAATACTCGTAATTTAATATAAAAATAAATAAACAAATAGTCTTATTTATTTAGCGTATGGCAAATATAGCAATTTACAACAATATCACATAATAAAGAGAATATAGACAAATAGTTAATACATAGAAATAAATAAATAAATGATTAGTATGGAGTATTATTATATTTGTTATACATTACGTAAAATTAGAGTCACAATTTTATTGACATTTTATACTTTTTATAATCTGAAGATGAATTTGTAATTTGAAATCGATCATGCTTTACAAATATAATAATACTTCAGACTAAGCTTTTATTTATTTATTTATATGTTGGATGAAATGGAGAGAAGCTTCAGGTGTTTTATGCAATAAGAGAATTCCAATGAGGCTAGAATGTAAATTTTACAGGAGTGTAGTAAGACTAACTATCCTATATGGCTTAGAGTGGTTGGGCGGCTGAAAGGAGAATAGAACAGAGTATGATGGGGAAATTAAAATGCTTAGATGGAGGAGTGGAGTGACAAGAGAAGATAGAATGAAGATGGAATATGTGAGTAGTAGTATTGGTGTAGCATCTATAGTGGACAAGAGAGAAAATAGACTGAGATGGTTTGGGCATGTGGTTAGACGAGAGAAAATAAATGCAGTAAGAGTTGTTATGAAAATTAATGTTGAAGGGAAAAGAGATGGTTGGATATAATTGAAAATAATATGTGAGCCATTGGTGTATATGTAGGGAATATAGAAAATCGGGATGAGTGAAGGTTTAGGACATAAGTTTCCTACCCCATATAGTTGGGAGAAAGGTTAAGGAGAAGAAGAAGAACTAAAAATATTTTAGAGTAATTAAGATTTCAAAAAATTGAGAATAAACAATGGAATTTACTAAAAAGTAATTAAAAAATATTCCCTTGTAATTAATGTTTCCTGATTATTTATTTTTATTTTTATATGAAACAATTTTTTTAGAAACATTATTATTATTATTTTAAAATATACATATAATATATTTTTTATTGTAAGTTAAATTAAATTATATAATTATTATAAATTAATGGTTATACTCACATTATGAAAATATGCAGTATAAATACACCTAATTGGTTCTGGGAGTCCATAAACCGGAACTGGGCTAGTTATTTTTGTTGTACTGCCATTACCTAGCTGACCAAATGATCCAGAACCAAAAGTAAAAACTTTACCTTTACTAGTCAGAATTATACTATGTGAATAACCTCCATAAGCACTAATAATATTCTAAAAATGTTTGTGTTAATTTATAATATTTATTATTTATTTAAGCTATGCAACTTACTTCAGATTCTAAAGATTTTAATAGTTTTGGTTTTTCACAGTCGTCAATGGCTCCATGACCTAACTGTCCATAAACACCCCAACCCCAAGTCCATAACTTTCCACGTGTAGAAATGGCTAAAGAATGATATTGGCCGGCTGAAACACTAACCAATAACTCGTCTGATAAACTCTTCACTAACATTGGATATGGAGCTTGTCCACGGCGGCCTGTTCCTAGTTGACCATAACGGTTTGATCCCCAAGAATATACCTATAAAACGAAAACTTAGTCGATTGATTTTAGAATATAAAAATAATATTTAAACATTACCCCATTTGTTGTAAGTGCTATTGAATGATTTCGACCACATGCTACTTGAATTACTTCAACACGTATGTAAACAAACCAAGAAACTGGATTCGGTGTTGAAGTCTTAGTCATATGAGGTCCAACCCCTAAACAGCCACATGATGAATGTCCCCATGTATAAAGTTTATGGTTGCGTATATGAGCTGCATGAGCCCAACCAGCTCCAAGACTAGATTTGTGGTCTATTTCATTTTCAGAATTAGAAGTATTTGAAATAAGTTGATGAGAAAATGTAACGGATTCAATTAAATTATCTGAATATTGATTTGAAGATAATCTGGATATTATCATTAAATAAGTGGTCAACCATTCTTTAATAGAATAATTGAGCTGAAAAAATTTCAAATCAATTAGTAGTTATAATTTGCAAATTAATTATTTTATTAGAGTTAATAAAATAATAAATAAGTACTAAATTGTTTTCATAAAATTCTGATATTTAATTTAAATTTTTATTTAATTAAAATTTGTTTACTTACATTATTATCTTGCTCGGTTATGGATTCTGTTTCATTTTTAAATTGAAATACTTTGCGCAATATTGGTCGTAAGGCTGGATTAGATGGATCATAAAGAATTTTAAGTTTCTAAAAAATATAGAAAAATAATATAAATTTCAAATACTTATACAAAAAAAAAAAGTACTAATTACCAAAAGAATATCGTTGGATACATTTTTTAGATTTGCTTGTACAAATTTAGAATGCAAAGTTGTGAATTTATTACAGGCAACCAACACTTCTGTAAAAATTGATTCTGATACCAAATCCCAAAATCCTTCAGTTGCTAAAATTAATATATACATATTTTTTTTTTGTCAATTAGACTTGTTTTGCTCTTAGACATAAAATATGTACTTTAAATATTACACTAAAATGTTTCAATAATTTTATAATAACATTTACTTACAGTGCAAATAACGACTATCAGTAGATTGTTGACTCATTAAACTGACTAAGACTGTAATAACTTCATTGTGCAAACCTCTTTCAACAGCTAAAAATCTTAGCACATTGCATAAACGACTTTGACCAACGATATTGACACATAAAACTTCATCATAATGATTGTTTTCTGATAATAAACGCCTGGATTATAAAAGTAATTTTAGCATAAAATTAACAATTATAAATTTAATTTATATACAAAAATTTTGATTCTAGTCTTGATTTATCCCGGCTGGTAGCACGTAATAATTGTTCTGTATAGCTCATTACAGCTAAATTTGAAATATGTAATCTTTCTAATGGAGTGAGATCTCTTGGGTGTGCTTGTTCTAAAAGTGTACTAACAAATAGAACTACTTTATCAGTATTTCCAGAAGAGGCTAATCTTAGAACACGTTTTAATGGATTTGTCTAAAAAGTATATTAATTAGTCAATTAAATGATAAATAAAATAATTTATTTGTAAAACAATTAAAATAATTAATGATTGTAATGAACATAAATTTACCTTTGACAAACGATATAAAAGAGTAGCATCTTCAAATTTCCTTGCACTAAGTTGTTGATCAGCTGCTCTTTCCAATATAGGTCGTATATCAATGTCAAAGATTTCTGATAAATTATTTGCATGATCTAATGCACCATCCATAATATTCTTAAATATTATTTCCTCAGGTTTAATACTAAAATAACATCATATGGACATATATTAATAAGAAATCTATCAAATAATAAAATAATAATTTATATTTATTACCTTAAATGTAGAAAATATAATCTACAGTTAGTGACTATAGCACACAATTCAGATATAGAATTATCTTTACGGCTATGTTGTCGATCATATTTTTTCTTTTTACTAGATGCTGTTCGATTTTTATTTTTAGGAGAAACACTTAGAGAGATGTCTACATTTTCTTTAACCTGAAAATAAAGAATAATTAAATCTAAATAATTCTTACTATTGACACTCTTACTTTTCGTCCAAGTACTCTAAATATATTCAAAATTATTTCACCATTATCAAAGTTAAAAGTATCGAACAGGCTTTTTTCTTTGTCATCATCCTGCAAAATCATGGCAACAATATTATTTGTTTAAAGGCATATAACAATAGATTTAAAAATTATTTACCACATCACTTTTTAGTTGACAAAGATTAGAAGAATATACATTTAATTTGGTACCACCATTTTGAGAAATGAATATAAATTGGTCAGTATATAAAAAGTTTTCAATTTCTTCTCCTTTAAATAATTTGTATATTAAAGGTTGATTAGTGTTAAATCCAGAAGCATGTACCTAAGAGTAAAAAAAAAAAAAAAATGTAAGATAAATGTTAAATATTATATTATGATTAATCAAATGGTTAAAAAAACTATTTATTTTTCAATCAGCATTTAACATTTAACAGCTTACCAAAATATGATTAGAACAAGAGCTCACAATAGTTTGTTTACCACGATGACTCTGTACGCTAGATTTCATATCAACAACTGTAGGCATGGGTTCAGGTAATGGACCTGTACTTGGACAAGAACATCCAGAAGTAATTGTATCAGATGAAAAACTTCGTTTTGGATGTCTTACATCATTTGGCACTAAATAACAATAAAATCAAGTATTAATAAGATAAGAAGTACAATAGAATACAATAGTAAATAAATACCACTTTGAACACAATTTACAACCGATCTTTGTTTTTTAGGTGCAGATAATTTCTCTATAAATAGTTGCCGTAATCCTAGTAATCGAGCACGAGTTGAAGGAAAATTTGATATCACAGGAACAATGTTCTCGATATTCAATGAATTTGTCGGCCTAATATTAATTATATATTCAAAACTAAATCAAGATAATTAAATTTATGTATTATACTTTGCAGTTTTATCATGTGCACTATGTGTTTTTGGATTAAGCCAACAGTATCCAATATCTAAATTCTCAAGTAATAGTTTTGAACGATCTCCATTTGTACTAATTATCTAAACATATTAGTATTGTATAAAAAAAAAAAAAAATATTATTTTGTAAATAAAATTTTAAGAATAATATAATAATATGAGTATAATTACAATCAACCAAATTGTATTGGAACCACTTTCATTTAATATTTCGAGAAATTTTATAGAAAATTTTACACAAGTAGAACCAAGACAAGCACCAGTACGAAGATTAACAAAAACAATTTCTCCTATATTTCCTCCAACAATTCCAATATCACTAAAAATTTAATATATAGTTATAAATACAAAATATTCCTGAAAAAAAGAAAAAATTATCAAATAATTGAAATTTACCTTGAATATGTAGGAACTATAGGTGTCCACCAAGTTATGGCTGTTGGATTTAGTGAACTAGTTGGTTCTCCAGGAGCTGGTCTAATAATTTTCACTTTATTTCTTCTATCTCCCTCTCTAGGTTCAAATATTTCACGAACAAATACCAAATATAAAGTGCAATCAAATCCTAAAATATTTATATAGTTATTAGTTTTTTAAAAAATGTTAAAAGAAGTACAATTCAAAAAATGATGGAATAATTCCATTTTTTGCAAATTGTATTATTGAACAATATTAATTATAATTCTTAACCTTTTATTATATTTATTTTATATTGAAAATTATATAGTGACTATAAGATATGAGTTCAGTTTAATGTTGTTTATACAAATTACTGATTCATGATTTTTTTTTTTACCAAATGTTTAATGTACTTACCACATACTAAAAGCTTTTCACTAGTAGATTTGAATGCCAGTGAGACTATTCTTTTTCTATCATCTTTAGGCCAGGGTAACCATTTAAGTAATGGAGGCGCATGGTCACAATAAAGTATAAGATCATTGCTACTGTAATTTTGAAAACTAATTAATATGCATAGATATAAACCAAAATGTATTGAACCATCTGATATCTTACCTGAGAACTAATGCAAATATATTATTGCTATTAGTTTGGAAACTGACAGCATTTACAATACTGTCGGCCCTCAACAGCTCTTTTAAACATAATACATCTCCGTACAATGAAGGCATATTTATAAAACAAGGTATTACGTTTTCATTATTGATCATATAATTAATACTTTATTGGTAAAAAATATTAGGTAGGTATTTGATAAATTTTTTAAAATATTTATCTTAAAATTTTAAGTTCAAATCATATTATAATATTATTAAACAATAAAATTGTAAATACATAACATATCGCAAGTGTTGTGTACGGTATCAATGATCTATAAATGTATACATCGATTCATAACTCAACTGCTGCAGTTAGATAACCGTTCTTATCACTAGTAGGCTCCAAATTTATGATTGCTGAACGTCAGTATCTAATAGATGATAAGAGTATAAGATACATATTTTTAGAGTACTAATACATTTAAATTAAATTAAATGTTAATTCCTGTTTTTATTGGAAAATTATCAACAAATAACAGATCGTAAACTGTCAAATGTACGATGATTGACAGAGTACAGCAACATATTAGTAATATTTGTTGAGAGAACAAACTTTTTTATTTCAAACATGCAAGTATATTTTATGGGCATGGATTTAAAATTGATTTTTTTATTTTGTAGTTTAATATTTAAATCGTTTTTTTAATACAGGAAATTGATTAGAAAAAAATGTTAAATTGTTATTTTTTTGTGAACTTTTAAGTCCAAGATAACTTTATTGAAAAATTATTTTATTATCAATAAACTGAATTCTCTACACTTGAAAATTATACATAAACTAATTTTTAATGTTTATACTTTTAATAGATTGACTATGTCCGTCAAAAACGAACATGCTATAAATATTGATTCTGAAATAAAAAACACAAGAGGAATTATTGATAAAAATTGTGCTAAAAATAAGAGTGAAGAAACTGAAATAAAAAAAATTATTGACACTAAGTAAGTATTAAATATTATATTACTTTAATTACAATAAATAATATTTATTTAATTATATTCAGTGTTCATAGTGAAAATATAGCTTATAAATATGATGGTCTTACTTCTAGGTATATTTATCCCGGTAATCGACAGTATAAAGTTATAAGTATACTTAATATATACTATTTTAGGCTATTTTTGGTGGATGGTATCTTGTGTAAAAATATTCGACAAATAGTGATATTTTTAGAGTTTGGCACCTTTGATTCAAATTTAAATTTTAAAACCTTTTATAAAAATACCTATTCAAACTTTGATATTGTTTTGTATTCAATAGTTATTACAGCATCATTTTTATTGAGTTATTTATTTTTAATTGTTCATCACAATTTAGAATAAATATATATTCAGAATAAGTATTGAGTTGCAATAGTTACAATTTTAAGAACATGTTTGATTCTATTTTATTGAAATTTGAGGTTTAAAATTATTATTTTAATATTACTCATAAAATAATTAAATTTTGATTGTATTTTTGGTATATTAATTATTTATTAATTTAATATACATACATATAGTAATATGTAGTGATTACAATTTACTTACATACATGTAGTTCTATATTTGAAACAGAAACTTAGTACCTCAATTATTTTTTCAAACATGTTAGTGTACCCTTGGCTCAGAGTTTAAAAAAAAATAAATAAATAAATAAGATGCAGATTTTATTTCAATAATAATTTCTTCTATTTTTATTTTTTTCAATTCAATCAGGGCTTATATGAATTTATTTATAATATTTATTCTTTTAATAGATTGAATGTGCCTATTAAAAATGAACATCCATTAAATATTGATCCTGGAATAAAATGTAAAACAGAATTGGACAAGTTGTCTGATAAAATTCAATATGAAAAAGCTGACGTAAAAAGTGATGGAGATTGTGTTAATGCTCAAAATAAAAAAATTGAAGTGAAAAATATTATTGACTCCAAGTAAGTACTAAACATAGATTTGTATTTTTTTGTAGATTAATCAACAGCAAAGAAGGATCTATGTTATTAATACTACTCCTCTATTATCTTAATTTATTGATATATAAAATTGGGTTGAAATAGTGTACAAGTTATTATTACTTTAATAAATTACAATGTTTAATAATTGATATTTATGTAATTCTTAGTAAAAATTTTAAAAATTTAAAAAGTATTAAAAAAATAGATTGTTTGTAAATTGTTCTTTTTACAGTGGTAAATGGATTTGTTTTAATTGAATTTTTGTATACTAATTGCAGAGTAAAATAATTAAATATTTAGATTAAATCTGAAATCATAATAACAAAATATTTAAAAATATATGTATTATTATCTTATTGAATTTTAAGATTTATTTATTATTTATATATTTAATTAAATATAACTAAATATATATGTAGATTAGATGTTTACATTTTACTTATTTGATCATATTAATTAACCTTTTTTCTTTTAATAGAATAAATTTGCCTGGCAAAAGTGAAAACCTTTTAATTATTGATCCTGAAATAAAAAAATGCACAGGAATTAAGGATGATGATTGTGCTGAAACTCAAGAAAAAAAAAATGAATTACGAAATACTGATGACACTGAGTAAGTATTAAATATATTAAGAATATTATTAAAGTATTACTTTAATTACAATGTATAATATTTATATAATTCTACTATAAAAGCTTTAGATAAAAAGAGAAAATTCTTAATCTTAAACTATAAAATTAGGATTTAATTATTTTTTTAAAATACTGAGGAAGTATTTAAATTTACATATTAGAAATACAATTTATATTTTGTTATCTTTTAATGTCATTAAGAATTATAGTTTTATATAATTCTTATAATGATGAAAATTAATTAACAATTTAAATATTTATTTGTTACATTTATTTTTATTTATTTTTAGACTAGAACCAGTTGTCAAAGAAAGACCAATTTTTAGATGTCAAAATTGTAACATGACTGAACAATACGATTATTTTAGTGATCACACACCATATAATCGTAGTGTAACAACAAAAATTGATTACTATTTGACAAAAGATCCATTTTCTCCTCACACTAAAAGGCAATTCTTGATTTTAGGATCAGTTTGTTCTTTATGTGACAAAGATGTTTGTGTAAAACCAGAGTGCAGCATATTTTATTCAAAATTTTATTGCTCTACTTGTGCAAGGCAAAATATTAAAAATTTTCCATGTAATATTCAAAATAAAATAAATGCAGCAAAACGAATTTAAAATAATTATAATTATATAAAACTAAATACTAATAACTTTTTCAATTTACAAATTATATTTACAAATTATGTGCAAATTATGTATAAAATAATCATTTGCTGTTAAACCTTGTATATGAAAGTTATCATATAAATGGGCACTTTTTAATGTTAAAAATAAATGCTGTTAGCTTTGAGCATGTTCTTGATAAAAATACATTTTCATAACTTATGAACAATTTTACTAATGAAAGTTAAACTTAGTACTTTATACTTGTATCATCTTTATTACTTGTAAAGCTCTTACTGGCTATCAATTTTAATATTTAAAAGTGACATCTCACGCTTTCAAAATTTGTAAGATTTTACATCATGTTGTTAACTATTCATTCGATTGAACATTTGGGGAATGCTCTGAACAAAATTTCAGGTATTTTGAAAAACAAATGTATCAATATCAAGACAAAGGACATTACTGTTAAATAATAAGTAGATATCTACTAACTTTACAAATACCTTAATTGCATATGGGTTCATGTAAATGTATGAAATTGGTAAGTAAATGTAGACTGAAAACATTGACAATTTTCAACGTCTAGTCAGTAAAAACGAGCAAGTTTAAGTTGTAGTATTGGAAAATGGAGTTATCATTTAAATAATTTGTATCTAACTTGTCTTTGATTATAAATTTAATTTTCATTTAAACAAAACTATACTACACAATAAGCATACATTTATTTCGAAAAATACCGAAGTCACCTACATAATTCACAGCTTTTAGTTTTTACACAAATACTATAGAAATTATTTAAATTTCAATAAACAAATACAAACAACACTTCTTCCAATTTAAAATTATGTGTATCGCGGTATTTATTTATTATACCTTCGGATTTTCTATAACATTAGTCTTATTCTTTTATTTGGTCACACTGTAATGTGATTCGTTTTTTCCGAAATGACCGTTACAAATCATAATAATTAAATTATATGATATGTTCCTGATGCCATATTTGAAAACAAACAGTTGTTAAGTTTTACACTTTTGTCATTGTAGATTGTTCAATACGAACTCGTGCACTATTCATTTGGGTTAAGTTTAGCTTGTTGTCGTTCGAAACGAATTATCACGATTCGTTCACGTTTCAGCTCTTCAGACTTTTTTATTCTGTAAATTCTACCGTACCGGCGGTATTTTACGTCTATAGGGTTTCTGGCTCGGCTAAAGTACCTATTCAACACAGTGTGTCAACGTTTTTCTGTAAGAATGTCCAACACGATTGAAATTATGGATCCACGTTCTCCAACGTTAGATATTGTCAGAACTCCGATACGTGTGAGTAGTTAATTGACCGGGATGATTATTAATATTGTATATTTTCTTCTGTTTATATTCGATTTCCCGTACAGGTAGTCAAAATGATAATCGAAGAAGAGAATATTTCCACCGAAACGCGCTTAAACAATGAACTGTTCACTAATACTTTGGCTGATGATCCGGTGACGTCTACACCGTACGCCAGTCCTGCCACTGATGATTCTTTTCATTCGGCCATTGATGAAACCGATACTGATCCTCTAATCACCAACCTGAACATTACAAAACCAAAGGAGAACACACCTAGGAGAGCACTAGGATGTATAAAAAACCGGCATCTAAATGAAACGCCCAAGGCAGATATGCGCCGTAAGCTTTGGCGTAACATGGAAGATGAAAGGATCAAACAAGGAGGTGAAAATACACCACCATTACCTTTCAAGGACTTAACTGCCTCAGCTCCGCCTAAATTGTACAGATACCGCAAGTTTACATAACGATTTCTTTGAATTTTTTGGTTTTATATTATATTATTGGTTTTTAATTTTAAATCAAAAGTAGCTATCAAAAGTATCAACTTATATCACTATAGCTGTTTGCACTACACAATATATTTTAATTGAGTTGTAGATAGGTAAATTTTTCTCTCTCTCATATTTGTAATATACCAGATTTATATTGTATACTGTACCTTGTTCCTTAAATAGTCAAACATTTCATAAATAAATAATGTTTTGTTTTAAATTTTTTTATAATAATAAGAAGAATTTGGCTATATTTGTTAATGTATTATTTTCATTGATGGAATCATAGTCAAAAAAAGAAAAAAGAACTAGAAATATAAACCTTTAAATTATATATAAATCCTGTTAAGGATATGGTCACAGAACCGTTTCATCTTCTACTCTGTGCAGATGCTTCACAACAACTACTAAATGATTACTTGTTGACTTTTTAATAGATAAAAGAACAAATTGGTAGTGGATAAATAATATGAAAGTTGTACAGGCTTATTTTATTATGTTCTTGGGTAGGATTGTAAAACTTTTTAATGATTTTTAATGTTTCACTATAACTTAAAACATTATGATCATTATTGTTACTATGCTGAATTGTACGCCAAACTAGTACTTGAACAATATATTATGTCACTATTAATTAAAATTAGTTGATAAGTGATTATAATTTAAACAAGAAAACAATGCTTTTGAACTCTGTGAATATTTTAAAGAACACATTGGTATATTTTTTAATTGTTTATGAATCATTTTACATGTACTATTACACTGATGTAAACTGCTTATTGAAAAACAATAATGATGACAAAAATATTCTTTATGATATAAATAATATTAAGTCATTGAATAAGAAGTGTAATATATTAATTTATAAACAATAAAATATTAGAACAAAAATTGCTTTGTTGTTGAATACAGCAAAAATATTATTGGATTGAGATCCAGAATGTTCTTAAAAGGAACACTGACAAATTTATATTGACTTGTCCCATGAATATTAAGACGATGATGGTAATACTTGTATATGAAATTTACAAGATGGCATTCTGATTATTTCAACAGTAACAATACTTGAAATCCCAAAGTTTTCTAGAGCTCCTCGAATTAGACCGCATGTAAATGTAGCATACTAAAATGTAGAAAAAATAAAAGGTAGGTGCGTATCAATGAAACCGTTTCATCCAGCTTACTTTTGGTGCAGATTTTAGATATTGCGTGCCATTTGACAGCTTGCTAAAAAAACGAAACTCATTGTCGTGCAATACGTAAACACCTTGATGATTGGTTCGTAAGTTATCCACTTGCTTTTTGTAAACACAAGACCAGAAATCTGTGCATATGAATTTTAATATTTCTAATTCTTCTTTATACCTCGGCAACTCTTTTGTTATTCTAAACGAGGAAACAGAAGAAGAAAAAACGGTCTCACGAAAATAAAATAACCATAAAGCATTGTCACTTACCTTTCAATCAACCGCCAACCGCACGAGTAGCCCAAGTGTTCCAATATTGATATGTCTTCGTCCTGCGTGCGAACAAAACGACAAACGGTTATTTGAGTACACTATCGAACTGGTGTTGGGTTGCAAACAATTTACCTCGGCCGACTTCGACACCAAATACGACACGATTTCCGAATGCAGCATGTCGAACAACACGTCTTCCGCCGACATCTCTCATCAATATCTCTTGACGGTTTCGATTCGATTCCCGTCGGACGTGGTTCAAGACTTGACGAGCTTTACACCTACCGATTGGATATCAACATTTCTCATTATCGAGCAAAAGGAAAACAATACTGTCTTATCTCGTTAATTTCTATGACACATGCAAGAATATTGTTATCTATCTGTGATAGTGCGACTAGAATCTCGGCACAATGATAATAAATTATACAAGTGGTTTGCAAGTGAGGCGTCTGGGAGGAGGCTGATCCACATAATAGGTTAGTCGTTAAAATGGGCAGACACTGGGGGCAAATATCACTCCCAATGGAAAAATATTATTAAAAAAGGTAGATTTAGAACTAAATAACAGATTATAAAAATAAATATTGGCAGTTTTAGTACATTGTCATATTATATTTTGTGGGTCTAAGTCCCCCCAAGACATCCTTACATATGCCTATGATCAGCTTTATTATATCATTAGAATATGCTCTATCTATTTAGTATAACAATAGACTACTACATAAAATAATATATATCCTTTACCATTACGGAAAATTAATATTTCCATCTAAAAATCTACAACAGATAATTGAGGCCAGCCACAGTTCCATTTCTTAAGGTTTCTCAGTTTATACAAAATGGCCAAGCAAAATTAATTAGGACACAATATTAAAATTTAAATAAAATTATATGCATACATATATATAAATATATAAGTAATATATTTTGTTAATCACACTTTATTTCAAAAAAACCTGAGTTTTTGTACAATTCCAGAATATTTCTCTGAATTCAATTACTACAAAATCCTTAAAATTAACATACACAAGGCAATCCATTTAAAATAGCACAATAATTGAATAGCCCTGTACACAATACACAGAGTGTCTCAGAGTTTAGAATTCTTTTTCAGTTTAATGGGTATCAATTTTATTTTCTTAAATTCTCACTATATTATGAAAAAGTCTAAAACCCTGGGACAATCAATACATGATATAAATTATAAATACATACAAATTTTATAATAATAGACTAGTTACTTTTATAAATATCACTTTAGTAATACATTATAATATTCATAGTTAGTACATTATAATATTGGAACAACAATAAACAACATATAATATATTTATTATTTAAAACATTTATATATCAGTACTTTTGAAACAGAACAAAATTAATAATATTACTTAAAGAAAATAAGGAGCTAGCTTACAAGTAATAATTGTTTATTTATTAAATTGAACATTTTCATTATTAATTTTGCAAAGTTAAAAAAAAATTAATTTATAATACTACAGTGATTGTTAAATTCGATAAGTGCCAAAAATCAAATCTGACAGAGGTAATTTAAAAAACAAAATACCAAAATGTCAGAGTCAAAGAAAACTCAGATATTAACTTATCCTAAGATCACAAGATTATTAATTGTTTGAGGAAATATTTTTTACACAGGAGTTTCATGGTCAACCTCTTCAATTCTACTCAGCCTCCATCCGTTTGGGTCACCTGAAAGAAAAGAAAATTTGTTTAACAAACAAAATGAAACTAAAATAATGGCTTAATTTAATGCCACATTCGATTTTTTAACATTTATACTTTCATTACAGCAATATTGGTGTGTAAAAGTAAAGCATACAAAAACAAATTAACCACAAACCATATATTACATATATATATATTTATATACAGAGATGGACTGATTTTACTCAAGGTGGTAGGTAATTTTTAACTAACAAAAGAATAACCAGTCTTTTAGAATTTTCATCTATATGAAATATGAACATTGTCCATCCAGTCCATTAAGTATATACACTAGGGTGGTCCTTATTTATGAACTTCATTAATGTTATGTCATGGGCTCGAAATTTTGTTTGGTATATTGACAAGATAATTTTGGTAAAATTTGAATTTGATAAGTCAACCCCTTCACGTGCCTCAAAGGGGTTAAAGTTGTATGCTAAGGGGATGAATTATACATTTTCACCTGTAATGTCTTAAATTCTAAATTTAGACCATATATGTATAGGACTATTTTTATAGTAATACATATTTACTACAAAAAAGGTATCTTGTAAATTGTTTGTAAAATTAATACTTTTTCGTAAAATTAAGAAAAACCAGTCAAAGTCAATATTTTTGGAAAATGGTTCGTTTTTTAGTTATTTATCTGTATTTCCTTAGATTTTATAGCTACACAAAAATTGTAAATTAGCAATATTTTTCCACACAATATTATCCATCCAACACTTTTATATTTAAAAATGTTATGGTTTCCCTTTTTCAAAGTCATCATTATTTAATGCAGTTTTATTAAACACGAATCACACTAAACATATACCTTAAAATATATAAAATATATAATATAAAATTATCTTGTCAATATACCAAACAAAATTTCGAGCCCATGAGTATAAATTTTTCAATTTTTTTTTTAACCTCTATAACTAAGGACCACCCTAATATACACATATACATTTTAAAGTGCATAGTCAGAAAAAACACATAGAAATAAAAACTTTTACTGAATGACAACATTTTTGTTATAACAGTTTTGCATAACTCATACTACACTTACTTAATACTGATTATTTGTGTAGAGTTCTCAACACGTTACGTAGAGTCTGTTGCGAGTACCATGAAGACTGGTAATTAATCAATGGACTGTGTTCCAGGCATGCATTTTCATTCTCTAATAATAACACAAGTAAATCATGCAAAAACTAATTGATAACATAATACCATAAAAATTGATTCACATGCTTAAGAGAAAAACAATAAAATTCTAAACAATAATTTAAATAATTTTAATGGATTAAAGTTCAGAAAAAATAAACACAATTTCATCAGAATTTTTTTATTTTTAATTTGCTTTATGGTCCATTAAGGCTTTTTACAGCTTCTACCAAGAAAAACATTTAAATTTTAAGTATCACAAATTAATAAATTCATAATTAGTATATTAAATGACGAACAACAATTACCATATTTAAATATGTACCACATGTAGAAAGTATTGCGATAAGAGTATTAAATGCATTACTCAGTTAAATTAGATTTAATTTATATAAAACGCTAATGACTTTTTAATAACACAAATATAATTAATATAAAATTAATTTATGCAATAATTACTAATTAAGTACATAATTTATATATGCATTCTAAATTTCATACATCCAAATTATTTTCAGTATTATGTAACTTAGGATTTCTAGTTATTAATTTAAATCTATTGATTTAAAAAATATATTGTAGATAAAAGAATAACATAACAAATACTTGTTACTTAATTTGGTTTTAATAATACTGTAATTTGCAATCAAATTTATAAGTTAATAAAAAATAAAAGCCACAAAATAAAAAGCATAAAAACTTTGCTTACCTTTTGGTATATAGTTGTGTTTAATACTTAAATGTATTATTAAACAATTTACTAATTTTGAAAAGAAAAGAAGCAAATTGTGTAATATTTTATCAAACAATTAAACAATTAAATTTAATTAAAATCTATTGTCTTAAAATAATACATTGTATATATTAAAATATTTCGTTATGAATTGTAAAATAATCTACATTAGAAGTTGAAATTAACTAGAATTTTTTATAAAATATTCATTAAATCTTAAAATAAAAAGTATTATCATATTCTATACATTTAAACTTGAAACTTCTCTTATTAACTAAAGAGATCGTTTTAATATACTAATTATGGTAATTCAATTATTGATTATATATACATACATTCATTTTTATAATTCAGAGAATGCTTAATTGTAAAAGCCTAAAAGTTGAGAAACAAGTTATAACTTATGATACAAACTAAACAAACTTTAAATACAAAAAATAAATATACAGATAATCTAACTAAATAATAAGCCAATTTAAATAAACTTTTTCTTTATTATATACATACCTTGAAGCTCTCGTTTTAATATAGTTTCAATGCCTGCTTGCCCATCACCATTACGTTTCAAATAGAGTACAGTTTGCTTTTCATCAATTACATTATTTGCCATTTCAGTTTCTTCTCCTCCATCAAACCATTGATTTGGCAAATGACCATTAGACATAGTTTCGCTTACCTATTAATAAATTTACAAATTTAAAAATCAAAAAATTAAACTAAGAGAATAATTTATATAATTTAAATTTTAACAATTTGTACCTGCATAAGTTTTTTTACTACATCGCGACCAAGAATGTGATCAAATATAGTATATAAAAACTTATCAGTGATTATTGACAGTCTTAATTTGTCTCTATGCCATAATAATACCCTTGAATCTTCTACAGCTGTAACTGATACCTAAATAAATAAATATAATAAATAATTTTAGGAAAAGATAAATCTTAATTATATTAGTTTATTACTTGGAAGAATTCATCAGTAGAAACACCAAACCATTCTGGAGAATCTAGAAATTGATATGGGAAGACAATATGTAGAGCATTACCATTTTGTGATATTACTAACCTATAACAAAAATTACAAAATATAATGCAGGTAATACAATAATAATGATAAGTAGGACTGAAGACTTCTTGTTTCTTCATATTTGTTTAAAAAGGTCACAGAACAATGTGAGTAAATGTAAATAAGTCATATGAAACAAAGAGGTTATATTTAAAATTGCAATTTGCATATTTTGTTGTTATCGTATATAAATGCATATTTGAGTATAGTAGACAAATTAAAAGTAATAATTACACATTTGAAACACTTTGATACTTAATATGATATAACACATAATGAGCTGTACAAATATTATTTTTATTCAGGAAATTTTCCAAATGTGTACCTCTATAAAATAATATTATTAATATTAGTAAAGTAATTCAGTCTTACAGATAACACTTTAATGCGTGCAGGAAACTGGTAGTGTGCTTCAGTTTACCATAAAATTTAGCTATTTACTATTATGAAATCTATGAATTCGTAAGAGAAATTATTACATCTATTGATAAAAATCAATACTGTTTGTATTGATGATTCATAAGCTTTCAAGTGATTCAGATGCCAGATGTTACTTTCATATATGAAATCAAATTTTGAATTTTTACCAGATATAATTATTCAATTTTAAACAAGAAATATTATCTGTTGGAACTAAGACAACAAAAAATAATTATCTAAAATTGATGTAAGCTCTAGGTTCATGTTTTAGTCAAAAATACTGGGTATAAAACATAAAATAAAATTTCAAAAATACTGAATGGAATCTACTTTAATGGATGGATTACCTAAAGACATAAAAACTATAATCATTTTTAATATGCACCGTTTACTTCTGATGATGTAAAATAAACTTACTAAAAATATAAAACATTGTTAGCAGGCCATAAACACTCAATTTTATTAAAAAATATAAAGAAATATCTTGTCACTCACTGCAATAGGTAGTAAAGATAATAAAACATTTATTGACATACATATAGCTACACAGTACCTAGTCATATGCTAAAATAATTTTACAAAATACATTATATTATTTTAAGATGTTGAAAAAAAATATTTAATCCTTATTAATTAATTAAAATATTATTTTTTAATTTTTTTTCCGTCAAATATTACTATAAATATACATATTTATATAATACATTTTTTAGAGCATATTTATGTGTAGATTTTTTGATTTTTAAATGCATAAATGCATACATATTTTGTGGTTTTTAAGAACTAGAAATCCTCAGCCCTAATAACAAGTATTAATATTAATTTAATCAATGGACATAATAATATAAAATATTGAGTAAGGTGTAATAAGCAAGCGATTATTTAATATTAATTACTGGAAACTCATTTTCATATTTAAATCGAGGTTATTTCATACTAGTATAATTTAAAATGATTCAAAAATCTAACTGATCATTAAAAATTAATCAAGGGTTCAGTTTAAGTTTTTAATTGATGAATATTTACAAACTTAAGTATTACTTACTTTCCTGACAGTACCAATGATAAGCTGTCAACCCTTGTTACTTTTTCTTCAGCAAATATTTCAAGAGTTTTTAAAGGCCGAATCATTTTCATGCAAGAAATTATTTTCCTAAATTGTTTACGACTAACTTTTAATGGACTAAACAGGGAATCATACACCTAAAAATATTATACATAAAATGAATTGTTACAGTTGAATACAAAGTTGGCATATGAATACTAACTTGTTCTAATTCATCGTTGAATTTGATGGGTCTGAGTTGGTAAAGCAACACGAAAATGTATATGACGTTAACAACAGCGGACGCGGTATTCCACAAAAGGCTGGTCCAACACTGGACATTCCTAGCCCAAAGCGCCATGATGGTAGTAGCACCGGCCAGCCCGATACGTATGAGGAGGATCAATTGGCAAGGCGATCCGAATGGCAGCATGTAGCATATGAACATGATGGCATGTGAAAAATGAAAATAAGGATGGTTGAACACGTTGTTGAAGCACGACGGACTGAGTAGAACTACAGCGAAGGAGTCGAAAATGGCTTTATAGGGGTTCGTTGCCCACGCAGTATCGTTGGCGCAGCCTCCACCGTCGTAGCAACTGTGGTTACCTGTATAACAAACGACGGCTGCACGTTTAAACACCGACGGTTCCTCGTGAACATAGGTGATTTAAGGTACACACCTTGGATTTGAGCGGTCGCGTTCTCGTCGTGCATGTTCACCGCTGCTGTTACCGTGCTACCGTTGTTGGTCATCTCGTTCGCGTTCACTGTCGCTTTCCGGTTTTCCCTTTTACCTGCGACGGTGGTGGTGGTGGCACTTCAGAGGCACGCCGTGGTCGTCGATGGTGATCGTGGCCGTCGTCCTGGAACGCGACGAAATTTCATGGACGCACGGGAGCCGACCATGGTCAGCGGACCCGAGAGCGCGGAAAAACACTGTGTGCACCACGCGCGCACACACAATCGATACGACGTAAGTGGCCGCCTACACGCGACGGCATCTCCTCGTCGGTCGTTGCGTACGCGTCGTGCACACACCGCTCTCTCGGGACCGCGTGTAGGAGGACGAGGACGAGCGAGGCGCAAGGGGGAGCGGCAGCGACGTCGTGGCCCCCCTCACCGTCACCGGGTGGACGACAAGCGGTATGCGGGAGTAGGTACTCACCTGAAATGGTCGCGACGCGGTCCGCGGTCCGCATCACCGCCGGACATAATCTCCGCGACGAACCTCCTGGGCGGCGGCGGCGGCGCACAACCGTCGCGAGAGAGCACTCCGGAGAAACACGGTGCGTGCAACCTGGAACGTTATCGGCGTCGCGCTGTTGTCACTGGATTGTATCGGCGCGCGCGCGCAAAAACACGGACGTGCGTGCGTTTGCGCGGATAAAAATAAACAGAATGCACGGGGGAAAAAGATGTGAAAGAAACGCGAGCAGAACGGTAGCACGGAGCGCGTACCGAACGATCGACGGCGGACGGAACGGATCGCGGAGACGGTCGACACTCGATTGCAGCGGCCGGTGACGGTACGCGACCAGGCGCGAGGTGTTAATTAAACGGTACGATGTCGTAACACGCGTAATAATAATGTTATCGCGATATTGTCGCGGTGCGGTGTGCGTGTGCATCGCCGAGGGTAAACGGCGGACGTTCGGGGAGGGTCGGTCGCGAACGTTCGGGGAAGATCGTCGGCGGCCGGCGTAATAAAGTACCCCCTTCGACGGCGGCGCGCGATTTGTTACATCTGCGCTACGACCGTTGCCACCGCCGCGGGTGGGGTACACACGCCAAACGTGACCCCCTCGTTGCACCCACTCCACGTGATTTATGGCCGGAGACTTGGCCGTTTACGGGACGGCACGCTGCGGTCGGAACGACTATTCGCACTAATGTCGACGTGCCGCGGCGAATTGCTTCGCGCACTCCTCCTCGCCGCCCATCGCATAACGCCGCTGCGGCCGACCGTAACCAGAGCAATAACAATCGTTGTTGCACTGATTAGCGATCCGCGGTACGCACGTCTCCGACAACCGAGACTTCCCTACGTCCGGTCACTTGGCGCGTCCATGTTATTCTAATGGTACATTCCGTTCGGTCGGTTCGTAATGATCAGGACCGCCGCGTCGTTCGATGATCGTATAACTTGCAAGTGGTAATAGAAACGCAATACGGACATGATGACATATTTGTGAACGATTTTCGTTGGATTACAAGATAATAAAGTTCGTCTTATTAATCAACGTTTGATTATGATCAAGAGCGTTTGTCTCGGCGGTCGTACGCCGATATTTTAATACATTTTTAACGAATAGAAGATATCAGTTCTGTATTGCATCGAAATTGCATCAGACTGTTGCGGTCCCGAACACTTGCCCCAAGTGCGACTAGCGTTTCTCTTTTTTCACCTATTCATATCGAAGGAAAAGAGAAAACGAGTCGCGCACACCCACACTATTCCGCTCTTTATTGATAATATACACCCGTTTGTTTTCGAATATTTTCATAATAATGAAATCAGCAATAAGGTATGTATTGCAATTTTAATCACCTCTTTCTGGGTGTGTGCTTACCAGAACTTTCAACGGGTCTGGTTTTTAGGCCGGGTTCACACGGGCTTAGTACTTGGCCGAGTCACCGAAGAAAGTTGGGTTGCATACCAATTACGTCTCGACATAAAAATAACGATTATAGACGTACTGATTGCGTGCCGGTTTTTCTATACGACTATACGAATTGCGTCCCGATTATCTGACATCGGAATATATCTTTAATTGATCTCAAGCAATAATCGATATGACTGAGTACTTTTGAAATAAATATAAATGGTTATAGTGTGTGTTTCGATTACGTGTCGTTGACAATTTTGTATGTATAGTCTCCGATTATGACTTTCCTCTTTATGAGCAATGCGTTCAGGTTCAATTACACAGACAACAAATATCTGTAAAGATTTCCATTGAAAATTTAATGGTAGGTTAGTTTTGTTAGTGATTTGTTCTTCTCATCCAAATATCTATTCATTAATTGAAAGTACAAAAATTACTTAGGTACATCAAAATTCGCAGTAATAGTCAAATAAAGAAAATAAAACTTGATATTTGTAAATTTTTAAGAGCAAATTATTAAATACAACGTGAACGAAATAACTCGTTTTAATTATAACAAAACTGAATCGTTCAAATTTATACCAATTCGTAAATAACATTATAATAAAATTTTAGTATTATATTTTTTTTTCATTATTTAAATTAGTTTAATTAATTAACGACGAAAGCAATACTTTTGATGTACATAATTAGGAAACGATGAAAAATAAAATGTTTAACCTATCTTTTTTTTTTTAATTTGCCTTTGTTCGCACAAAGGTTGTTCGCACCTATCTTTAGCAATATAATATTTAATGTTGCTGTTGACAGTCCCAAGTCTGTATTAGATGGAAATGAAAATAATATATTTACCTCGGACGCAATTGGTATAGTTAATAAACATTATTGGTCGCAATTCGATGGAAAAATGGATCTTGGGATGCAATTCGAAAGTTGCGGATTTTAAAGGCCCGAGGCCCGTCTAATATTTTGCTTACATAGATTGAGCCCGTCCAGCCCGGTTCATCTTAATAAAAACTTAGCCCAACCTAATCTTGTTTTCTCCTTAAATTCGATATATTTAAATGCCTAATGAGGAATAAGAAAATTATTTTTTTTTAAATTAAAATATATAGTTTTTAATTGAATATATTTAATGTTATTTTAACTTAAAATTAAAGTTTATTGTTTTTAAATCAGTACAATTTTTTTCATAACGAATTAGAATATTAATTACAACGGATTATGAATATTTATTTAAATTTATTTCTGATAGTCCGTATAGTTTAAATATGATCTCGTGAGCCTCGACCCGGTCCAGACAATGTACGATGTGCGTTGCGATTACAACACGCCTTGTAGATGTATTGGTTGCAGCTAACTAGGCTGGGCATGACCGGCGAATAATTATTGCTACAGGGACGACAGATTTGCAGTCTCCACCTGGCCGCGTTCGGATCGTAACAATGCGTTTATCAACAATAAAAATAGTACTCATGCCCGCATTATTTTGTTTATTGCACTCGGTGCTATTATATCAGCAGCTTGCCGACGGTAGAGGGGACGTGACGGAATGCGCTCACGTAATAAAAAATTTTTAAGCTTTTGAAAATATGTTCGATTGTTCGAGTGTGTTTTACGTGAGTAATAACTGTGATGGCAATTCTTTCGCCGTAGTGCGTGCCGACGATAACGTATCGTGTTCTGGCCTTCTGGGGAAGAACGATAGTGCTGGTGGGAAGGTGTTATCTATCGTCGGTGTAGCGGTCGAAGTACACAAAATACATAAGATCGTGTAACACAATTTTTTAGTAAATAATTTCTACTATTAAGACTATGTTAAAATAATATTAAAAAAGTTTTAGAATTTTGACGAATCGGCGACCAAGCTTGTCGGTTATGACCTCGTGTGACTTGCGATCCGGTACTGAAAGACTACCAAATGAAGTCGATCTCATATCTAAGAGATTATTTGTATTAATGATTTATTGATTGTCTCATTCTTAATATTATTATTTAAATATAGCCTTTCTCATTATTATTTTTATCAGTAATTTTCATTATTTAATATCTTAAATGACTTGCATACTGTTTTAGCTACAAATTACATAAACAGTTTACTCATACTTACTGTTATCACAAAAGAGTCATAAATAAATATTATAAGATCGATTTTGATTCAGATTAATAAATTAATGACAAAAAATGTTGTCAGCAAATAAATAGTATTAATATTATACGTTATATTATATGAATTCTTAAATAAAAATAAAAAAGTGTTCTTATTTAATTTTTTTTAAATATTATATAAAAATAGGAGATTAAATTTTTTATTAATATAGTTATTGAATATTCATTTCAATTTGAATTTAGCGGATAATCCGCGGAATTCGCTTATCCCTGGATGCCATGCCAACCTATACTTAGTGGCATATTTATAAATTTCAGGATAGGGGCAACACATATTTTGCCTCCTCCCAAAAAAAAAGAAAAATCTTTCATTATTATTATGACATTGTTGAGCGTAATATTAACACATCGCAATTTTAATTGCGATAAACTGGTATCTAAGTTTGATACATTGTCTGGAGTAACTCCACAGTAGTGCTTTTATGGATACAAATGCCAACAGCAAGATTGAAAACCTTTGTGACAAATCATATCGCTCAAATTCAGCACCTGACTTCATCTGAAATTTGAAATCTGAAGGCACATACCCACTGCACAAAATCCAGCTGACTGTAACAATCGTGGTTTGACTCCGAAAGAAATTATTGACCATGTTTATCTGGTGGACTGGTCCGATATTTCTTATCCAACCCTTTGAAACATGGCCTCAAGCATTTATTCTTGACATAGTTGAACTGGGTGAACACCAAATCGATAGAAAAGCCCTTAACACTACTGTACGTTCAAGTTGAAGAAGATTGTAAGCTCATCAGCTGAACTCTTTAAAGTACTCCGTCCCACTGCATTTTGGATAAAACTACGGAGACATTTAACTCACCAACAAATTGTGTTCGATGAAAGCAAATTACCGGAATTAAAAGAACAACGTGAAGCATTACACGCCTTACTACGATGGGTACAGCTTGTGTACTTCGCTGAGGATTGGAAACTTCTCACCTTAGGGAGAGACTGTTCAACAAAACTTCAATTATTGAAAACCTTTATTGATCCTGCAAGGAATTTTCTCAGAGTGGGTGGGAGGCTGTATTATTGTGTCTATACACGCGTCAACTTGCTTATCAATCGATCAGTTGATTCTTCCAAAGCATCAATTTGTTGACAAACCTTACCAATACATCTATCACTTTATCAATCAATCTTAAAGTTGTCAACAAATCGATAGACCGATCGTTTCGTATATGGCTGACTTTAATCGTATCCGCACGCACACGTTCATGCGGTCTATCATGATATAAACAATATTAACTAAAGAAACCAGGGCAACAACGATTTTCGTTCGAAAGCGGCAGGCGGCAGCTATCTCCAAGCACTCAGCAGTGATAGGTTGATACGCATGCGGCGCATTCGTACTTCGGCATACGCACATGGTAATCACTGTGATCGCACTCAACAATATTTACAAAATGATCATTTTCATTATTTGAAAATCACAATTTTACTCGTAGTATTTTAAATATTAAATTATTAAAAGGTATACTATTACAATCAGAATTAGTTTTCTTTTTTTTCGTGAATAATATTAGGGGGTGCGATCGTCTCGTCGTTCAAGCCACGAGCCGCCGCTGATTTTATAGTGTTTATTATTATGAAAACGTTGGTGTTGAATTTATTTCTCTTGAATTCATAAATTTTGTGATTAATAATATTTTTTTAATTTATCAAAAAAAATATTAATAGAATATAAAGTGTGTTTTGTAATTGGACAAGTGTTGTCTATCTCACCATAAATACTCATAATAACCATAATCATCCGCTCGATAATAATTCGACTTAGGAGGGTAAATAGAAAATTACAAAATCCAAACATAATTTAATCAAACTCTCAACATATTTCAAAAAATAAACCAAATCCCGTAAAATGATACATTTTTAAAATCTACTAATATAACAAAATAAAAATGATTTTTCAATGTTATAATATTTATATTTATTTAAAAAGATTTTCATTTTTAGGCTTGATTCATATATCATAATATTCGAGTAATTAAAATAAAACTGAATTCGATTATCGTCACGTACACTGAAGATATAATTGCAGTATTAATCAGTCCTCGTGAGCTACACTCTGTATAGATCTGTACATGCATATATTAAAATTGTACGAGAAAATGTTGAATACGAGCTTATCGACCGATAATGTTAAAAAAACGAACAAATTATACGTTTATATTTTAACATAATTATTTTAATCAATTATTCGTTCGCGACAAATTGAGCGGACCTTGAATAAGGTCGTGCGATAATGTTTTGACGTACGTAGTATACTGCGCAATGTAGACTGTCACCGGAAAGCTATGTCCGCGTAATAATAACGGGACACGGAGAAATATGTTGGCTTGCTCGTGATATAATAATTACTAGATATATATTGTTAATGAAACGAAAATATATTTACTAAAATAAAATAATTAAACAAATTATTAAAAACGATAAACGTATCCGGGTTATCAGCGACAGTGCGACGTACTCGGAATGATATTAATTATCGAGGTCACCATTTAATATAAATCACTAATAAGATAGGAAAAATTCAGAAAGTTACTAATCTCATAAGACTGGAGCACGTAGGATTTTCAGTAACATTAAATATTGAGACTAATTAAAATATTAGAATATGCGTTTTAGGGATAATAGGGGCAATAATATTTTATACTCCTCAAATTAAATGAACACTATGGAATTAATTTGTACGCGGGAAGGCTAATCGCAGGAAGGAAAAAACAACGTACAAGGATAATAATAACAAAATAATAAAACACATACAGTGGGTTAATCGGACATCGTGTGATGATGGGTTATTCAAATGTGATGACAGTGAGCCATATGGAAGTTGCCTAGGTCACATTAGGAATTAAGAACAAAATTTGTGATATTAATTTCAAAAATAAAACACGAACCATCATAATTTCACTTTGCTTATAATAATTAACAAACGATATGTATTGTTCTACAACAAAATTATTATATGTCCGCATTGCACATTCACATATAATGTATGAATTATGTATACGGTTTCTGTGACATTACAATGTTATATGTGTTCTCTCATTATTATTATTGTCATAAGAAATTATTTAAATATATGTTTTTTTTAAATAAATTGCGTCTGTAGTATACCGTGAATCTTCGTTAGTTAATCGACGGATCGACAAAGTCTAACGACCTTTCCGCATAATTGGGTTCGTTTTGACATAATATTATAATTGATTAATAATCATGCGAATATTAAACTAAAATGATTTACCCAAAGTTCAAATTACACGTCCTACACGTTTCCTCCATCCTCCTTCTCTCGATTTTAGTGTTCTGTCAGAGGTGTGACGTTACATGAAGAATTAGCATGCAAGCACAATCTCAGTAACTCATCCAACTCCTGTGCATTACTACCTCGTTATTTTATCATTATTGTTTTACTTTTCATATACTGCTCTTTCAAAATGTATAGTACGCAAATGTATATCCCATGTGGTGGCGACGACGACCTTTTGTTCAGATACAGTGGTTGATCGACTTAGAAACAAAAGGCGTACGTCACATGTCGTTAAAATCGCTAACAATTATGTCTTCGAATAATAACTCAATTAATATAGTTTATCAAATAACTAATACAAAATACGTTTAAAAAATATATAACTAAATTGTCTTCAAGTTTTTTGCTCTTTCCAAAAACAAATTATGAATAAGCATATTAAATAAATTATCAAGTATTGTGATAGTGACACTGCATTAAATAATATTAAAAATAAACATAAAATGTACATACATGTATGTACATACATACGTTTTATTTTAATTACAGTTAAATATATAATTTTAAGTTTATTTACACATCTAAAAATAAATTAATTTTAACTTCCATTGTTATATCACAGGCCAATACAACGATAAAATATTTGACAAATTCATTTTTCTCTCAAATATGGTATCTAAAAATTTTAATGTGATGCAAAAAATTCTTCAATTTCTAATAGGGTTTTATTTTCTGTTTCTGGTAAGTATAGATAGAAATAAACTATTCCAACAAAGCCAATGCATCCGTAGAGAATTAAAGTGTATTCCAGACATAAAAACGTTTCAATCGGCACATATGATTTTATCATTATAAATAAAAGTATGTACGACATTCCCGTACAGACACCAGTACAGAATCCTCGGTTTCTGTAATAAATAAAACAATTTTAATTTTGAAAATTTTGAACAAACAATTTCGCAAAAAACTCATTAATAACCATAAGTTTTAAAAATAATTCGATCAATTAATTAATTAATTAATTAAAATATTTAAGAATTGTCACAACAACATTCACATATCAATTATTCGAAAACCGAAAACAATTAAATATAGTTTGAAGTAATTATTGCAGTTAATTCTTATTTGAGTTTTGAGTCGATAATCTTTATTTAATGTGTTTGTTCTAGAGTATATATCTAGGTGTGTACGATACTACAATTACTCGATAAAATATTAAATATTATGCTATTAACAACAAAATTAAGTTATTCAATGACACATTAACTACTTATCCGAAAAATCTCGGTACACATAACTCATAACTATTATTTATTTTTTATTTTTTTTTAAACTTTTATACCGGAAATAACGGTAAATTTCATGATATTAATGTACTTATCAACTCAAATGATATAGAATATGGCTTTAAATACTTACTTGTTTGGAAAAACCTCGATCAGCAACATTAAAGGTACACTAGAAACTCCACAAAATCCGAAAAAGTAAATGCAACTCAGCATCGTTAGAGATATCGAAGGGCATGGATTAATTAAATATTTTTTCACGGCAATAACATATACACCCAAAAAACACAATGCAACTGAGTTTATAGTTAATGTCGTTAAGGTCAAGAATCTTTTGCCTGCTTTATGAACGGTTGTCGAAGATATTATACATCCAAAAATAGCCAAAGTAGATAAAATAATCTAAAAATGAATACATTTTACAAAAATCAGTGTTGAATAATATTGCTGTAAATGTCGTTTATTGTCTTACCATGAATACATTTTGGTGTTGAGACAGATTCACATCAGCCAACATGTAGGTAATATACGGTCTAACGGGGAAAAGGCTTACTAGGTAAGATACAAAGAAATAAATCATCATTAATTTCAGCGGTTTGTACACTGATGGATCTTTCAATTCGGCCAATTGTTCATATAAACTTTTTGGACCGTTAGTTTGAACACCGTGTACATTTCTGTCTTGAGATTCAGTTATTTTATTGTAATGAACTAGGTCGATAAATTCCAGTTCAACGGTTTTAGGTTCCGTCCATCCCCTTAACCAACACATCGCCTTCTCGGCTTTCACGTTTTCCCCTTTAGCGAGCAACCACACTGGTGACTCTGGAATCTATAAAAAAGAAATATGAATGGAAAATTATTACATATGTTTCGATTGAAATATAGCATAAAAACAATCTGTGACGTACAAAAACTAACAGCCACGTAGAAATTATTGGCCAAGCTAAACTCAACAAAGCGATAGTCCTCCAGCTGTAAAAGGAATCCAATATGTACAACGACAACGATCCTATCCACATGGCTGTACTTCCCATAGAACCCAGTATGCCCCTAAGTCGGGGCTCTGATATTTCTCCGATATACGAAGATGTCGATCCCGCACCGAATCCGGAACTGAATCCCATCAAAAGTGTTGCTACGCACAATAAAGCCGAAGAATGCGAATAGTATACTAAAATCCATCCAATAATGCTGGGTATATTGGAAATGATCATACACAGTTTTTTCCCATACTTCTCTTGTAGAATCCCCGACAAGAAACATCCGATCGGGTATATTATGTACATCAAGCTCCCTGTTGTTTGACATAAAAATAACGTAATCAGTGTTATGTATAATATATATCTAATACTATATATATAATATATATATATTATGATAAACATTGTATTTCGTCTAAAAGTGCAAAATTGATCGGTAAAAATCTGTTTACATTTTACTGAAAACTTGAGACTTATACATATTATTCTTTATTATTGATAAAGTACTTTTTTTTCATTTTTAAATTGATTCGTTCATTATAAACATTTTTTTAAAGATAAATCATGATAGACATTTTTTCATTTGAGAAATCGGTTTTTTTTCTTAAAAAAAAAATTCTCAGAATAATATTTGAACTCAGGAGCAAAACGATGTAATATTGCATTATTTAAATATACACAATCCATATGATATATGAACATATATTTAGTGATAATATTTAATAATGTTTTACTGCGATACTTTGTAACAAAATTAATTTCACAAAAAATAATCTGAATATTTAGATATAAACATGTATTGATAACTTCGTATTATATTTTTGCTTTACTTTACCACTATATAAGTCAAAACATTGGCGTAGGCACGGAGGATATGGCACGTGTTCCGTATTATATATTATAATATATGATATTATCATATTTATATATTAGTGATAGTTAAAAGAAACTCATTAATTTTATGTAGTTAATGATGATGTGAAATTAATGAAGTACATATTACAGTTGCAAGGATGTTATCTGTGTTGTGAATCTAAAATTCGTAGACATGTGACATTGTAATGTCTAGCCTACTAACTAGAGTATTGTTTTTTGGTATCGAGTCTAGTCAAGTCGAGTTTAATATTCGAGTACTCGAAAAATGTCGAATACTCGAGAAAACATTTTTACCTACATCCTTAGGTGTTTATAGAAAAAGTTTTCAGAATTATTGGTTGGGGGAAGTATTAAAATTTTTAATATATATGTTCTATCATATCCATGATCAATTATTTATTTTATTAATTTTACTTCTATACAGTAAAAAGTAACATTAAAAAATGATATAATAACAAAAAACTATGGGTAATGTGTATTTGATGATGAGTCTTGAATGATTTTAGACTATACAGTATAAAATTATTTTACAGATATTGACATACACTATTTAACATTGATTACAAGTAAAGCCAATAATATTATTCTCGTATGGGGAAAATATTTCCCGTAACATTTTTTCTTCAAACACGACATTATAGGAACTGATAGGTTTTATTTTTGATTTTCATCTTATTTATTTGCAATTTTAATTTTCACATTAAAAAATTCTACATTTTAATGTTGTATAATGTGGTGAAAGTCGTTCATAAAATATTATGTTCTCCTTCGACGGCTCTTGTGAATCTCCATTAATTATGTAACTTGTGGTTAATTTCACTAAGGCCTGATAATATATTTGTTCAAAACATTCTGATAGATATTTATGACAAAATGGTTTCAAAATCGAATAAAAACAATCCATTTAATATAAATTATCCATTTTGATTATTTTAACCATTATTGATACAAGAAGTTTGTGATAATCGGTATAATTTATAGCAATGATCCTACGTCCCACAATATAATAATTTGTTTTCTGATACATATGAGTCTATAGTTATTGTTGAAGTTGAGGAATAACTATTTATTAATATATATCTATTTAATAAGACAACAGAATGACGTAAGTAAAAAGTAACAAATTTCTTAAGTTAATACTGGTTATTCATAAATACTTATATAGTTTACAACAAGACATTGGTGTTAATTGTGGGAAGAGATAAAGGAGGATATTTCTCTTTAAAATTAAATGGTGAAATGCTTTCTTACGTATTTTGAAAACATCAATTAGAAAAACATTACTTAGAAAACGTTTAGAATTTATAGAAATTATTTAGTTTTATTCAGAAAATAATACTTTTTTAAAATTTTAAACGATTAAAAAGTTAATGAATTAAATTACATTTTATTTTTGATTGGCAATTATTACTATTAATTTACAATCAAGACATTATTACATAAAGTGTTGAATAAACAGAACAGCTTGCTTCCAAAAAATCTATTTCACAGCCCATAACTCCAAGAATAAGAATAATATTTTCAAGATCAGGTGATGGTAAAACATTAATTTCGATTGAGAATATATAAGTGTCATAGCTACCATAAGGGCAGCAGGTGCCGTTGTCAGTGGACGACAAACTTTTTTATGACACATTTAAAAGATGGGCGCCGGTGACCAACAAAATATTGTGTCAAAAAGAAATATTACACGAGTTAAATCATAATTACGACCTTTATGAGTAACTAACTCTGAAATATACGAGTATGTTGGGAAACCGGGAACAAACGTAACATAAGTAAATTAAACAACTCATAATATTATTTATTTTTAATCACAGTACACTTATAACAACTTTTTCAGATGTGCATTCTGGCCTTTTAAATGTTAACATTATCTGTTACAATAGCAACTTTTGAATGGTCTTTTTTTTAAATTTAAAATTATTAAAAACCATTTAAGAATCTCAATAAGTCAAGAACTTCTCAGTGGTTAGGCCCTATTAAATATTGTAACTGTACGTGCACGATTAATTTTGATATCTTTTATGAAAAAAAATCAAGGAAAAATAACTTTTGCTAATAATTCTATGTATAAGTATTATAGGGCCATATTGCAGAGCAAAATAATATTTTTATGATTTAATGACATTTTTAAAATTAATGTTAATAATATTTTAATACAATAGATTTATACATACCTCCTACTAAATATCATTACTATATTCGTATATTAGCTATTGCATAGAAAAAGATATTATGGTATACTTATATTAAGCTAATTTATATTAATATATATTAGGCGTATAGTTATTTTGATTTTGTTTAAATTATATTTATAACTCAAATAAATATTCCTATTTTTATACTTACATATATATATATATATATATATATTATGTTAACAAAAAACTAATATTATAATATTCTCTGATTTATAGTGACTGATACGTATGAAAAACTCATATAATACCTATCTATTTACCTAAGAGGCATATTTTCTTGAGTGGCACAAACATATTATTTGACCTCAGGGTGGTTTGGATTATAACTATGCCACTGGAATATATACGTATACACTGTTCTTTCTATTCCGGTGAGTTTTACTTTGAACAAACGAATTCATTTCTTATCGCCTCAAAAAATTTACAAAAAACACAATTGACTAAGAATGACTTCGTAATCGTATCATAAATATTTTACATATTAAAAATATTTTTGAAATTAATTTTGTTACAGTTAAATTTCATGCAGATTCCACACAAAGAGGAAGAAGACTTCAATTATTATAAACATTTAATTGTAATTCTATTTTTTCATAATTAACTGATATATTATATATATATATATTTTATATTATATTATTATATATTATTATAAATCTATAATGCTGTATAACTTTTTAAAAATGTTATTATAATATAATCAGTATTCATATTTAATTGTATACTATTAGATTTATTAATTACATTCAATTAATTTTATTTTATTATGTATTTATTTTATTAAACTATGTATTTCACAAATAAATTTCATATTATATATTAGCAATGGGGGGCATTAACTTGTTAAAAAGTTAAAGTTAAGTTAAAAAGTTAATTTTTTTAAACTCTTTAACTTAACTAGTTAGTTATTTTTGTTTTTAACTTATTATCTTATTCAGTTAATTTTTTTATTGTTTCAACTTAGCTTTTTATAGTTATTTATCGTTATTTTACAGTTAAGTTCATTTTAATTTTTTTTTTATCATGTGGAACAATTAGACAAAACTTATTCTTTCAATTTTGGTAATTTATTTTTCTAATATAATATAATATTATAATATCTAACATAATATCCTCAATTCATAATAATCAAATTATATTTTAATCTATAGATACTATAGTAAATAGTAATAATTAATATTCTATCTATTGTATAGACTTGCTATTTTCACGACTTCTATTTAATGATCTATTCGGTATTGAATAATACGATTTTTGTTTAGTCTAACTCTATAGTGTAGTTCTAAAAACAGGTTTAAAAATAAATAGCATAGTCTTTTAAAAGTGTAAAGTTAAAATTGGATATTAATAATACAGGTACCTGCTGGTAAATACGACAAAACATCCAATGGACAAAACAAAAAGTCGTCCGAGATATTTATAAACTATAATTTATATTTCAGTATTCTGCGTATTCGGTATAAATACAAGTATAACATATGATATTAGAAAAATTAACTTTTTTTTAACTGAGTTAAGTTCATTTTATTTTCTATCTTAACTTTTAACTTATCGAGCTACTTTTTTTTTTTAACTTTTAACTTTAACTGAAGGCAATTTAATTGAATTAACTTAACTAAACACAGTTAATTCATTTCATTAACTTGCCCACCTTTGTATATTAGGTATATAAGTATAAGGTAGTTGGTAGAAATATAGAATGTTTAGTTTCAGAGGACCTCACCTAATTAAGTTACGTAATAAAATTCTATTTTTTATATTTTATTTAAAATTTCAGGGAAAGAGAAACAAGGACAGGATCAACACAGTTTGATAAAATCCATATAGGTACGCGTTGCCTATGGCAACATGATTTTGATTTATAAACGAGAAAATTAAATATCAAAAACGTACCCATATAAAAAAAACTCCATTATAGTTACTCTTATAAATTTAAATATTATCCTGTATGGATTTCATATAATAAATAAAATCTTAACTGTTGTTAATGATAACAGATTTTAAAAAAGAAATTTTTTTCTTTTTATATTTTATATATATTATTAAAAATATAAAATTAACTAAATATAAATATATATGAAATAAATATGAATATTAATTACACAAAATATCGGCATTATTTCTTCGGTCCAAGTCCAATTACATATATGTAATATATGTGTAATATTTATTTATGGAATAATTATTTATTTATACTATTATTCATATGCTTTATAATATAGGTATACGTTTATAGCGTAATGACATTAATTCATATACAATTAATTAGATGCGATTCTGACAAATACATAATATGTTGAATTTTTATTCACTATTTAATTTCAAACATTTATATTATTTAAACTCCAAAATAATTATTTTTCAATTCATATTATAATCAAGTTTTATTATTAATATTACTAACTGATTAAACGTTTTTATTTCTGATTTGTAAATTAAGCAGTTGTCTTTTAGTATTACTTAAATAAAACATGATTTAAATCTTAACTGAAAAATAATGTTTTGAAATTTAAATAATTTAATTTAAATTTCAAAGATAAGAGTTTGAAATTAAAAAGTTAATAAAAATTTAACGGAACGTTATTACATATTTTTTTTTATAGGATACTTTACTTTTTCGATTTTTTTCGAAAGTTTTTCATAATAAGAATTTCATAGTTTTAAGATTGATGTCATTAAAAAAGTCAACAGAAATTATTTATTTTTGATTTATAAGATTTTTATATTTGCTTTTTATATAACTGTGTCAGTTGGATTTTATAATGAAACGAAATTAGTTAAATTACAACTATCAGGTACACAATGCCTTCCTGTTGGCTATATAAAAGTTTTCCTGGCGAATATCAAGATTAAATTTTCGAAAAACTTTGTAAAGGGGAAATATTCTGTATTTTATATCTAGGGGGGGAGGGGAGATTCAAACTCGTAATCTGTACAATCAACTCTCACAATCTTTTAATTTCTCTATAATATTAATAAATCATGCAGTGGGATATTGAATATACGAGTATATAGGGTAAATGAAAATTATGCAAATATTAAAAATCTAAAGTTTAAAAAAATAATCGTTTCCATTGATTTTCTCTGAACAATTGTGTTTTACACGATCAAGTAATTAAGTTTCAAAAAAAAATGTAAAAAAAAAATATTTATTTTAGAATAAACCTTCATTACATAAAATATCATTATTTTTCAATAAAAAATAAAAAATTATAACTCACCAAACCATGAAGCCTCAGTTATGGATATTGTAAAATCGTTATTAGATGTGTGAAGCAAATCCTTGATAACTACTACTGTTATTGATATGTGCATGCCCAATGTAACAAATAGAGAATTTTGGGATATTGTTGCTAATAACTATGAATTATAAATAAATCATTAATTTTATGCAAAAAAACATTTTTTTCAAATAATATACATACTTGTGCAATCGTCGATTTTATTCCATATTTTTGGGGAACATATTTTACGTAAATTTCACTTTCGTTAACCATGATGATAAATTTACTAAAAAGGAATTCTAAAATATATATATTCAGCCATATATGTATGTAATAACGAAACTATATAGAATTGTTAATTTTTAAAATTACAACATATGTCCAGTACATGTCCAAATATCAACTGTACAATAACTCTGCTTATAAAGTTATTACTATACAAAGACGAATAATTGACATACACACTCTTTTCATAAAAAGATAATGACAAAATTCTAGTAATTATATTTTCAATAATTGTTTTGTCTCACTATGGCGGCGTGAATCAAAAAACAATTATTTAATCCCCTACTCACGCACCTATTTATTAATGATATAATTACAAATTACAAATTCATAAGTATATACCCTGATAACAAGACGTTTAGTAAAACCATCATAGCAGCTAATAATTCTCATGTCTTTTTTACAAACATTCAAGCTTAACCTATAGTTCACAGTTCACTAACAACTCTGCACGGTGGATTTTTAATTTTTTGTTTCAAATTAAACCATCTATTTAGATATGTTTATGTTTCAGTCAACTTTACCTTTATTTGGTTGGGAAAGTGGAAGTTAACGAATAATTCTAGATTATATAGATTTACTCGAATTATTATTATTATGATTTTATTATAATGAAATTTCTTTAAAATGATAATATAAGTTATAAAGGCGTAGTCAAAAGGGGCGGAAGGGGTTATACCACCACGTCCATAGCTGGCAAATTTACTAATTTTCAACAAAATTTTAAATTTACCTATCATTTCCTATTTAATGACAAAGTATTTTAATTTTAATTTAATGTTACAATTTTACATCAATATTTTTGATGTATCATAATTTTTTTTTTTGTATTTACCTCGTATGTTTTAATTTAATGTCATAAATTTAGATAAAAATTTGACATGTATATCAATTAATAAAAAAAAAAAATAAAAAAAAAAACACTAAACATGTTTAGATATCACTGTTGCCCCCCCCCCCATGAAATTTCTAGCTACACCCTTGTAAGTATGTAGTAAATATTTAAAGTCACCACGATTAATATTTATAGGATAAGAATTAAATTTACTAAATAAATGATGGCGGCAGCCCTGAAGTATCACGAAGAACAGTCCTGGGGTCGTCGTCGATTTAAATAGGAAAAAAAATGGATAAAAGTTAAATAGCTTATATATATTAAACTATAGTTTAATGGAAACCCGTTGAAATAACCGATTTCATCGAAATTTCATTTCGTAATCCATATTTTTTTGTTTTTTACAAAGCAAATTTTATAGAAAATATTTTATCCAATTTTCAATACTTTTTTTTCATTAGTTAGTAAAAGATATGTATGAAAAACTTTATTTTAAATTTTTAGTAGGTACTTTTCATTATTCCAAAATGATATTTTTTTAAAAAAAATAGCTATGAAAATAGGAAATTGTCAACTATCTATATATAGCTCAAAAATATGTTTACGTAAATATTTAAACTCTACAGTTATTATTTTTTGAGTTACGATAAAAATAAAAGTTCAATTTAGTTGAAAATCAGTATGCCGTATTTATAAATAATTTTTCACCAGTTTTTCGTAATTATTAAGAAAACTATTGGAAAACTTGTGAAATTACTTTCTTATAAGTACCAACTAGATAATATTTTCTACCAGAAATATCTTATGATTGTATTCTCTTAGTCAATGTATCTTGTTAAAATCATGTACACATACACACACATATACAAAACACATATTCTGGTAAAATCAATACATTGTAATTTCATTATTTTTATTATTCTTAAACCTTAGTTATTTAAGTTAATCCTATGATCCTATTTAAAAAACACTGTAATTATATAATATCTTATATTCATAACGTATTATTGGTAAAAAGCCGATTGACGTTAATTCTAATAAAAAAAATAAATAAAAATTCTTCGTTTCACTAAGAATCTAAAAAACAACGAACCGTTCGTTGCGTAGCTGTTGATAAATTGAGAAAAAGGGAGCTCACTATATAGTGAATAATTTATCTTATTTTATTAATAATTATAATAAGAGGATTCAAAGTGTACCTGACCGATCATTTGCATAATAATAAATTGATTTATGACGGTGATGGAAAGATTACCACGACCTTTGTCCTCCTTTTTGAGTAGTGGTGAATCGGGTAAATTGACGTGATTATTAATTATTATAGTATAGATATCTTGAACCTTCATAATCATATTAAAAAAAAAAAAAAAAAAAAAAAAAAAAAAAAAAAATGGAAAAATAGTCAAGGAAAAATATAAATGTTTTTTTAAACTATACTTATAGTAAGTTGATATAATATAAATTAAGTATCAGAGATTTTTTATAACTATATTTTATCTAAGATTATATTATTTACATAGTGACCAACTGTACTGTTTATATATAAAATCATAGTATCTACTGGAAATAGTGAAAATATAATTAATATTAACAGTTACAACCACCATATTTTTGTGTTGATAAAATTATTTTGTATCACGAAAAAACATTTTTTTCATCTATAACATATTTTTGTTACGGTGAAATAAATGTTTTTATCATATAAGCGTTTAAAATTAAAATAGTTCTAACTTATAATATTTTTTCTCTTGATAATTTTAATCTTGATTGTATGCTGGGCTTGGTAATAGATTGTTTTTGCTCATTCCAAAAAATGCCAATCAGTTGTAAATACATTTATTTAATAAAAACATTTTTGCATAATAAAAGTTAGAACTTTTTCGTCCTAGATTAATATATACGAGTATATGGTAATGACAAGAAAATAATATTATAGTAAAATATTTTTTATATAGCTAGATTGTATTACATTAGATTTTACTTAGGTACAACATTTTTGTTAAAAAGATCAAATAAATACTTTGTAAAACTTCATATTTAGTAAAAAGTAGAATATTACTATTCCAACTTACAATTTCATAATCTTTTTAAATCTTAATTAATTTAATTTATATATACAATTACAAATCAATAAAATATAATTTATAAATATACTTACGTACTATACATAAATTGGTTATATATGTATTATTAAAGCTATAATTTGGTATGACCAAGTGGGTAAAAAAAAATAATAATTAACTTTACCTATCCAAGAAAATGGATCTTTTTTATTCTATCATATTTTAATTCGTTGCAAAATATTCTTCAATCTCTAAAAGAGTCTTATTTTCAGTTTCCGGCAAACTGAAGTAAAAATATATAAGTCCAATAAGTCCAATACAACCGAATAAAATCATTGTGTATTCGAGGCTTAAATATATTTCAATCGATAAATACGATTTTGTTAATGAAAATAAAATTATGTAGGCCAATGCTGTACACATACTAGTAGCTATTCCTCTGCTTCTGTAAAAAAAAAATATATATATATTGATGATTGAATTTTTGTAATATCGTAAATAATTAAGATAGGTAAGGAAAAATTGAATTTCAATACTCTTCATATCTCTAATGTTTAAAATAATATTATTTACTAATATTATAGTTACATTACATTATTTTGGAACGGAATAATAGAATAAGCACATTGAGATTTGTACATGAAAAGTAAATATAACAATAGGAAAATGAACTGTTTAAGTAATAATTAATTCCATATGCAATCCAGACCTCGTCACCAAAGTATGCACACCCTAATTTTTAAAATATTCCTTACAGATTCACTCTTTCTGCTTACCTGAATATTGAGTAGCAATTTTCTTTATGTTAAAGAAGTTTTAACAAAGTACAGTTGAATATATTGTATATGATGTTAAGCATATTTTACTACGCATCTATATTGTTAATTTACGAATTATTTTAAATTATTAAAAAAATGTTGGAACGAAAACAGAAAATGTTAAATTATGCATGCAGGTTTTACAAAATAGTTGCTCTAAAATAATATTCTGAATGATGGAGCCGGTAACTATTTAGATATATACGATACCGCTGTTGCTTCTTTAATTTATATGTATTGGAATCACACATTTTTTACCATACCATATAATAATAAAATAAAAATATTCTACATTATTAGATACTACGAGTATATGATCGATACTTATATGATGTTAACTTTTTAATTCACAATTGATTATAAATGCGTTTAACCACAACCGAATTCAAAATATAATAATGAATCGTTCGATTATTGTGATAAATCTGCAGCCGAGTCGAGTTAAATGTACAAACACATTGCGGATGAAATATTTAAGAAATTGTGTAAATTTCGTGTAGAAACGCTGATTGACATTATACAGTAAGAATTGTGAACGTTACTTGTTTGGGAAAATTTCGATCAGCAACATCCAAGGCATACATGAAATGCCGCAAGCGCCGATGAAGTAAATGCAACTCAGTAGTGTTAACGAAACGCTCGGTAACGGCTCGATGATGTTATCCTTGGTCGCTATGATGTACACCCCGAGCGACATCAGCATAACGATGTTTACCGACAACGTCGTAAACGTCAAAACCCTTTTGCCCACCCGGTGCACGCTTACGGTCGCTATAATACTTCCCAATCCGGTGAGGGCCGTAAGGATCACCTGAAAACCGTTAATATTCTATGATTAACTGTCGATAAACGACCGCGCGTGTACCGGTGTAACAGACATATCATACCCCCGGAAAATATTACCGGGGGGGGAAAGATTTTCTAGTATTTATCCTAGGATATTCTTACCGGGGGGTAAAACTTTCTTAGGATAATATCGTATTCACCGAAAAGGGTATAATTAACCTAGGATGAACTTACCGGGGATAAAGATAAGCTAGGATAATTGTACCGGAGGTAAAATATGCCAAGGAAAATTTCCCCCCCCTGATAATATTTTCAGGGGGGTATGATTTGACTGGAACACCTGTAACGATTGCGCGCCGTCAGCACGTCGTCACTTTACACACGTCGTGCATGCGCGGTTACCAATAATTCGTTTTGATTGTCAACGATATAGATGTTCGTCATTATTTTCGTGATAAACGGTCTGGTGTGGAAAAGGCTGACCACGTTGGACACGAAAAACAGCGCCATCATCAATTTCATCGGCCTGTACACCGACGGCTCTTTGAACTCGGCCAGTTTCGCCAGCAGACCTTTTTTTTTCTCCACGTGACCCTTGCTGCCGCGGGTCCCGGACACTTCATTATAATGAATGAGCTCCAGGAACTCGTGTCGCACCATTTCCGGTTCCACCCAGCCTCGTAACCAGCACATGGCCTTCTCGGCCTTATCGTTTTTGCCCTTAGCCACCAACCAGACAGGAGACTCCGGTATCTGGGAACAAGAAAGATAACGTAACGCGATTTCGATCCGTCGCCGAGCCGCGGCCGCGTGCGTACAATAACGATGAGGCATATGCACACGATCGGGCAGATTGCGCTCAGCATGGCGACGGTCCTCCAGCCGAAAAACGAACCCAACACGTACGTGAGCAACGTTCCGACTCGGGTTGCCGTACTTCCCAGTGAGCTCAACGACCCTCTGAGCCTCGGCTCCGATATCTCTCCCACGTATGAAGACGTCGATCCCGGGCCGAATCCCGTACTGAATCCCATCAGCAATGTTGACGCGCACAGGAACGTCGAAGACTCCGCCGAGTACAGTAACGCCCATCCGACAATGCTGGGCACGTTGGCGATTATCATGCAACGTTTTTTCCCGAGCTTTCCTTGCAGAATTCCCGAAAGGAAACATCCGAACGGGTGTACCATAAACAGCAAGCTACCTGCAATCGGACAATACACGGAAATATTATCATCGCTATGTTGACGGCTGCAATACGATTGAGCCCTTTTTACACGGAAAAAGAAAAATGAAAAACAACAACAAAAACTTAACACTATTGTGCTCCATGAAACGTAGGGGTGTCCTTTTAACAATTTTCGAATACGCCATATGAAAATATAATGGTATAATATGCATATGTTAACATTTATTTTTAGTAAATTTTCACTAAAAATAAGATAAAAGACATTGTTGAGTGTCGTCAGCTTAATTGTTTTCGTGTTGAAGATAAGTGCTAAGGTGTTTCAAATAATAACTCAATTTTAAATTAATTACTATTTATTAAAAAATAATTCTAAGTTTAAAGCATTTATTCGTCAACCTAAATCAGCAGTTCTTACATTTTTTTTTCGCGTACCACATGAGTATATTATCAATCAGCCACGTACCATTAATGATTAAAAATAGAACCATACAAACTTGACATAGTTAAATATATTTATCTTAAATAAAAAGGCAGTAAAATACTAAAATAAAATTATTATTTATTTATTATTACAAATTCATTAGTGTTTTTGAATTAATATATGAGATAAATATTGAATTTTTAATTTCTGTTCTACCACCATGCGGCCTTTCGCTTACCACCATGTAGTCTTTCGCGTACCATTAGTGGTACGCGTACCACAGTTTGAGAACCGCTAACCTAAATAATTTTGAATCCAATACATTAATTTATTAAGTTTAAAACTGAAGTGAAGTTGTTTGCTAATACGAGTATCGGACTATAACACATATCCATTGATATATTCGAGACTAACTTGTATATCCCGTTTTTGTGTGAAACTGTGGTTTTCCCTTTTTCCAAAAAAATAATATGTTTAACCTGACATGATCTGTTTTAAGTAATTTTTCATATTTTTATTACATTATTATATATTATTAGTTCTATATTTATTACACCGGTCCGTTAAGAAGCATGCGGTTCTATGTTAATTACCTATCGAATACTTCAGTGGTTGGCCTCGTGACTTCTGCGAATCGCATAACTATTTCTATATTATAAGACGATAGAACATCGTGTGATTTGTATTTACGTATTTGTATTATCTTACTGTATTTTAGTCATTGCAAGCGAACTACTGGTGCTTATGTATTATGATAATAGTCTAATTCTCTTTACACTATTTATGTGATCCCTTCGTGTAATGGTAATCGTAAAGGCTTACATTTATATATGTCTGTAACAACAGCATGTACAAAGCTCAATACCAGTTTCAAATAAGCTATAAAATAACAGAGTGATTGAAATACAATAAATTACTTTGCACGATACATATGCTACAAAAAAGTTTTTATATTATTTTTTTGACATCAAAATCAAGTGATGTTTACTTACGAGTAGATATACGGCTTACGATTACAAAATTATGTTACAAGTTAGTAGACTTGAATATATTAATATCATTAGCTGATTGTTGTAGACAATTAGGTTTTGAAAAAAGTGTACTTAATGCTTGTAGAGAAATTTTCCAAATAGTTGCAAAATGATATTCTGTAGTTTTAATTTAGGCCAATATTTAAATTATGATAATGGTGATAGTAATAATATTTATATAAACTTTGAAAAGAACTAAAAAACCGTTTGGAATTTACTATGCAAGCTTAACAAAATTAGAACAAAATTAAATATCTGTACAAGAATATTTTAAATTAGTGGACCACGATTTCTTGTCACAAAATTATAATTCGTAGTTCTTTCTTTGTAAAAATTAGCAATTTTATTGTTTTTATGAATATATATCTATATTTATTACAAAAAATATTATTATTAAAAAAACATGAAAATTCTAGTTTTTCTATATGTAACATCACCAATTGGATTGAGTTGTTGTAAATTGTTAAAAGAAAACATTCATATTTCATGGAGCACAATCTTGTTGCGTTTTTTTTCGCAGATAAAACGGGCGCAATCGTGTTGCAGTAATATTTAATAAATCGGTATAGTATTAGCCGCATATTTCGTAGAGACAAAAAGAGCACATTTTTATTATTCTACAAAAATACTGTTGCCTAAAAGAGCAAAGTGAATATCATCATATTATTACATTACTGGCGCCACCCAAACAGCACAATAATCATAATCTCTATATAATATATTATTAGGGTGATCATACGTCCCTTTTTTTTATCATTATGTCCCATTGTCCCGACAAACTTTGAACGGGACGCTTTTTGTCCCGTATTAATCCCGTTACTTCCATAAAAATTGTAAACCGAGAGTAAAAGAAAAAAAAATAAGACATGTCATATACGAGTGGTATATATTTTACGGGTAGAATAAGAAAATCGGGTAATGTACACATCATCCGGGTAATTTTTACATTATCTACCCTTGAGTGGATAAAGTATTTTCATAAAATAAAATACGACAAAGTATGAACTGTATATAATATTAATAAAATACGATAAAACATAAATTGTACCTACATGATGATTAATCGTGTGCATTGATATTGTATAATAATTTTAAACTACATACGGTGCTATTGGTTTTCGAGTTCACTTGTTTGGTTTATTAATGTTTGATCATTTAGTTTTTTAAAAAAAAAACTTGTCATAAAAAGAGAAATTATTTGAAAATTATAATAAATAAATAAATGAAAATAAAGAAAATTCGGTAAATTTAACGGAATCAAAATATTATAACATACTATCTGAAATAAGAAATGTGAATAAAAATAAATAAATCATAATGAAACTTTTATAAATATTTTACAAGTGTTGGTTACAAAAAAAATCTTTTTGTGAAATAGCTTATGCACAATTTTTTTTCGATGGTCAAATTTCTAAAAAATGTTTGTGTGACAATAATCATTTAACAAATAAATGTACGATTAAATGTAAATCTAGGGAGATATTTTGCAACTCAAAATGATTCAAAGTGTTCCAATAAATAACTTTATTTAATTTTTTAAAATTTTTTATTATAAAATAATAACTTAATAATACATAGTTTAGGTACTTAATAATTTTTTTTTTCGAATAACTATAGCTTATATTGCTAACTTATAGTATACTGGATAATAAACATATTATACTACTTCTATGAATAAGGTGTACTTTACCCGGGTAATGTGTAAACTACCCATTTTCAAACTTTACCCGTAACATATATATATATATGCATTGGCGCAACGAGACATTTAAACTAGGGGGTGCTTAAGCTCAAAGTTTTTTTGTGTTTTGATAAACCATAACTTGGTTAAAAATAAAAAAAAATGAATGTTCCAAGTCACCTTGAGTTTCGGGAGACATGAAATAGTAAGATATTTTTAAATGTTTTTGAGCGTTTAACCTGCAATACGTTTTACTTGGAATACAAATAGGATTTTTACAAACAGCTTTGTATATATGATAACCTAAAGAAGTCAATAGGTAACCTAAATATTATATAAAATATAAATTAAACACATTCTCTTTTGTGTCTCAAACAGTATAAGTTTGATGAATTAAATTTGATCTACAAAAAAAGTACTTTTATGATAACAGTTTGTAACATCAATTTCTGTTTAATGATAAGAAATATCATAAAATATGATAAAAGGTTTTTGATTGGAAATGAAACAACATAAAATATCATGAAAAGATAAACGATATATAACAAAACTCTCGAAGTTCTATCAAATTCAACCAAGAAAAGTCATAGTGTTCCAAGTCACCACTCAAGTTCCATTTCACCCGTGTTGGCGGTACTGATTAAAATATACCATACAGGTATATTAAGCACAGACTATTTAAAATAACTTGGCCGCTCTGGCATCCTTATCTCTATTGAATTAAAATCAACACATCCAATTCGACATTATAAATAACAAAATGTTATACTACAAAAATTACTATTATGTTATAATTGTAATTCGATAAATATTCAACTCTTTTTTTACAGTTTTTAAACGATTTTTTAGGGAGTGCTGATTTTGACTTAGGGGGTGCAAAGTACCCAAATCCCCCCCCCCCCCTCTAGTTGTGCCAATGTATATATGTACTACGAATTCATGTGCGAAACTTCTAAAGAAATCGATATTAAATACGAATAGTTAACCAATATACAGTACTATTTATAATCAACGATATTCGGTAAAATAAGTATATTAGGTATATTAATCGGAAAATCGAACATAGTCGTGCAATAACGTATGTATGGTACATTGCAACGATCTTGTGTTATTAATGTTATAGCCACTGTGTATTAGTTCTTTTTATTTAAATTGTTGTGAGTCATTATTGTTATCACTTGTATTGTTTTTTTAAAATTCCTAAAAAGAAATATACGTTCACTGTACCTTTGCAGATTAATTAATGCATTAATAGAAAGAATATTTTCAATCACAAATATTTTATAGACGGACGGAAAAAATCGTTTTCTCGTACCAACTGTCAAAGCAATAATAATTCTTAAAAATATTCCTGTAATGATTTTTATGATTTTTTTGTTAACACAACCAAAACTATAATGCAATCAGTTCATCAAAAAAAATATAATGTCAAAGAATGTAATGAAGAAAATTATGAACAATCGACATCAACTCAATAAAAATAAAGAATATTTTAAGTAATTTTTTTCAATCTCACAGCAAAAAAAGAATGCAAATCAATGTTTAATTAAAATATCAAACTAATTAAAAATTATTTTTATTGCATATAATATAGAAGTTAAAAAAAATGTTGTCTTTTTTTTTAGAGAACATATTCGTCCCGTTTTTTTTTTTCATAAATATGGTCACCCTATGTATTATTATACTTCATATTTAGAAACTCTGAGTTCTGACATGATGACTGACTAAGTATAATTGCAGTAACTATCCCATTACTGTATTTGATGATTATATGTTATCAAATCTAATGAAACGGATATAACTGATAATTAAATCAGAACAGACCTAAGCTAATGGTTGATAATGTATTAAGGTACCAAATGAAATTTGATAAAATAATAAACACGAGAGATTGGGATTACAATTCTTAAATTGTCTAGGAAAATATTTTGCTTTATCAATAATTCTGTATTCATCAAATGTGCTCTTTTTGTTTACAATGATTATTTTAATTGACATAATATGCTGTTAATTTAATTACTGTATTTTTTGTGCTTTTTTTTGTTATTACTGATCTGTGCTCTTTTTGGCTTATTTTCTGAAAAATGTGCTCTTTTGGGTGACGGCCATTTATACACCTGCTGAAAAAAACTTTTTCAACGTTATTTGTTGTTTTATTATCTACAGAATAGATACGTGATTAGGTTTCAATATTTTCGACTGTTTGAAACATTTATGCAATATAAGATTTTGATACGTTTTTACACAGCCTAGTAGTATTGACTTGATTTAATATTATATGATAAAAACTGAACGAATCGGCTTACCATACCACGAGGCCTCAGTTATCGTTATTGAGAAATCACTGTTCGAATTTTGATATAAATCACGAATGACCAATGCGGGCATTGATAGATTCATTCCCATTCCAATAAACAGAAAACTTTGCGCTATGGTGGCAAACAACTGTAATAATTCACGTAATTAATACATATACATAATATATTCATTGATGTGCAAAATATTTAGTTTACTTACTTGTGCCAGCGTCGACTTAAGTCCATATTTTTGGGGGCGTTGTTCATCTTTGTTCGCGTTTTTATTAGACATTGATAACAATGAAATCCAACAAACATGTATTTTAAATTAAATGCAAAAAAATAAATCTACTGAAAATCAATTGTTAATAACTCATGTTATTTTCAAAGACATTCTATTAGTAAGAATATTATTGATGTGTACTATAACAGAACAACTATGATTTGTTTAGTGCAAAGAATGTTATATATTACATTTACGTTATACATGAACCTTATATCTGTACTCACGAGTAGATAAAAGTTAGTTGCAATAAATTAATAATTTTCTATTCAGTTAAATTTTTTTATAAATTGCTGTGTTTGCGAATTGACGAGAGTAAACAATGTCATTATCAGTTACTACCAAACCCGCTATTAGAAATAAAACAGAACAGTTTCGCGTGCGCACGGCAATGCCACAGAAACGCAACTGTTTTCTTCGACATTGAGTCGTTCACCACTTATGTTCGTACACTCAACCGATTTGTTATCATTATAACATTATTTGTTCATGTTTTGATTACGGATTTATGTTTAACGAGATAATCATAATACATCTTCATTGGTTCATACGTTTTCCGAATCTTTACTGGTTGAACAATCGTATCGACATTGTCAACATAAACGTATAGATAAAATACTTGTGTTTGGCAAATTGAATATTTATTGTAATGATTATAAAATACCCACGCACAAGTGCGCGAGTTCTCGTTCGTTATATAATATTATATATAACTATTATAATCATTTTTTTTTTTTTTAACGATAATTTAACTGCAGTTGAAAAATACTACAATACGGGATAATGTTATGAAATATTCACTTTTTTTGATTTCAAATTATTTTATAGAACGTTATCAATTCTCAGAACACGTAATTTTGTAAATACTATTATCAAATATACCTAATTTAATAATTGATCTACTTACACTAAAAAGTATAACTATATAGGTATTTATTGTCACAAAATAATTTTCCAAAGAACTTTTTTAAAATAATGAAAAACAGTCACAAAATACAATAATGATATTAATAAATTGGTTCAAAAATATACAGAAAATAATTTAAATAATTTTTAATATAAACTTCAATTAAATAATAAAAGCTAATTTTAGTTATTTTTCTTTAAATATATTTTTTTCTGGATTTAATAGTTGCAACTTTTTGTATCAGTTCTTCCCACTTCATTTCCTAAACCAAATCAGATTATATACATAAAATTGATAAATTAAACATTTTTTTTTTTTGTATTCATGACGATCTTAAATAACTGTTTACACATTTTAAAACAGAAAACGATCTCTTGCCACTTGTATTTGAAGTAGGTTAAAATTAGTTTAAAATTAGGTTAAAATTATTTCGATATTAGGAAACGATGTCTATAAAGACGATGTTTTCAGTGTTCTCAGTAGTAATGTAAAATTATTTTTGGCTTCTGACAGAAAATTTTTAAAATAGTTTTGAACTGTGCTAACTTTTCTACAAAATCTGTTTCTATGTCTAAATTTTACAATTCAATAATTAAAAAAAACAACAACTGAAAATAAAATGGGAATCATAGAAAATATTATAAACGACAATAACATAATAAATAATAAAATAAATGAAGTCATATTCAAAAGTTTCACATTTTATTGAACACCCAACATTTTTTTTAATCATATTGAAAAATGTTTGCTTAAATAATTATTATATATAATATTTATTTTTTTTTAGGAAAATTTTATTTATGCCACCCCATTAAATTTTCCGCTCTGGAGCACCTATTCGGCTCTTTGTTTTGACAGGAGGGGGGGAATTTGAGTTCAAGACGGCAGAGCAAATGCAGTAAAAAGTGGTGGAATGCGCGAATGAGTTGCGTTCTCTCGATGAATAGAGTATAGGTGCGTACTTAGTATATTTTTTTAATTTAAGATATCTATCTATCTATCTATTTATCGAAATTGGTCTTCAGAAATATTCAGTTAGGAGACAATATTTATAAATTATAACTGTGGGGATTATTTAATGAAGGTCCATCGTATTTTCTTTTCTTTCTTCTTCAGATCTACATTAGATTAGTATGTGCTTAGCTTCATAATATAATAATATAATATATTTTCCGTTAGAAGTTTCCAAAGAAATAGATGACAACATAAATCTAAAAAAAAAAAGGATTAGGCTATGATGGAGTTAGTTCTAAAATACTCAAAGAGCTACTAAAAAATGCTATCATTAATTTTATTTATTTATTTCGTATGGCTATCAAGTATCTTACGCACATATGCAATGCTAGCACATAGAATATGTTCCTAAACAGTGGAAACTGACATAAGTGATAATATTGCTCAAACCAGGAAGACCACCCGAATATATTACATCAGCGGTTCCCAAACTTTTTTTTTCTGTGGTGCCTTTTTTTGGACCCAATCAATCCACGGTACCCGGGCATTGAATAACATTAAAGACAGAACAAAAAAAATCTATTGATAGCCGATTTTATTAATTTTAATAAAATTTAACTTAGTTATAAATTAATGCACTTTTAAACTTAAAAAATAGATAAGTAAACATTATTGTTATGATTATAATTATTATACAAAAATATTATAAGGTTAAAATAAGAATATCCGATAATACAATAGAAAATATTACATTATTTGCTATAAAGTTTTTACGAAAACAATAAGGTAAAATCAATCTTATACATTTTAAACTATTTATTATGAACGGTAGACCGCGGTGCCCTTAGAAAGTGATCGTGGTGCCTCTAAGGCACCGCGGTGCACAGTTTAGGAACCACTGTGTTACATAATAACGACCGATAATCACTCCTATCAAGTTTGTTTAAGCTCTTAGAGAAACTTCTACTCAAACGTCTTAAACCAATTATAGAGGAAAAACATATTATACCGGAACATCAATTTGGATTCCGCAATAAGCATTTGAAAATCTATCACGTTCATCGCACCACTAATGTGGATAAGCAAGTTCTTAAAGAAAAAAATATCTCTGTGGAGTGTTCCTTATGTATCCTAGGCTTTTAACAAAGTACAAGGAATATCTCATAAAATTACGTGAACGTTTGTTACATAATTCTTGTACCTATTCTACACAAGAGATATATCAAAAGACGGCAACCCAACGATAGCAATATTTTCCGACGATACAGTAACTGATAGATTACAAGAATCAATTGACAACATTTTTGATTGGACTAGATGTTAGAAAATTAATAGGCTTTTACTCTTCATTGAATTGGAAACACCATGTCCGGCAGAAAAAATTGAAAATGAAAGAAAAAATTCAAAAACTCTTCTGGTTAGTCAGACCCCACTCCAAGTCAACTGTAAAAAAATAAACGTCTACTATACGTAGTCATTATAAAACCAATCTGAACTTATGGCATTCCTCTGTGGGGTTGTGCTAGTAAGTTTAACATTGATGTAATACAACGCTGTCAAAACATCGCCCTTCGAATCATCACTGCAGCTTACAAGTTTAAAAGAAACGATGCAATTCGCCGAGGTATAATATCATATGTTACCCATAGTGTCAATCGAAATACAGAGGTTTGCTTGCAAACACGAGACAAGGTTAGATCATCATGTTAATACAATGGCCATTCAACTATTAGACGATTCCAAGGATACTATACGTCTTAAACGTCTGAAACCATATGACTTAGTTTAAGTATTTAAATTAAGATAGGAGTCACTTCATTGGGAGTGACCTCATCAACGTGTATAGTATTTATTATGTAAATGTATATAATTGTTAAACATATTTATAAAGACCCTTGGGACGTTTAAATAATAAAGCCTCAGGGAATTAAAAAAAAATAACAATATTTAGTATATTAGTTATTCATGTTATAGTATATACTTTAATAACACCCGATGATACACAATAACATGTGTAATAAAATAATGCTTCAAATGTACACGAGAAAAAAAAAATGTACGAAAAATAATCAATTATTGTCAATAATGTAAAGCATGACTTGGAGACCTATAGTTCTATAAGAAGTTTTATTTAAATAAAGATAAGAATAACATTTATGTAACATATCGGTTGTACATGCTATTTTATTTTGTCACCTCTGTAAACTTCTCATTATATTATAATTAAATAATTGCATTGTAATTATGTCCATATATTATGATTATGGTAATTATGTAATGTTCATCGGGTGAGTGTCACGTAGTCATATAAAATTATAATAAAATATATTTATTGATTATTAATGATAATAAATTATTGCTACGTACCAGAATGAAAAGCTTCGTCCTCCATAGCTAGTATGAAACTTAAAGACTCTGATTATTTCGTGGTTTTATTCGTTTCCATCCAAGTCGTAATCATACTTTCCATATCCTAATTGGCACGTTTCACAGAACATTATGAACTGTGGCGAGCATTTCCGTGAACTATTTTTACTTCAGACCACACACTACATACAGAGGTGGAACTAGGAATTTTAACGCTCGGGGAAAATGTTAATATTACCCCCTATCATAGACCAATAATCAGATAATCTTCTCGAGAATTTTTTTTCTAATCATTAATAAACAATCATACTTATTGAGTTTTAATCTAATAACAATATTTAGCAAAGTTAAAAATATCAAATTAGTTGTTAATAATTACGAAAATTACACCCTCCAAAATTTTACGCCCGGAGATGAATCCCAGTTTTCCACCCCCCTAGTTCCGCCCCTAAGTACATATATTTGTAATAACAGCATTCACGAATTCTCCACCGTCATCGGAGTGGAGTATATTTGGTGCTCCAAAAAGAGTAAAAATATCGAGTAAGCAGTATGCAACTTTTTCAGCCCGTTTAAATCTAAGTGCTCGTAAACTAACAAATTTAGTCAAATGGTCTTGATAAGCCATTAAAAATGTGTAATTGTTATCGGATTTGCCTCCATATCAGTTATGTCTACCTAGCAGTGCTAATTAATTTTGGTGTGTAAAATAGGTTAGATCTTTTTTGAACATATTGTGTTTATTTTTAACATGACTCACATAATTTTAAATTAACATAATTGTATTTACTATTAACAGCATAAGCAATATGATTTTTACCTCCATGATCTGTTGCAATATGTGCTTCATGAATAATTTCATATAAATCGTTATAACGAACATAATAAAGCATTTGTTCGGAGGCACCATTCATGGAGCAATCAGTTTTTTCTTCTCCACCGATATTAACGATATCAAACTGTTTAAGTCACCGATAATGAAGTGATTTTTTAACAATGACAGATTTTGATTTTTGAACTTCATTCAATAATTCTTCATATTTTTCATTAGTTATGTAGAAAGATTTTTTTTTCATTTTTCATCACGAAAACACCATTTAAAAGTTCGTAAAACATTATTTTAAGACCAGATTTTTTTTGAGTGCAGTGAATGGAGATTGCTTTTTCCTCGTTAAACACTGTTGTTTGGCAAAAAAGGCTAGAAATATTCATCTACAACCAGTGATGTTCCCAAATATAAAACAAATACATTTACACTTTATAATATTTAATTTAAATTTAACTTTTGCAGAAAAATTAAATTTTTATATTTTAAAATAGAGCACTAATTAGTAACTAAAATTTAAGTACACGTGGCTTCGCAATTTTCAAAAAAACTACGAGAAAATTACTGTCTATAACAGTATCAATTTTTTTTCTATTAATCGAAAATAACTAGTATTTTTCAGAACTGGTATAAACCGGTAAGAATCCTTTTTTTTACAAAACAGGTACCCTAAAAATATTAATTTAATGTCCTAAACCAAAACCAAAAAATCCAATAGGTTCCAGTCCCTGGTTTGTGAAAACAAAATGTTTTGTAATAATTACAACATATTTTATGTTTGGATTACTATTTGTACCTTTGGATTATCTCTTTTATTGAAGATCATCATCAAATGGTAGTCTACAAAGAAAATTGGTCTATTCCATCACGTTTTTCATTGGGAGTTCTTCAATATACATTTATATATTCTTATAAATTTAATTTCTATAAAATGTAATTTAAATTTATTGTTTTATATTTTTATTACAATAAATTAAAAATAATGTTTAGTCATATAAAAAAAAAAAAAAAACACAGAATTCCGGATAATAGTTTGATTCAATTGTTTTTTATTATTCTTATATTAATGTTTACGAACGATTACAACAGTTATTTAATTTATGTAATTGGGCTCATTAAGAACTTGAATAAATTTATAATCTTTACTAGTAATGTAAATTCTAAAGAAATAATTGACTTATAAATATAATATATATAATACTAATATATATAATTACTATTAAACCTCAACGATTTTCTAGTTTAGTTTAAATGAGTTCAGTTTCTAATATAATTTTGTTTTACAATGACAATAAATAAAACCCAAAGATAGACTTTACTATGGTGTAGATATGGAAAATTGTATGTAGTATTTTCTAGAGTTGGAAGACCTGAACAGTTATACGTTTATACACCACAAAATAAAACTTTTAATGTGGTATACCAAGAGGTTTAGACTTAAATAATTTTATAAATGAGTACCCAAGTATAGAATCGTTTATAAATTTTATTAATACTATAACTATTATTTTTTACTCGTAATTCAGCTATTACTACCATTTAGCACTTGATCAAATTAAGTAAATTAAAATAATTAAGAATTTAATTTAGAAAAAGCAAAAACTTCACACAGGTGAAATCGGGTAATTCAACTAGTATAATATAATATAACAAGGTTCCTCCTGTTTCACTTGTTAATAATATTTAAGGATATTAAAAAGTAAATAATAATGATGTAAAAAATATAAATAACTATGATGAACAGTCCAGTTATTGAACACCCTCCAGTAATTGAACAAAGTCTACTTATGTTTTAATATGAAAAAAACTAGATATCTTATTTAATAACTAATTTTTGTTTTCAATATTAAATATAATGGTCATACTGTATAACCATAGTTTGATAATTAACACGTGATAACAAACAAGTTATAACAGTTTAAAATCACGATAATCGAATTTTCATCTGTTTGGATCAAATTTTTCGAAGTAAGTTACCTAGTATGAAATACTTTTTGTGGAAATTAAACCAATTATAAAATACTCATTATATGTTACTATTATGTATTTTATTATATTAAACACCATATTTTGTATGATTTTCATGCTTAAAATTGAAAAAAGTGCTTATCGTAGCTACTTATTTAGGTGTTCAATTACTAGTAACTACAATTCAGCAAAATCTATTAATTGAACTCTTGTTCAATCACTGGTACAGCTTGAACATAACTTTATCCAATGATTGAACAGGTATATTTTATCATGTTACCTAGATATTTACCTAATATAATATAATATATTTATAAATCCTATCTATACTGGCAATATTTAAGCTTGGATTTACAAAAAATATTATACAGAATCGTGGGAGAAACATTTGTTTTGGCCAAAACCTGACACCCAGAAGAAAAAAAACAAAAGTAAAATAAAGTTACCTTTTGCTGTTACAGCAATTAAGTGGAGGGAATATCACGCAAATAAAGAGCAGGAAAAACTAAAAAAAGAAGAAAAACTTACACTGAAACGAAAATGTAGAGATGAAATAAAAAAATAAAAATTTCTTAAAGTTGCTAAAAAAACCACAACTAAGCAAAAAAACAAAGAACAAGAACGTCAGAAACCAAGAACTTTAAAATATACAAAAAAAAATTAAATTGGGTATAATTACGGAGTCTGAAAATGATGCCACATGTAGGTATTGTAAAGAACCTTACACTTCATCGAAAAGTGGTGAACCTTAGATCAAGTGTTGTGGTTGTGCTGAATGGGCTTATGAACTCTGTGCTGATTTTGAAAACACTGTTGCTTACATTTGTGATTTCTGCCGTTAATTTTAATTATTTTACTTATTTTTACTTATTTTTAAATACTCAATATTATATAACTGTTATATCTTTATAGTAGTAATATTATTACCTACCCAGGTAGTTACTAAGATATTTATTTTAATTGTTTTAATTTAACCCTGTTACCAAGTTGGTTTTAATTAACATATTATGTTATGTTTGTTTAAAATATTTATTCTAATCCTGTTACTGAGTTTGTAATTAGGTATATACATATTATATATATATAATATGTGTAAATTAAAGATTTATGTTAATTTATAATAAAGATACTATTTATTATTCATGTATTTTATTAAATAAAAATTGTTTTAACAAATATTATTAGGTGTTCAAACACTAGGTTTGAAGTGTTCAAAAACTAGCGCGTTGTGTTCAATCACTAGGATTCCACTTATTTTTTTAAACTAACTAATATGTTTAAAAGTAATTTGATTTTATGTGGTTTTCTTAAAATTAATTTAAAAAGAAACAGATGTACCAATCTTTAAGTTTGAACTATAAAATTATAATATTGAAAACTAATTTATGAATACATTTTAATAGCAAATAAATTCTTAACTGTTCAATGACGGGTCTGTTCATTCTATTTGAAAACAGGCTAGGCCCGGGTCTTCTAGGCCTAATCTCTGGGCACGCAACTGGTCGGTGAAACACTTAGACATGACGCCTTACGTCAAAATGCATACCGGTGCCTTTTTAACGACCCATAATACGATAATATTTAGAAAAAATGTTTGTTCATGGACAGAAATACGGAAAGATTATATAATATGATCAATTTTTACATAATTTGCTATCGAATAAATAAATAAATAAAAAATTACACATTATAACAAAATATAATGAATAGGTAATAGATACATATAAATTTACATATAAAATATCTCCTACACTCTATTAATCAAAATGAAGATTGCAGAAATGGTTGGAATTTAATAATAAATGGAAATGTGTGTACAATAGAACATAGGTAACATGAATAAATACATTTTATTATACATCAACACTTTTCTCGGTTATCTCCTGGTATAACTTTTTATAACTGTAGAAAAATCAATTTTTGCAGTTTTTTCATTTACTGTAGAAAAAATCGATGATGAGACCAAACGTTCGTTAGTCATGAAGTAAATCACAAGTATGTTTCTATATGTTTTAATTTGGAGAAACTCCGTTCACCACTAGCTACATTTACTAGTTATGTCATTAATAATATCAAACTAATCCAAACATTTTGAAATATGTCTTGGAGTTCAAAGTCAAAAACGTGTGCAGGAATATTTAGAAGTTATATTATGTCCAAACAAGAAATTAACAACTGCTTAATGTTCTGAATCTCTGTGGATAATTCGACACTATCAATATCAGGGTCAGATTCATTTTTTAGGTGATTATGTAGATCCGTAAAATATTTCAGTGATTCCTTTTCATTTTCTGCTCCATTTTTTAAACCGTACAAAAAATTTAAGAAATAAACATAGTTCAAAACAATCTTTCAGTAATAACGTTCATTAATGTGCCTCGGCTGTGGGTTTGCGACTAGGGTCTATCATATTGCACGCCATGTAAACCCGATAGCTACTGTTGTGCAAACCCATAAAAATGTAATTTTTAATTTTAATTTTATATTTTATATTCTTAAGTTTGACATTATATACAACCACGGTTACATGATTTTGATACTTAAGTTTTGTTAATTACATGCATTACATTAAAATTATAACAAACCAGATATAATCATTAAATTTATTTATAAATAAATTTAATGATTATATATTATATTATATATAATATTATTTAATAAATTATATGTTCAGTAATTTAGTAATATATGGCATATTTAAAGTATGCTAAATTTAAATAAAACGAAAATACATAACATTTCTAATATTAAAATGAAAAATGATAGTTAATCGCGGTTTCGATAAATTATAACAATACGATTAAAACAAAATAATAGTTTCAAAACGCACTTATAGATCTACTCGTGTAACCAAACATTTTGAAATATAAAAATGTACATATATTATTTATGTACAATTATTGTATCTATTTGTTAGCCGAGTTTCGAAATTAATTGTCCGACATAATTATTAAATAAATAACCAAATAACTATAACAAATAACAAATAGCTAATAAATAAAAATGTTTACTATAAAAGTGAAAACATTTGTTTTATCTTTTTGAACTTGATTCAAAATGTTTTTCTATTTCTAATAATGTTTTATTTTCTGTTTCTGGTAAATAATAATAAAAATATATAAATCCGATAAAACTAATAAAACTAAATAGAAACATAGTATACTCCAATGTTAAAGCACTTTCAATAGATATATATGATTTTATTAATACCAATAAAATTACGCCTGATATTCCTGTACATAAGCCAGTAGCGATTCCTCGAATTCTGTAAGAGAAAAAAATATTTTTAAATTAAAGAAATTTTTTTAAATGTAATTCATGATCAGACCAATATTGAGTCACTGTGGTGTATTTATAAAATAATTATTCAATAAATTAGTATCATACATAATAAAATCTAAACATATATTATATAATATGGGTAAATATAATTAATATCGATAAAATAAAAATGTTATTAAATTTAAAATACCATGGTATTTACTTGATCGGATAAATATTAAATATTGTTATTATTATATAAGTTTATATTTTCAGTGATCCTGAAATGTGATGAGATGAGAGGTAATAAATGTATAAGAGTTTATATGAAAATGAACGTTGAAGGGAAAAGAAAAAGAAGAAAACCAAAACAGAGATGGTTGGATACGTTTAAGAATGATATGTGGGGATGTAGAAAATCGAGGTGAGTGGAGAATTAGGACAAGGGTAGCCGACCCCAAATAGTTGGGAGAAATGAAGAAGAGAAGAAGAAGAAGAAGAAGAAGAAGAAGAAGAAGAAGAAGAAGATATTTTCAGTGATTTTACTAATACAAAATAAATAAAATAAAATAAATTATATAACATAAATGTCAAGTTATGACTTTCTCCCGATCTTGCTTAAGTATTTAACAATTATGAATCTTTACTCAGAAAAACTGATGTTATCAAAGATCTCGGTGTACTCTTTGATCCGAAACTAACATTTAAACAACACATTCACTACATTAAAAATAAAGCCCTCAAACTACTTGAATTCATTCAGCACACTTGTGTAGACTTTAAGGATAAAAATATATTTATTTTAATATTTTGCTCCTTAGTGCACTCAATTCTAGATTACGGATCTGTTGTCTAATCTACGTATAATATAGGTTTAAAAACTATGCTAGATAAAGTCCAAAATAAATCTTACGGTTTTTAGTTTATACATTTAATATAGCTAGAAGTCTCTATTCTTCTTACTTACTATTTTACTTACTAGTCTCAGTCTCAAATATCTAAACTGTTGGAGAATCAGACTTGATTTATATTTCATTTATAAATTATTAAATAGCCAAATTGATTGCCCTGATGGTTTACATCAATTAACATTCTAAGTTTTTCTAACAAAAACAAGATCGAATAATCTTATTTATTTAAAAACTCAACCTACAAATTTTGCTACCAACACTCCAGTATCTAGAATTATGTTCATTTTAAATACCTACACAATTAACTCTTTCTAATCTACCACTTAATTATTATAAAAATTATGTATTATCTATTAATATATCATAGTTTTACATATTAATTGATATAACTATGTTCTATATTATTTTTTGTATTAATTCTTATTTTATCTTTTTTGGTGTGTTTACAATTATGTTGCTTACGAATTTTATTATTGCTAGTCTTATATTATATTTAAATATAATTGGGCCTAAACCCGTTTAATTTTCAAATAAATAAATAAATAATTAAAAAATAAGAAAAAATTACCTATATGGGAAGACTTCACTGAGTAATATCCAAGGGATATAATATATGCCACAACTCCCAGAAAAGTAAATACTACTGATTATTGTAAAAGGAATCCACGGAGATGACGTGACATAATTGTGTTTCAGGGTTTTTATGTACACGCCTAACATAAATATCAAAGTAGTATTTACTGAAATCGTCAATAACGTCAAATATCTTTTTCCCAGACAATTAATAGTCAACATTAATACCATACTTCCGAGACCTTGCAGAACAGTGAAAACTATCTAGAAAGGACATATTTTTTTAGTTACAGTTCCAGTATGGATTCGCATTGAATAAACATGACGAAGTGTTCGTACCATATATGTATTCGGATAGATCGCAAAACCAACATTTACGATAATTTGCATAGTAAATGGCGTAAAGCAGGATATTAGGGAAACTATTAAATAAATGATCACTAGTATCAACGGTCGATAAGCTGACGGGTTCTTGAACTGAGCAATTTCTGCGAACAAACCGCCGCCTTTGATTTCGGTATCAACTGTGGACTCTTGATCATTCGTTGGCTTGTTATGGCGTATAAGTTCGAGAAATTCATATTTTACCGTTTCGGGTTCCATCCATCCTCTTAACCAACACAAAGCTTTTTCGGCTTTATCATTTTTTCCATGAGCTATCAACCAAATCGGTGACTCTGGAATCTAGAAAAAGAAAAAGGCATAAATATATACCAACGATAACACGCGTTTCTGAAGTCTAACAAATGCGAGTATAATAAATTAATACAAACCAAAGAAATAAGGCATGTACGTATTATTAGGAAACATACGCTTGCCAAAGCAATACTCCTCCAGTGAAATAAAGATTCCAAAACAAAAATCAACGATACTCCAATCATTATTGATACACCCGTCAACGAAGCCAGCCTTCCTCTAAGTCTCGGCTCTGTTATCTCTCCGGTATACGAGTATTTCGCAATAGAGCTGAAGCCAATCCCGAAACCTACCATTGAATTCGATAAACAGAGGACTGTCGAAGAGTGCGATAGGTACAGTAAGATCCATCCGATGAAACTCGGTAAATTAGCGATAATCATACAGCGCTTTCTCCCCAACTGTTTTTGCAGGGTTCCCGATAAAAGGGCACCGAACAGATGAGTAAAATGTAACAAGCTTACTGTAATCAAATACGAATATTTACATAGAAAAATTACATTGAGTGTATAAAGGATTATTAGTATACGTTGTATTAAATATCTATAACGATATAAAAATATCTATAATATGTATAACGACCTTTTTAATAGAAATAAAATGTTTTGATATTTTTTAATTTTTTTTTTATGTTTTGATGATTTCTATTTTCTCCCAAAAATAAACAATATAAACTATTTTATATGTATATAATATATAATTATTTCACACCGATGGTTAAATTAAATATTAATCATACATACTCGTAGTAAAAAGCAATGTCGTACCTAGTGATCAGTGATCGGTGCCAAGAACCAATCTACCTAGTATGAATATAATATGAATAATATATGAATTCGTACTAAATCGGTATAGTTTATTTAAAAATCAAATTTATTCAAATGCACAACAAATAATTTACCTTTGAATAATTGTCAATGAAAAATAATAAAGTACCTACACAACTTCTGCGTTCATGAACTATGATGTGAACTATACCATAGATAGATTAAAAATAAAATTGCACAACTCGTTCAAGTCGATATTCGTTTATGTAATTTAAGTGCGATTCCTATTGATTTTACATTTTTTTCTTGTCTACTGACCGCGTATAATTTATCCGTGGGTCGCCGTTAAATGGTCACCAAATTTTGGTGACCCTTGGTCTATGTCATGTAATTTTTGTATAGAGTACTGGGATTAGTAAGTACTTTTCTTAATAAAAAACATTAAAATGAAATAAATTAAACAATTTATCAGGGCGACCAACCATAAAAATTAATAACATGATTTCTTATTTAACGTGTGTTATTTTTTTGTTTTAAGTTTAATTTTCGTTAAAGTTATTTCGTTTTAGGTATTGCAATAATTTATGAGTCATACGATGCTTGATTCGATGATTGCCTTACCTATTACAACCAAATTATAAGTTTGGAGTAATCAAATAATTAATATGTTATCGTAAAAAATTCACTGACCATACCATGAGGCTTCAATTAGTGAAATAGAAAAACTGCTGCTAGAATTTTGAAACAAATCTGTAAGCACAATGCTGGGTGTCACCATTGCCATACCCCATTCAATCGAAATACAATTTTGTACTACAACCGCCAACGTCTATTATATTGATAGTACATTCTGTTATTAAATATATATTTATATCAAACGATCATACAAATATAAAACACTTACTTGTGCCAGTGTCGACTTCAAACCATATTTTTCACGGGAATTCGAACTGGAATGGTTGTCACTAATAGGCATTGTACAATAATTTAAAATTTTAACTGATCAATAAAAAACTTTGTTTCTTAACATCACTTGGTTTATTGCTGATCTAAATCTGTGGCTCTCGTGGACCGGAGTGTATGAAGTAATTATAAGTCCAAGTGTACACTAGATTTTGTTCTCTGTAACACATCTATATAGATATAGTTATACAACGAATAAAATATTTACTTATTAATTACTTTTATCAATTTTAATATAAATACAAGTAAATAAGAATAGTTAATCATCATATTAATTTGAATTTTACTTATCAAATGTTTTTCAATTTTACTTGCTGTTGTGAAGAATCAAAGCATTCTATATATAACTATTCTTATCTATTTATTATAAAATTGATAAAAATAATTAATATCAATAAGAACAGAAAATAAATAGTTTATTCTTGATTTCAAAAATATTAACCATCGATTTTAACGTGTTCACTCAAATCGATAACGTACCAGGTAATGTAATTTTTTTTAATAGGTACATAAACAATAGTAATTATTTGCTTATACTAGTTGACCATCATGATTCATTTTCTATTAGAAAATACATTTCTAAGACAGAAATAACAAATCGTAACAAAAAATAAAATAAAAATTTGATAGTTTTATACAAATATATTTACTGATAGAAAAACAATTTAATTTTCTAGTTTTTACCGATTTTTCATATTAATTATACTCTACTAATGTAGATAACTAATGACTTAAAATATATTAGAATAATTACTATTGATAATTATTTTTCTAACTCGTTAATATTTTTATTTAAAATCGGAAAAATCATTTTGTAAGAAAATCATTTTTTGAATGAGCTTATTCATTTTCTAACGATATATTTTCATCAATCAAAAATAAATTAAAATTTTGAGGAAAACTATTTGTTCTTATATTTTGTATTTGTTCACTGGGTAATGGTATATTATTAGTTCTACAAATCAGAGGCTGGAAACTTGATGAGTTTTACGGTTCTAGTTCCGGTTCGGTTCATAGAAAAAAGTATATCGGTTTCGGTTTTGAGACCGGTTCTTGAAAAAACTGAAATTTCAATTTCGGTGTCATTTCGGTGTCAAAAAAAATTATAAAATTTATGTTTTGGTTTTTAAATTAACAAAAATGTATGTTTCGATTTCTTTTCAGTTCTTAAAAAAATTTGTTTCAAGTTTTGGTATAATACATGTCTAATATGCCATATACTCGTAGTACTAAAATTTTAAACCTAGAATTTTTTGTATAATATAAAAACAACTTTGTAACTAGTTATTTTCTAAATAAGAATTTGTTATACCATATGAAAAATAACCTTGTACTTTGTATTTTTCTGTTAATTAAATTAATTATTAAGAAACACATATTGTACACGCGCGGACGCAATCTAATAATATAATGTAATTAATATAAATTGTAACAAATAATAATTGTAAACAATTGTAATAGATTAAAGACGCATAATAGATTAAGGAGTGCACTAAAAGGTCACCTATGAAAATACAAAAAGGCTCCGAATCGGCACCAAATTCAGACGTATCCATTCAATGCGGTAAAATACGATTGAGAACGTTATTTTTGGTAACATGTTTGAGAACGCTCGAGGTTTTTTTTTCCGACATTGCCAAATATAATCGATCGATAATATGAGCACAATAATCTGCTGTTGTTTATCGGATAAATAGTTAATAGTGACTTAGATACTTAGATACCAGATATGAGGAGAGAATGACGGTTTAGGCTTTGCAGTCGTCGCACAAACTATTTGTCTATTCGTATTAGATATTTTTATAAGTTCTAAATATTTTTAATTTTTTATTCATATAATATATTACATATTATTAGGCACTTATTTGTATACGATTATAATTATTAATTTATGACTTTTTTCAAGAATATTTATTGTACGTATACTGAATTTTTCAAAAACCAAATAAATGATATGGCAAACTATGGCAACGTTGCACATAAATTCGTTCTCAATCGTATCATTTTTTTGGTATTTTTAGTGTCAGCGGTAAGTTCTTTGTTAATTTTAAGTGTTCTCAATCGTTCGGCCAAAAAGGTATAACGTTCTAAATCGTTCGATAGCCATTTAATGTGGAGGCTCTGCTTATATCGGTCATCGTCATAATTTTAACTCTGTTGATTTTTCTAAGTGATAAATAAGTTACCAACAATACCGTAAAAAGTATTTTTCACAAGTATATTCATTGAACTTGCTAGTCTTTACATAGCATTTAACATGGTACCGTTGAGTAACCGGTGGCACACTACACTTGTGTAAGAAAAATGTTGCTATGTTTTGATTCTTTAAAAAATATAATAAAATAATGTTAATTGGCATCAATTATAGTGGTCAATACCAATTTTTAACCAGATATCCTAGCTATTAGGATTAGTAGTAAGAAAAGAATTAAATAAGTTAAAAATTTAATCATCGCTGTTACATAACAGACAAGAACCATACAACAAGACCCTGTTTCAAATAACCTTTTTAGTTTTTTATAGTTTTTTATAGTTTTTTATAGTTTATACACTGATTGTAGTGTATAATTTTCGAATTATTTCTTGTAAGGTGTACCAGTATTCAATATTTAAATCTCTGAAATATACACGAATCTTTTTTTTTATAACCACATATTTCATTTGTTTAAGATTAAACTAGCTTTCATGGATATCAGTAGATAGTACATAGGAAAATCTGTTTCATTTTCCAATTTATACTGATCACTTTACCTCATAGATATACAATAATTGTAAATACACGCTTTTTTAGATTATCTAATAATAGTGCACACAGCTGAAAATCTTATAATATTTATTGATGACTTATTATTAAATTCAATGTACTAAAAACATTTTTATAAATGATTTTTAAAATTATTTATAGTATGAATTTATTTTTGATTTGTTATAACTACCCATAATAATGTAAAATAGGATATAAATAGGACACATGTTAACAGTCACACGTAACAACACTAACAATGACAGAAATGTGTTAACCCAAGCGTGCTGTACTTTAAACATCTATAACCATAATCATGATATATCTAGATATTTATAAGCATATATTTAGAATTTCTCGTTATTGTGGTAATTAGAAAACCTATAAGTATATATTACGCAATAAATAAAATAATTTTTACGTAGATAACAGTTTTAGGATTCGATAACGCTGAACGACCATTCTCGACCACCTATACGGTATCGAACATTTTCTATAGTATTTCGATAATATTCGTTTAATATGAGTTACAGAATCACTCTATAGATAATAATTCGATATAAAACAGCCATTTCGTTATTTTAATGAACCGAAATTTGTTGATAAGAGGTCTTAACGAGTTACAGAATCGCACTATTGGTAAGATTACGTTTTTTAAATAAATTTTAATAAGTGTTCCAGGGATGTTCCGGTTTTAAAAATTAATTTAAATAAGGGTTTCGGTGAAATTCCAGTTCCCAATATTTAAAGGATTCCGGTACTTTTCGGTACAGTTCCAGTACCTGCTACAAATATTCAAAGCTTCTTCATACATTTTTCAAAACATGTATAATTAATTAATCCATCACATTCGTTGAGATAATCATTTGAATAGTTTCACATATTTCAAAGCATCATAATTAACGATTTTATAAATACCATATTTTCTTCCATTTCGATAACACCTTGTAAATAATTACTAACATTTTTGATCATAATTAGTGTGTTAGAAAATATTACCAAGTCAAATACAAATATAAAATATATTTGATGTAAAAGACTTTTAACGGTAACCAAACAATTTATTTTATCGTTTATGAAGTAAAATAAATATTGGATTCGACATTTTTAAAAGCTAAAGTTTCAAAAATGTTTGTTGTCCATCTAGTGAGACAGATCTTTTGTTATTTTTATGTTATTTTGTTTACGTCGCGTTAACATAGAACATAGCATTAAATATTATTATGTAACTAATGATAGTAAAAATCATAAAAAAAATTTTAAAATATGAAGGTTTAACTTTTTTTTACTCAATTATTAGAGTCTGGGGTATTTTAGCAATACAATGGGGTGGCCTGTAAATATTTTACCCAAAACTTGACTGGACAATTAAATGAACAATTAGATGAATTTATATCTATCTATATTTATATCATAAATAAATCTACTCAAACAGTGGTTCTTTAAAAAATATAAACCCCAAAATCTCTTGTACACACTCATTTTAACACCACTAATAATGCATGACAAACTTTACGTTTCTATTTCCATCAAATGAAGCTGATATAGATCCAAGGACAGACCCATTATTTATACTATGGTATGGATAGGCAATCTTCTATAATACACAGATACAAAAAATATAAAACAATAATAATATTATTTAAATACCAAAATAATAGTAAGTTAAAAACATTTGGAATAAAATTATAATTTTTCATTAATAATTAAAATAGATTGTCATTTAGGTCGATTAGGTTGAAAATTATATTTTTTATTCAAAACAATATGTATAAGATTTTAAATTTACAGTTAATACAAATGATTCGAAGAGGCAACTCTCTTAACCTAATCAAACCTGACAGTAGAATCTCAGATTATTTTGAATATTAATAATTCTATTTTACTGTTAAAATATTTTATAAATTGTATTTTTATTTAAGTAAATCTCTACACTAGATCTTTTTTAGTAGTCTGGTGAATATTTATTAGATAATTCATGTAATATTAATGTAATGTGTATTTCGATGAATTCGTAGTTTGGAGTGCCATGTTTTGTAAAAACTTTAGTTTCACAATTCTATTTTCAATGGGTAAATATGTTTTGTTATGTACTATTGACTACCAGTGATCTGGTTTAAAGACTGAATAGCTTGTAAGCTTGATGTTTGAAGATTAATTTGGTGTTGAAATAAGTCAAAAAACTGCAAGGCATTAATATATGGATCTTGTAATTCCATGTATGATGACAAGAAAATATAATATATTTAGTGCTAAAGCTATCATCCATTTGGTTTTTACGTGAAATGTTCTTCAATTTCTAATAGTGTTTGATTTTCTGTTTCTGGTAAGTATAAATAAAAATAAATCAAACCAAAAATTCCGACAAGCCCATAAAGAATCATGGTGTACTCCAAAGTTAAAACATTTTCAACAAATAAATACATTGCTGTAATTATGAATATAATTATGTTTGACAATCCTCCACACACGCCAGTAGCAATTCCTCGGCAACTAAAAAAAAAAATAAAACAAAAAAATACAAATTCTTAAAAAGTTGTATAACACCAAACCAATGTTGAATATCGATGGAACAAAACTATCAAGTTATAAGTGCGGTGTTTAATAAAACGAGACTTTTGAAGACAAACGATTTGTATGAATGCAATGAATACACCAATACTAAAAATATAAATAATTGAAATTGCAATGTATAAAACTGAAATATAAGAGTAAGATTGAGATTAAGAACGTAATAATCAATAGCATTTATAATTGGAAATAGAAAAAATTGAATAATTTATAACTTTTAATGTGTTTTTAATCGTAAGGAATTGCATTCTTATAATTGTATTATAATTCAAAACATTTACTTGTTTGGGAAAACTTCGCTGGTCAATAGATAAGGTATGCTTAGAACACCACAAGACCCAGAAAAGTAGATTATACACAAAATTGTTAAAGGAATCCATGGAGTTGAGCTGACGAAATTATTTTTTAGAACTAAAGTGTACACGCCAAACAGTAATAACATGATGCTGTTTATCGACAGTGTCAATAACGTCAAAAATCTCTTTCCCAAACGATTTACCACCACCATCAATACCACACTACCGATGCCTTGCAGTGCAGCGAATATAATCTGAAAACATTCGTTTTAGTTATAATAATTTAACTGATATTTTCAGAACTGACATGGATTTCATACCAAGTACAACCCTTGATTTGTTGGCACACCGACTTCTGTTAAAATTTTACCAATATACGGTCTGCCAGGAATAATGCAAACTATGAATGCGACGAAAAAATAAATCATTAATAGCTTAAACGGTCGATAGATCGACGGGTCCTTGAAATAAGCTAATTTTTTTAACAATCCGCCTTCGCTATCGGCATCAAATTGAGTTTTGGATCGTTCATTGTAGCGAATGAGTTCGAGAAATTCATGTTTTACCGTTTCGGGTTCAACCCATCCTCTTAACCAGCAAATAGCTTTTTCTGCTTCATCGTTTTTCCCTTTCGCCATCAACCAAATCGGAGACTCCGGAATCTATAACAAAAAAAAAAAAAAAAAAAAAAAATAAATAAATAAAAATAATGATTGCTAAAAAAAAATAGTGAATAACAAAAATATGTATTTCTAAAGTCCATTAAATAAGAATACAATATAATAACATAATGGTACGAACGGCAGCGATAAGGCATATGCAAATTATTGGGCAACATGCGTTCACCAGAGCAACAGTCCTCCAGTGCAACATGGATCCCAGAGCAAAAGTCAACAATGATCCGGTCATGACTGCCATGCTTAACAATGAAGCCATAATCCCTCTTAGTCTCGGCTCGGTCATCTCTCCGATATAAGAATATGTCGGACCGAAGTTAAATCCTACATTGAATCCCATTATTATAATAGATACGCATAGAATTGTTGCAGATTGTGCGTAATACAATAGTATCCATCCGATGACACCGGGGATGTTTGTCAGTATCATGCACAGTTTTTTACCAATCCTTTCTTGAAATATTCCCGATACGAAGTTCCCAAACGGTTGACTTATAAATAACGAACTCGCTGACAAAAAAATAATATATCAGTTACAGTGTACATTTTTGTGTTTTGCAAATACCCACAGATAAAAATATGTTTCAGTACCGTTGAAAAAAGTATACTACATTTAATTCACACATTTTTATAACCTCATTATCATCGCTACTCTATCGATTCAAAACATAATATAACTAATATTTTCGGAAATCAATCGTTTACTTTAAGTCAACTTCTAAATTGTAAATCGTTCAACTATATACTTTCTTTTACTTTATTTGTTAAGATTTTCTTACAATCTGTAAATAAAAGCATTTGAAAAATTGAAGTTCATTTGATGTACATAGGGAGAAATTAATACGAATATTATGATTTGAAGAAACACTAGCATTGCTGCATAATTTAATTTTATGTTGTTCACTTTATTAGATTGATTTTTTTTTTCATATACATATATATATATATATTTTAATTAAGAATAAATTGTAATAAAGTTCACGTTAAGACGACGTTGTACGATAAGGGTTGGATAGTTTTTTAATCTTTTGTAACGTGTCTTAGGGAGTTCCGTGACTGTGGGTAGTCGACTGAAAGTCTTCATGTGGCGATTTTTAAGTAATGAACCCTAGGGTTCCAATAAATTAAAGGCTTCGTAATAGATTTAATTCTGAGGATCTTGTTATTGAGACGCATAGATTACAGCAATATAACCTAATAATATTATTAGGTGTGTGATAGACATACAGTTTAAGACACACCCGTTTAAGACGCTCTCCAAAGAACCAGTTAAAAATAACGTCTTAAGCGGGAAATCGTACGCGGGAACAAAATAATGTTGTCAAAATCAAGGGACTCGTAAAATGAGCGTATTAGCCAGAAAATCGTCTTAAGTGAGAGCGTCTTAAACGGGTTCTACTGTAATTCATTTTTTAATTATAAAACTAGTGCTTATGCAAGTTAGAAACTTGGGATGCATAGTGAAACTATATTTGTTTAACATATATATATATTGTATACATTTACTATTGTTATATGGCCATAAAAGGAAAATACCATACTTTAAATTTACATAAATTAATAAATTATTTAAAATTTTTATTAACAACAGTCCATTGAATAAATTAAAATTTATCATTGATAAACATTTGATGGACAGTTTTCCAGAGTTTAGCAGTCTTTTTAGATTATTTCTTACACTTCTTGTTAGTACGGCAAGTGCTGAATGAGTAATGAGTTCTATAAAAAGAATAAAAAAAAATATCGCTATGCCACCTTAAGTGAAAAAACCTTAAATGAATTCCGTATATTTTTATCGAAAGATCGGTGGCAAGTAAAATAAATCTAGATACAACTATTAAAATATTTGCTGTAGCCAGAAGACAATTTACAATTACTTGAATTACCGAATTACATTAGTAAGATCTTATGTGTTTAACAATATATATTTTTTTTTATTTAAATTTAATAATAATTTTCTTAAGGTTTTTTAAAAGTAATATATCAAGTTTGGACGATTTAAATAAATGTATATATATATTTTTTTTTGGTTCTATATCTATCTAGTTTAACAGTATTTTATGAGGAAAGTTACGAGTTAGTATTTACGGCGATTCATAATTCTTGGACCATTTATATCGTATGCCACCTGGGCTTTTTTCTTTAAATCCACCACTGGTAAAAACCATGAATAAGAAAATTATATTTTTAGATGCCTGATAAATTAATAGATTACCGTCACATCGCGTTAAGTATTTATCTTATGCACAAGCTCATACCTACTTCAAAAGTATATTTTTCTGAATGTGATTTTAAATTAGAATTATGTAGTTGGCTTTGATTAACCATACTAAATGCAGAGTTGATAACTGATTATGCAAAGTCGATGATTTTTAAATTAAGTTTTGTTTAATATCAAATTAAACTTGTCAAACTTTATTGCTTGATAGCAATAATATATCATGGAAAAAAATTAATTTCATTTTATCCCTGTTGATTGAAGGCAAATCAATGCATTAAGACACAAAATCATACTAATTAAAGAAATTATTTGACTTACCATACCACGCGGCCTCAGCTTGTGTTATTGAAAAATTTATATTAGAGCTTTGAAATAGATCTTTAATGACAATGGTGGATATTGATAATTTCATACCCACTTCTATTGAAAGAAAACCCAGTGCCAAAGTTGCCAATATCTATACATTGTGTGTGGCATATTTTTTTTAATTAGATATATTTTTATTTTAAACAATTGCGGAAATATGAAATACTTACTTGTGCCAGTGTCGACTTCGGACCGTATTTTTTGCGAGAACTTCCGCTGAGATGTATATCATTATTAGGCATTGTATGATGATATTTATGTATTTATTTGTATGTATTTATATCAAAAGTATAATTCGAGGAATACCGATTTCATAAAAAAAAAATGTCTACTTATTTTCACGTTTTAAAATAAAGTCTACTTTTGCGATCACTAAATAATCCATTATAACCTACCGTGATTTATCACTGATTTTTATGTTGTATATTCTAGAATGATATGTTCGATGTGTTTTCAATTTATAATAATTATAGTCATACATTTGTTATACGTAATTACATGACCGCTGTTCAAGTTGTAAAGCACTGTATACACGTATTATGTAATGTATGTTATAATATATGTACCTATAATATATATATATATATATACTCGTTACTAAATTACCTTTGTAGCGGCTTCTTATTAAAATTAATCATTCAATTTTATTATGATACATTTTTATTAACAGATAAATATAATAGAGATAACCGACGATTGGCTGTATTATTTTAGATAAGTTTTCACTCATTTGCTGACTCTTTTAACATTATTGTTCATGGTATCGGATTAAACAAATTAGTTCTGACTTATTATTAATAGGTAAATCAGAAGATAAATCAACTCATAAATCAGAGTTTAAAAAGCTTCAGAAAAAGTAGAAATAATAATGATACTATTCGTTATTTAAATCGATGTGAATAAATATGGGTAAAAATCCAGTGGTACGGAGCAGTTACACATTATACTATATAACATATAAAGTATAAATTATGAATAATAATAAAAAAAATAAATTATTAATAATAATGATGTTAATAATTATTATTAATATTAATAATAATAATGATGGTATAATGATATACAATATTAACTTAAATGTTAAACCTGTTTATTTAGATTACAATATGAAATTAACATTTTAAATAAGTTCAAGAAAAAAAGTCAATGATGAGGTTATTGCTGCAAAAAACCTATGCTTTCGAAAAGGTAGAGTAAATGAGATAATTTGTGCTGTATGATGGGATTTAAAAAAGAGAAAGTGAACGACTGATGTGAAAAAGGAACATTAGAAGGTATATAATGTCCTACAAAAGAAAAATTAATCTATTAATGAATTTATACATAATATAAATATTTGATAATTCACAACGTAATAATAGTGTTTGCATTTTTAAGTTTGATCTAATTGGATTTTAATTATGGTTTTCTCTAAGTATATTAATTTTATATGAAATCGATTTTAGGAAACAATTCTGGGCACATTCAATACTATCAATATATGATTAAGTACATGAACAGCATATAATTGTAACATACTCCATTATTTACCTAACAAATGCATCGTAAAGTAATATGAATAAACGTTGACTTTTAAATTCAGATCAATGGCATTTTACAAATCCTAATAATTTTAGAGCTTTACGAAGAGGAGCATACGTAAATTGCGCTCAAACGATCATTTTTTTTATAAAATGCGCCAAAAATTTTATCTATGTTAAAAAGTTATAATGTAAACTGCGCCCGATTTATTAACTTATCAAATTTTGACTTATTAAAGTTTCTATGTACACCGTTTTCATTTAGCACTGTCTTGGAATAGAAGTACCCAACAAATTGGTTTAAGTAATGACTATATAAATAAAAAAAATGATATTAAAAGATTTTTTAGTTCAATGTTACGGTTTACCATTTCTAAGTCCAGGAGTGTATCTGAATATTTTGTCAATTATCTAATGAAATTAAAGCCTAACGATGAAAGAGTGACACGATTTGCGGATTTTGAAAATCCTTTACAGACTAATGATAATGAGATTGAAGAAACTATTTAATTTGAACTTATTGATTTAAAAGCAAATAATATACTGAAAGATTTATATAAAGAAATCACAGATAAAACACAAATTTAATATTGTTTTTTAAACCATTCCTGATGATTTTACAAAAATAAAAGAATTATCAACGTATATAATTACATTATTTGGTTTTCGAGTATTCGAAAAATTGAACTCGAAGCGAGTCCAAATAATTGAAATTAACTTGAGTCTACTCGAAATAAAAAAAACGTCCAACTTTTTTTTTTTTTAGTTAAAATTTTTGTTTTTATTTATATCTATAGAAATTTTTAATTTTATATAATAGTCACGGACTGATTAGAATACTTCCGTGGACCCCGGGTTGGAAACAGTATGGCCCAGTATAAATGATAAGTATTTTTATCAATATATCAAATTACGTTAAAATTTAGTATTATATAGGTAGTCGAACACATCATCATTTTAAGTTGGCTTAAATGTCTTAGTGCAATAATACACGGTAAGGACAGAAGTACAATTTGACGTCAGAGTTCAACTATCACACACATATATCGAGTGATATATTTTCTATCTTAGGACGAGCAACTTTAGATCTAAGCAATATCAAATGTTTGTGTATCATATCCGCTTGTCATTCGATCTACCACTGGTTAACTCTAGGATCCAAATAACATGTATGTGATTTTAATAACTTTTTATACTATAAAAATGTATTATTTTATTATTTTACTATATTTTTATAAATTTATTTATGGCTGATTGCATGAAGGGCGATAATTTATCAGTGCTTTAATTAACAAGCTATTGAACAGATTACGTTTCATAAAAATATTGTTAAATAATAAGATTATAACTGCTTACGTGGTTGGGGGTTGCATACAAATATTGTTCTTAACACGTACAACCATAGATAATAAATAATTATATGAAAATATATTAATATCTGTATCATATATATGTACATCAATCGTCTATCATTATTATTATCACGTTGTTGGGTTAGGATTACATAATCGCGATTCGCGGACAGACCGATGACGGACGACGGGCGGCGGATAGTTCAGTGGGCGGCATCGACACCACTGGGGCCGACGGTGTACACCTTGAGAATGGCATTGGTAAAGGCGTACCGGACGGCCGGATCGTGATACTGGACGACGCGTTCCTCCAACACCAACGACTGGACGAACAGGACCGGCGGACCGTCCCTGCGGCTTATGTCGCCGGTGACCAGCGCCACGCATCCGGTGGACGTGAGCTGCACGTTCACCGACCGCACGAGGAACTCGCATTCAGCGAACCGCTGGTACACGATGTTCTCGTGGATCTGACGGTGGCCCACGGCGGGCCTCAGGTCACGCGCCTCCGCGGGCCCTTGGCCGTCCACGTGCGTGTACTGCGCGCCTTCCGTGAAAAAGCGCCACGCCTCGTGCGGGGCCCCGACCAGCGTCAGGTAATATCCGTACACGAAGTGCCGCGCGGCGTGCACGACGTCGTCGTAATGCTGGTGGCCGTGGTACACCGGTGCCGGTCCCGCTACCGCCGTCCGAGGGACGGTCTCTGCGCGTTCGTCGACCGACATGTCGGATATCAAGATCTTCGCTTGGTGCACCACCGCGAGAAAATCGTTTCTCGTTCGTTTGATAATAATAATGTACAATACCGTACGGCCGGGACAGCGATCAATGGCAACAACACAAATGTGTTAATAATAGCGCCCAGATATTGTTATAATAATTTATTGTTTGTTGTTAGGTGTACAGTGCGTTGCGTTGCCCGGGATTATCAACAGTCGCATTTCTAGGAGCTTGCGTAATTGCGTTTTTTCTCCGGTACCAATAAACGCGCGGGGCCGTAGCCAAACAGCCTGTTCAGGCAGGGTTTAACGGATTTCCTTTTTTAAATAAAATTGAATGATTTTAAACGTCTGTTTCATTTGAAATTAGAAAGTTTGCAAGTCGAAAAAAACCTATTCGTAATTGAACATCCTCTCCATCCTGAATGTTTTGCCGGCCATGGTCTTGTACACGTGGACAAGTAATCCGTACTCTATAATCACACGGAATGCGCACTCAAAACGTGTTTTTCGGCGGCTAGGGAAAAATATTTCTAGGTGACAAATCTTACTTACGGCTATCTATCTCGTAACATGGGCGCTTCCATACTAAGAACTGTGGTTTAGCATTTTTTTTTCATTATTTTACGCGGTAACAACAGAATGTACATATAATAAATATTAAGATTTTTGAGAATTTATAATAATATTTCAAATAATTGTTGATTGCTAATAGTTGTATATTCACGCTTAGTACAAGTTATGGATATTCGGTAAGATCCAAAATCGTATATTTATTTCTGTTTTTGATTTATTTTGTGTTTCAACTAATAGTCGCTTTTAAAGTGTTCGTGAATTTCAATTACGGTGCACCGTTGTGTACTCGTCAATTTCATAATAAATTCGTACTGATCGAGTTGATCAAAATAGTATTGATCATTATCATCATAGTGTCCACCGCGGTAGTGAAACACGAATTTAACGATAAACAAGATAAACAAAATCATACACATTTCAAAATCTATAATAAAAAAATGTCGTTTTAAAGGTAGAATAAAAATATAAAAATAAGTATCAATTTTAAAACACAAATTTGCGCCACTGGTATAGGCACAGTTAGCCATAACCTTGTTACGCCACTGGCTGTAACTCAAAAACTATTCAACGTACGCACATGAAATTTGGAAATAGTAGTTCCTCTAAAGTTGGTTACACACTATGCGTTTTCGACGCAGCGTTATACATAGTTCGTTTTAGACGCAGCGTTCGAATACCAAAAATCAAACACGCATCAATATATAGTTATGTTCACACCAGGGAAAAAAACCATGCGTCCGAACGCTAGGAAACACGCAGGTTTAATTTTGAATGTTTTGGACACGGCAACATCTAAAATTAAACATTGTATTTTCCATGTTGTATTTATAATGGACGTTTGCGACGTAGCGTTTTGCAGCGTTTCGGTTTATAATCCGTTATAATCAGTTTATTTGGTTACCAGAAAAAGTAACTTTATATTGACTTTCCTGAGGAGGCCTTTTAAGATTTGGTGGGTGCATCCACCATCAACGATTAGTTACTATTTTTTTTCTTTCCTTGCGTTGTTACAGTCTTTTATACAATGCATAAATTAAGCAACCGGCTTCCATATCATCTAATGTATTTATATATAATCCGTTTAACGCCATTTTAAAACAAATTAAATAACATGAGTAACAAAAACGTTGTACGATGTATACATAAGTACGTTTAAATACCAAATGACAGTATTTTTGACAATGAAGTTAGGTTACAACATTTCCCGTGTGTACGCTCCTGATAATATTTGTTTTAAAAACAAGTTGTTGAAACGCCTACGCTAGCGTCTAAAACGCGTAGTGTATAACCAACTTAATACTTTCACTGTGTAATAAGAAAGGATTTTTCGAAAATCCCAAATTTAAGGGTCGAAACAGTTTTGGATTGGATGTATAAATTTTTTATTTTTTTGGTTACCTAGGAAATATTTGACTTGTTTAATATGTTGATTTTAATAATCACTGATTAAGAATTATGTAAATTATTAAACTGTATAAATCAATAATTTTCGATTTATAACATTTATGCTTTTTTCAACCTAACATTTTTGGGTAAGGGATTTGTGCCAATTTTCTAATCTAAAATAATAAATTATCCCCCGGGGGAGAACGGGTAATTCAACTATATAAAAAATAATGTTTGTTTATGTGTCCTTTGTACCTTCTTAAACTACTCGACATGTTCGACGGTTTGTGTTCAATGGACTCCGAAACCACAGAACCAATTTCGATGATTTGGCATAGAGATAGATTAGACATTGGAAAAGGACATAGCATACCTTTTGTTACAAAAAAAGTAAAGGGAAGCATCAATGGACCTGATAAGGTCCGAAGTGCAGTTTTTGTTTGGTTGTTGCTACAACAATTGAAAGCATCTTCTCCTCCAAAAACGACTTTCTCCTCTTCTTTTTAATCTTTATACAAGATGTTAATTTACAAGAACTTTACTGTATGTTGAAGTGTAGATGTATTACACATGGAACACAATCCAACTGAATTTTTAAATTCACTTGATTCACCAGAAATTCCGCCGTACGTTCTAACATTGAAAATTGACGTTCACATCATTATTTTATGGAACATCAATCTACCACCCCTCTGCAATGATGCTAGGCTTTCAGTGAAAAATTTGATGAACCTCATAATCAAAGCCATCATTTTAAACGGAAGATTTAAAGACGAAAATGTACAATTACCACGCATCCCAATGACTCCAACAGATAAGCCATTGGAATTCAAACTTTTGCAGTTTCCAGTACAACTCGCTTTTGCAATGATCGTTAACAAAGCACAAGTACAATCAAAACAAATGTGTGGACTGAATTTTGAGAATTCATGCTTCTCACATGGACGTGGCCTGCTCACGCGTCAGAAAACCTTCTGATTAATTTATGTACGCACCACAGAACGAAAAAAAAATATTGTGTAATCCAAATACATTTCAATAAATAGCAAATATTTGAAACCTCGAATTATCAGACTTTTCTCGATAAAATGAATAAATAAAAAAAATTTTTTTATTTATTTAGAAAAAATACAATCTGAACATTATATGTACAATAAGAATTTTTGTTGACATTTTTTTTTTTCAATATAGCTTGATTTAATCTGTGAAGAGGCTCTTATAATGTTCAACTTAAAAAATAAGTTGAACATTATTTTTAGGATAGATTAAATATCATTAAATAATGATACAGCAAAGCGCGATAGACATGGCTGTATTTAATATTTCCCTATTACAATACATAACAAATTATTATTTCAACCGTTATTTCGGGTGATTTATACTTAAAAAGGCATAGGTTCAACGGTAACACTCAAAAGGAGTTGAACACTCACAATTTTTTCAACGGACAACGTCAGGAATTACTCATTCTTTGATCATTGCTACTTCTCAAAATTATATGAATTTGAAATTTGACATGGTGGTCTCTCCAATATTCAATACATGCAATAAAAAGGGATTTTAAAATATATTGGAACCGACAAATATGGTAATTCAGAGGTAATTCAGCGTACCACCAATACTACTATACCGATTCATTTGAACTTACGTTTTATTTGTTTTATAACCAACAGTTACACCAAGTTTGGCTTTAAATAGTCTAAGACAGAGGTTCCCAAACTTCTTATAGTACGACACATTTTGGAAATTATTTCAATTTTGACGACCCAAAATAATATCATTGACCTTTTTTTTTTTTTGCTGTTTTCATTATTTTAAATCGAAGAAAAGTATTTTATTTATAAAAAAAAAGTTTATAATATATAATTTAATCAGTAAGTATATAATTTTAATGTAAAGGATGTAATTGTTTCCTATTTTTTATAACTGGATTGATATCCACTTTTTTATTTCGATTGCAAAGAACTTGTTGTAAGCTCATCATCAATTCATTTTCTTTTTTTAACCGCTGACTCAGATATTATCTCTGTTTCTTCAGTTTTCGCAGAACTTTGAGTCATTGACTTTTTATTTAACCATTTGTCCATAGTAACTGTACAAAAGCAGAAAAAAAACGAATTTATTGGTTATTTGAAAAATAGTAAGATTTAAACTGCGTTCATGTATCGTATTCAGTGTACCGTTTGTTACTGAAAATAATCAATTTATTTGAACGTAATGCAGGTACTTATTTGTTTTAAATATATTGCTATATTTTCAATAATCATTAATCCGATTGCGTTGTATTGAAACAGTCGAGCATAGACATATAAAAAAATATTATTATGTCTATTAGTCGCAGTAAATTTTTAATTGTCACAGACGCCAATAACAGTTATAATAAAACTAACTAAATAATTTAACATCAACCATAAATAATAGAAATACATGAAAAATATAATGTGACCCACTAAATATATAATCGCAACCGACAGTTTGGGAACCTCTGGTCTAAGGTAATAATTTATTAAAACCTATGTCATGGCCAAGAATGTTCCGTGCGAAGCCGGGTAATTAAGCTAGTAGTATATACTGAACATCATTGTATTTCTGACTTTATGTTTATATATTATCCCTTTCATGCCTTATCCCATGAATAATATTCGTGGTTTCGAATGGGCCGAACTCGATTGAAAGTGATTCATCATAATGTCTCACATTATAAAATTATCAAAATTATAATAATATGACTCCATGGAAACGAACATTCTTGTCTTCTGTATTAAAATATTTTATTTATTTCATCTAAATAGTGGTTTATATACTTATATACTTCATTCGGTATAAACGTTCACTTATTCAATTTTTTTTTTTTTTTTTATTAAAAAACATTTACAATCTGTACAATAAATATCATACGAGTATAATATATAAATATATATAAATGATATATAAATATATAATATTGAAATTAAGGATTAATAATACATATTTTATTTAATATTTATGCTTTAGAGTTTAAATGTGTTATACTAGTAATTTAAGCGTACACATATGTTTTATGCGAAACAAAACCATTCAGTAAAAATGCATAATAATAGTTCCATTTTTTATTTTAAGAAAAATACTATGATTGTGATGGAACGTTATTATTTTTTCGTGAAAACAAATGGACAAATTTTAACATAAATAATAAAATTATAACACATTCTTTTAGTAGTACTCCGAAGAGTGTACAGATATAGTGTACTACATACAATTACAAACAAATTAATTAAATATTCAGCCAACAACTCATTGAATATGAGAACACGAGTATGTAATGATATTTTTGGTCCCGCCTCGTCGTCGGATTGATTCAAAATCTGTAGGCGAGAAAAAAACTGCAACCAAAACGGTTTGCAGCCTATAATAACGTGATCGATTAGCGATGACAGGCCAACTTGAGCCGTACGAGACCATTGCACACGCAGCAGTCCATTTACGTACCACCGGACTCAGCAAACCAATATCTAAATGATGGGTTTCAATTTATTCGGTTCGGACATGGACACCTTCAAGTGACCCTTGTCGTTAGCCTGAAACGTGTACAACAGCATCGAACTCTTGTTGTTGCACCCAACCCTGTACGCGCAAATACAAGTTGTCTTCAGGTCGGTCTGTTCAATCTTGTCGCCGTCATTGGAATAGTCGCAGTACCCTTGCAACAAGCTCACGTCCACGGACCCGTTGGTGATCACCTTCTTCTGGTACTGTTCGCACGCTTCCGAACACATCTTCCGGCCTCTTTCCGAGAACTGTATGCTCGACGCAATGTCCGCTTGCAACGTGATCAGTATCTCGCAAACGTTTATCGACTTACTCGTCGGAAACAATGGACCTGCAGTGATCATGTGGACAAAATCATATATATATTAGTAACCGATAAATAAGGGCTACGATAAAATACGATAATTCTGCAGAATAGGAAACGAGTAATTTCAATCGTGGGTGACGTGTGCGAGCCTCGAGCAATGACGGCAATATACCCAAGACAGAAATCACGTACTGTTTTTTGTCGCGCATCTTATATTTTTTACTGCTTTTGCGTAGCATTACAAATGTCACGATACCACATTTTAATCGTGAGAAACAAACAACTACATAATGATACGGGCCTACCATACCTAGCTGCATGGATAACGTAATTTTAAAAATGTCCACGAAAAACTTCAAAAATCTGATGGAGCATTCCATTATAAAATTGGCAGAAGATCCATCAACCTAAGGTTAAAAACACGGCTACCACAAGATATTTTACTTGAACCCAAAGAAGAAACCTCAGATTCAGACATGAATCTAGACTTATAAGCTCACCAAAAATGTATAAATATAATTGTATACTAATTGTAAATTGATAACTTAAATGATATTGTAAAACTACTTTGCATATTGATACAATTAAATGAATAAAAAAAAAACCTTTTATTTATTTTAACAAAAATAAATTGCTGGACTATGTACGTTACCCAACACATCCACAGGATCACGGAACAACCCGATTCCGCTGGAAAGATATTGCGTCGTGATCTCCGGATCATCATTTCTGCTTTCGGCGGGTTTGTCAGTACTGTGCCCATCGTTGCATCGTTGTACATTATACGAGTAGGTTGTTGGCAATCGAACCGTCGGTTCGACGATAACTACCATAGAAATAATTGTACCTCGGATCCACCAATCTTGTAAAATTATTATTATCATTAATACTTACGTAATGGTCGGCACCAGGCGACCGAACACAGTTGAAACATCAGAACCGTCACGACAATGAGAAAAACTTGAAACATCTTATAGATCGTGATGATTGCGAATAGTTTTTCCGACAGTCAAATGTAAGATTTAGATATAATAGATTTTTTTAATGGTCGACTTTTATGCTGTTTATTTAATTTGTACTGTAATATTTTTTCTATTATTTAGCTTGTATTCTGGCCAGTATATTTTATCAAGCAGCATTAATTTGTTGAATTATTCCTAACTTGGCACCTTATGATATCACGAATTGGGAACCGAAAGGAAAGACTTAAAATTATCAAATGAGGAACACGATGATGTTTATTATTCATATAATGGTGATTACAAGTAAACATCGATATTTTTAACCACAGCGTTGACCATTGGTTGTAACCACTACGTTTAGTATGCACGACCTAACGCTTTGTAATAATATAATGACTCGTATATTATTCAAATAAATACACGCAGTGACGATATGGTTTTTCGGATCCATTTATATGGCCTTTTCCGAATAATGAGTTGTTTATTTTTGACTGCGATTACGTTAAACGTATTTTTTCTACACGGTCTTCACAAAAACTACAGATTCCTTGTTTCTGACGGGAAAGTCGCTAAACACTTGTCGAAATATAACGATTGAACAGATCGACGACCTAACGACAACTTGCATTTGCGCGTACGGAATTAGGTGCAACAACAAGACTTTGATGGTGTTGTACACGTTTCAGGCTAACCATAACGGTCACCTGAATACGTCCATGTCCGAGCCGAATAAATCGCAACCCATTACTTCAATAACCACATTGGGTTGCTGTCGATTAGCACGCGAAGGGGATTACTGTACTCGGCTTAACTTGCCACCGTTGACGATCGACAATAACATTTTTTTTTAAAGAATTTTGTATTTCCTCTTTTAGGTCTGATGCACGCATATGCTTATTATGCCAATAAATTGTACAGATTGCATATTATCTTGATATAAAAAAAAAAAAAAAAAAAAGATCTGATGCAATATTTCGCCATCACTCGTCGGTTCTGTATTCGCGTTGTACAAATAGATGCATAAAGAAAAAATTATTATTTTCGCGTGCCCCGTGTATAAAAAGTATATCTTTAAAAAAAAAAAAAAGGCGATATTGAGTACACCCGTTCACCGATAATCGCCTCGCACGCGGGTTACATCTTTTACACGGTTTTGAAAAATCTTCGAGAAAATAATGAAAAATTCGTTATTCACTTTCAAATGAACGTGAAATGGTTTGACGAGTTGGCTGTAAAAATGTCAACAAAAATCAAGTCTCAAGATACACGTACGATCAATATAGCTCGATGACAAAACTTTCAACAAGATTTCGCCCATTACTTTTTAATTTTTTCAGACAATTAGCGGCGACATGACTGCACAAGTTGGTCACATATCGTTGCTCACGTCTTGCATTGCCGTACGTCCATCTTGAATTGTCTGCTGCACACAATAACGTTGCCGCAGCGTCATCGGACACGAGAATCCGGTTCGTAGTACATCGTAGTTGTCGACCGATTGATGCACACGTCCGATTTTTTGTCGCAAAACGTCAGAAATTGTCGACGTTGACATCGGACTATTCAACGGTGAGTTGAAAAATGATCAAGAAACACGGAACATCGCTGATGAGAACCACCACGATCGGACACCAGTCCCTGAATTAATATCCTCCGTGTGGTTTTCCCGTATTTTGACGGAAAAAACAACGAGTAGATGAATTATCTATGTCATATATTTTTTATACATCATGTATGCGAAAATTGCGTTTTTTTTTATGTTTATAATAAACCTCCACCGTTGTTGATCAAATGTCAACCGAAATGAAATTTCATCGAAATTACGTTTCATCACGACTACGCTGACCACTGACCATCTGAGGTACGGTTATCGCAACAAAAACGCGTGCGTGCGCATTCAACCCGTGGCCCGATGGACGAGTGTGGGATTTTTAAACGCGCGGTACCGCGTTCGCATTCCAAGTCACTCGCAGCTGAATTGATTATCGCAGGTCCCCGAGTCCGCTTTTGCACGAGCCGCATAAAGTTTTTACACCGGTACGTTTGATCCCGCGTAATACAACGACTTACAGCTGTTACTCGAATACTCGACGAACATTCGCCGGTATCGTTGAACCGGGCACATACCGGAGAATTTAAGCGTAACGTAACTGTAACGCTCAAGTGTGTACGGTGTATCAGTGGTGGGTTTTGTCACTCACCAAGGGATGAGCTAATGGAGGTCCAAGAATTCAGTAAGTTGTTCTTTAAATCTATATAAAATTTTAAATTACAGAACATGTTTTTGAGTCCCTCGTAAGTAAGTAATTTTTTTCACAATAGTAATACTTTTTAAATAGTTACATTATTGGTATCAATTTTAATCTGAAACCATTTTTAAAATATAGGTATACGCATATAATTAACAACAAAAATGAGCTATTTATTTATAAAAAAAATATATTATATAGGTGCCACATTCATCAATGACAATTTTTTTTAACACAAATGTAAATTTATGTCAGACATTGCATACGATGTTACACGATAATAAACTGTGAATAACTAATAGATAGACCGGCGTACAACCGACACAGAATAGCTCAAAACCCTAAACGTCTAACCCTAAACAAACTAGTCGTTTGTAACAAGTAACACTCGAGCGAACACGTACTTTGTTATATTACATTTCAATGCTCCAGTGTGCACCCGGCTTTATCTCGGCAAAAAACAGACGTGTACATCGAGTCTAGATTTCGTATTCTTTTATAAACGGAATTTATAAACTTTTTACCGCTCAAACTGTACATATATATGAATTATACGAACTGTTAACATATGTGTTTTTTATGTTGGTATTAAATTAAAACTATTAGTAAAATCTTTGTTTATTAAAATATCAACTGACCGTTCTTCCTTCGTACGCACATATTTAGTAGTGTACTCGAATAAAACCCGTAAGCGTCTCCTAGGGTTAATACGCAGTCAATATATAAAGAAACAAACAAATAGTTAATAATAGAAACAAATAAATTCCACCAAGCCAATATTTGTACATTTTAGAGATCGGTTTTTGAAACATCATCATCTGAATCTGAATTAATATAACATTTTGAAAGCTCTCTAATATTTCTTTCGTTATTAACACTATTATGAATCAACTCTCCCTCCTCACGATGGCCACGTAAATGAAAATTTTGACGACTATCGAGACAAGTTTTTTCGTTTTTCTTACATTTTCTTTTGAACATGATTAAATCCAAGCTAAGCAAATGTACAAATAGTTCCTATGAAATAAGTGTTTTTAATATTATTGTCGTTTTAATCTACAAGAATACGCAATCGCTTAGTAATAATATCAAAAATACGTAGGTAAGGTTTAATTTGTACATCGCGTAGTGCTTTCAAGTGTACACAAATAATGAAAACGATTAACAAGACGAAAGAGAAAACATTTAAATCGCTGTGGTGATTATAGCCAACGAAAATTTTTCACCGATTCATAAGGTTTTTTATTACGAATGGCGTACTTCAGATAATGTTGCCTGAGGATCTAAACACATTAATTTACTACCCACATTTATGTTTTCGGGCAACTCCGTACACATTTAATAATCATCTTTATAAAGAAAAACTGAAGACAAATTAATATTTTAAGTTGTAATACAATCCTACAATGTAATTCGTTTTATAATGACATCATATCAGAAAAGAAAAACATAACATATATATATACGTTTATATATAATAATATACATTGTATATATGTATATCATTTTAACATGAATTACTTTTCATTTTAAATTGAACTTGAATAACACGAAACTGAAAAAGAAACATCCATGGTGAAATCTCAGAGAATAAATATAAATATGAAAGTGAAATAAAAAATAAAAAAAGTAATTTATACATATTATGTTATTATAAGCACACAAAAGATTTCTTAAACATCGACATTCATTTTCTAATGATACAATACGAAAAACTAAATCGTTAAAATAATTTTTATTATTTAAATTTACGGGTTGTATAATAATGATGGGAAATTGTTCGCATGTCTACCATAAAACAACATGTTGTGATATTCAAATTTGAAGACTACTGACCATTTACGATCGAGGAAATATGAGAAGTACTTATAATTTCCTACCTTACGAAACTAAAAAATAAATCATATTATTATTACACAATTCGTAACGTAATTACATCTCGCACATTTTCATCGCGGATTATTCATAACGTTTTTAAATTTTGACTATGTATTAAACTTTCATCTGACAAACATGTTTATTACACAATTTATTTTATTAAAATTCCTTTAAGTTTGTGGTTTGCCCAAAAAGTTATTTTCGCTTTTCTCTCTAAACATCCACAGTTCTTCATTATATACTAGGTTGATTTGGTCACAATATCAATTGTATTGGTATGCAATTTAAAGCAAGACATTCGATAGAAAAAATACTGTTTTTATTAAAAATAATATTACGTTTAGACAGAAAATTGTATTGATTAATTAATTGACAATATGTTGATTCGAAGTGGATGATATACAATAGTAATCGGCATATACTGAGCATTATATTAGGAAACAAATGTAATGTCTTATCTTATAAAAAGTACAAAAATAAAAATTAAACACAACGTGGACGAATAAAATACAATATAAAAATAGACAGTACGTTCGAGAGTATATAATATAATTATTGTGTACGTCTGTGTATCAGTGCTATTTTTTATTCGCGTCGGCATATATAAATATATCGTTGTATCATATTATTTATTAAATCAATGAATTATAAAATAAGTTCTTAACATTATAAAATTTTTTTTTTTGTTTTTTTCGTTTGCTCTCTTACGAACTAGATGGAATTATAATATAATGTCTTTGGATTGACATAAAATAGTGAAAATAAAAATAAATATATTGTAATATTATCGTCTCGATTACAAAAAAAAAAAAAAAAGGAAAAAAAAGTATCATTTCTTATGGAATAGTAATAAATATAATAATAAAATTAAGTTCGACGCCGGGTTTTTGACCCAGTATTCTCGGTGTAACTCGGCGGCGAACATGGAGATGCTGAGGAAGTCGAATTGTATGTCAATCGGTCCGTGACTCAATTGCCGGCTTTTTTCGCGATTTCACGCACCACTTCTCTGTAAATAATCGGATCCAGGTTCTTGCCCAGCATGTACAGTACCCACCAGTCACCGACCGACACTTTGTTCGTCACCGCTTTGGCTACGTCGTCGGTTATCAACCTGTAGTGGCGGTACCGCAACGCGTTTTTCCTCGCCTTCAAGTTGTACATGATCAAAATCCTAAAAATCCAATACGTGATTGATTAATAACAACGATCACCGGCCGTCAAAGGGATAGGATTGAAGAGTTATGAAAAACATTAAACAATATGATATAAGATAATGTTTAATCAGCTATTGTATACAGCTCACACATGATACGTAAAAAAAAATTATGTGTTTAAACAAAAATACGATTATTTGGTAGACGTATATCTTATCATAACTAAAGTGAAATTGAAATTATGTTAACGTTGATATCATCCACCGTGTGTTAGGTGTAATTTAGCTTATATTTTTTTTTTTTTATTAACTTATTTAATTTGCTCGCATAACCTATTTTTATACTAGGTTATAACATACATTACATGAACATTATTATTCTGTGAGTCGCAAAACAGTCACTCAACGACATGATCTATTTCGCTACGTCCATGCAGTAAACATGAAATGTACCGTAGTAGCGCGACAATGTGACAATAATGACTATGGACAATTATTTTTACCGTATTTCGTCAACTCCGTACGGTTTCAGTACGACTGTTCAATAATTATTCAAGTACATTTAATCGCAATAGACGTGTGAATATGTTTTAATTTTCGTAAAAACAAAATCTACGGGAAGTGCTCATTATACCGTATATTGTATTCAGAATAAATTCAGGAGACACGTACATTATAAAAGCGGTGGAAACAACACCAGTGTAAATCTTGATTTTTTTTTTCATTGAATATTTAAATAAAATGTTTAAATAATAAGTACAAGTGATAGATGAAAATATATCGGGCCGATTATAGTTGTGGTTTTCAAGATTATAGTTATTCTAGAGAATTTCCATTGAAGGCACTTATTCAACAAAGGATATGGAAATCGATTAGTTGTAATAGTTTTTCAAAGAGTGCATATAACGAAAAGTAATTACAAATTAACTAGAGCGCGAATTTATATGCATTTGCCTACTTATTTTGGTTGGTCGTATGATATGTTAAGTTAGCACAACATTTGTTTTATGGCAAAATAATTTAAACTATCAATTTTTTGAAAGCATATTTTTGCATATTTTGATATTTCCCCATTTATTTTTAATTTAAGGGCTTATTTTACGTTTTTAATTGCACATTTTATCTTTTAGTGCATATTTCGATGTTTTTTTTTTTTGTTTTATTTATTTTGTTGATATTTTTGAAATATTTACTAGGTATTGCAATATAAAAGGTAAATCTGATTATAAAAAATATAGAAAAATAATATCAAAAAGTGAAGACTATGATATACTAAAATATTAAAAATTTTAAATAGTGAAAGTGAATCAAATCAAACCGGCGAAGATTAATCTCTAAATTAAATGATCCTAAGGACTGTCCCGAAGTTTCCTTTAATAATTCAATAATCCTCCTCTCAAGGGAAGCTAAATACCTGGGCCTACTACTCGACAGAAGACTTATCTGGGGTCCCCATCTCAAAAGTAAAAGGAAACAACTTAACTCTCGCCTACACATTATCAGACTCCTTCTCAAATCTAATATGAACTTGTCATACCGTTTGCTTTTATACAAAAGTCTTCTCCAACCAATATGGTCATACGGAATTGCCCTTTAGGGTACTGATAAACTCTCAAATCTCAGAACAATTCAAGCATTCCAATCAGTTTGCCTCCGCATACTCACCAAAGCCCTTGGTTTGTCACAAATTCCACTCTACATGAAGACCTCAAAGTTTCATCCATTAACAGAGAGCAGCCATTTACTACCAAAGACTCCACTCCAAAATGCAAGGCCACCCAAACCATAGCTCAACTATAGTCAAAGTCTCTTCCAGACAACCCTGCACGGCGCCTATACCGAAGTTGGTCCAGAGATCTTCTCAAGAGTTAAACATTAATTTAAGACTCACGTAAAGGTAACTCTACTGTGAGCCTCCCTTTTTACTGTCCCATTCCTGTTATTCCTCCCTCTAATTTACTCATTGTATAAATAGTATAGATTTAAATATTCAATAAACGTTATTTAAAAAAAAAAAAAAAAAAATTAAATGATATATTTTTTAAATACACACCTATTACTTTTGTAGGTGTGGAAAGATAATTTTCAAGATATAAAAATTTGTTTACTAACAACCGCCAATCAATGGTTTTTGAAAACATAGCTAAAATAATTGTCATACAATGCAATTGTATGACATGTAATACATATGTAATATGTATTTAGGAAAGAACATTTAATTTAAAATTTTTTTTTGACATTAATTGATTTCTTTTTTTTATGTACAAAACTACCTACAAAATGATATTGATTAGTAAATTCCTTTAAAATGAAGAAGAAAAAAATATTTACAGTAGTGTTCCATAATTTTAAATGTAAATTGTTTTATGTAATATTTTAATTAAATATTAAAAAATAATTCTTTTTCTTTTTTCTAAATATCAAGGTTAATCCAATATTAGTTCCTGGAACACATAATGAAAATCGAACAAAAATATGAAGGACTTCAACTAGTAATTTGAGAAAAAAATTAAAGGGAAATAGAAATATTGGGAATAAATGGGTTTCATAGCTGAAAAACTTCCGTTATTGGTTTTGCGTAACATCAAGCGAATTATTTCGAACATCGTTAGACAAATAAACAATACTTATTACGATTTCCAACATCCGAAACAGATAGAAACTCCAAGAAGAATGATAAAAGGTAGTTGTGTATATGATATATAAGTTACAGTACTATTTCAAATGCATCGCAAGAGTATTAGGAGCTGGTAGCTCAATTAGGATTGCGTAACAATTTTCCAGATGGAAACGAAATATTTTATAAAAGAGATATTGGTCACTGTTCACAGAACGAGAGGAATGCAGAGATCATTAGGAATCGTGCTTTCGGAGAAGTGGAATGGAGTTTAAATCGATTTCCATGAAAAAAAAAACAATCCCAAAATAACTGTTCAATCGCAAAGGCCAAATAACGTAATCGTTTGCAATTATCAGCTTTCGGGGAGGACGGACAGATGTTGTACAACATTTTAACCACGTGGCAGCTACATTATAATGTGTAGAAAAGTTCGGCCATGTTAAGGGCGAATCGCACGACGACGGTTATGTGACATACACATGATGAAACATTCAACGTACCTGTGGCCGACCATCAGGACCAGCGCGAGCAACAGCATCACGTACCAGAACCATATGAATATGTACGTCTTCTCATTGACGATGTTCAGCGGCAATAGGCACAGCGAATCGTGTTTCTCCACGGTGCCCGAAGGACCGAACTTGTGGAACGTGCACTTGGTCACCCTGGGGAATATGTACACCATAGGGTCGACGCGGTCGTCCTGGTGCTCGGACGACATACCGATCACCCGGAGACCGTACGTGATGAACTCTCCGTCGAAGAATCGGTTCATAAAGTATATCTGCACCACTATGTTGGCCAGGCACATGAACTCGCACGTCCAATACTTGGCCGCGTACCACGTGTGTTTCTGCGAAATAATATTAGTTGTATATACATTTTTTTTTTTAATTTTTTGGTCTCTATCCTAATACGGTATGCGCAGGATGTTCGTTTGTCTGAACAACGTTTTATCCTTAATGATATAGACGATCCAGTGCAATATCGATTGTATTACATATACTTAACACGCGTACACTTCAACGCTGCTAAAAATACATTACATGGTTAACATATTATTATGGTGATCGGATAACGTGCGTACGGTTGTGCGTACTACTATTCGTAGTAACCAAATTTATTTAAATATAATATCTATAATAATCCTCATAGCTATATAATATAGGTATAGCTGTAGGGATCATTCAACGTCAATAACACTTCGGAGGCAATTTCGTAAGCGGTCACCGCAAAATTATTACGAATGTAACGCAAATTGGAATATTATATCATACGGTACGCGTACAGGAAATTGACGTGTAGCAATGAATGTGTTCATGTGAAATGAAATAAAAATCAATATACGTATCGCGAAACATTGTACACGTAATATTATATTTCGATATTACTACCGATATATGTGTATTTTTTCCTTAATACGTTTTATAATTTTTAATCTTATTATACTTATTAATTTTATCACACCTAAGATAGTACCAGCTCAAGAACATTACCTTTCAGAAAAGATGCTACACTTGATACTTTTGAGCAAGTTTAGAGGGAGAAAAAGTGTTTACAGAATAAAAAAGAAAAAGAAATAAATATCATTGTAAAACCATTACATTCCTCGCTCTGCTCAGAATCTAAAATAAATAAGAATTCCAATTCGCTCTTCTCAAAAATGTATATTCACATCGATCAACTGGTATATAGTTTGATATATTTCACATTACAATCTAAAGGATAAAAAGATATATTATCTAGAAACTGTTATACAGCTCAATATGTACATAATATATAAATCGAGACCGCAGTGATGGACAGGGTACGCATTCTTATTTTGTTCTGACGCACCTATACTTATATTCACTATACCTTATTTCCTTGGACGTGGTCTACTATATAAATGCATTTACATGGTACTCAATAATGTATATTAATAATAAATTATTCGGCGACAACTGCGGACTGCTTTAGTTTCGTTCGCATTTAAGTTAGAATATAATATAAATAGATATTATATATAGAAATATAGAAATAGAAATTTAAATTAGAATAGAGAGTTAAAATATCACCGTATGCAGTATATATATATTAATCGATCAATTGATATACTTATGTTATTAAGTTTCTATGCGATTATATTATAACGTAAGAACATAATATTAATGCGTAATATTTATTGTAAACGGGCTAATAATACCCTTTGATAAGTTTAGTAAAGTAAAATCTTAACAAAATATCAGAATTATAATTAAAAAGTTGGAAAAAATAAAAAACAATGTTAAGAAAGAAAACAAAGTGATGGTAGTTTGTGACATTGACAGTAATACCATTTCAGAATCGTTTGACAAGACATTTGTATTACTGCAACTATTGACTTACGAGTGCGTGGAAAATGTTGTTAGCGTTCTATTGAACATTTACTCTACATTCGGTACACCTCAACACTCCATGAAGCCATTATAACAATACAGTGTTTTTTTCTGCAGTAGGTATAAGGTTTTTTTTTTTAGATTTTAGTTTACATTGCTCTGCTGCACGCATCCGTTCATCGAACATACTCTGAGCAATGCGTTTCGTTTTCATTGAAACCACTAAAATCGGTCACTAAAATGTCCGAGCACTGCACACAATGCCGACTACCCCACTTTGTCCGTAACATGTACAGTAAACGGTTCTCATAGTTCGGAGGACTTAACATTGTACTCGATTTCGTTGTATTATTAACAAGGAGAGACGAGTCCGATACGTTTTCATAAAAATACCGTCGCAGATGAACGCGGCGATAGGTACTTGTCTGACGAGTCCGTTTTGTTTCCCATAGACGAGCACGATTCCCCGTCTATTTTATAACGTAAGAACGAGCTTTATTTATGTGAATTATAAAATGTCTAGATTGTAATATAAGCCTCTAAATTCTTTCCATTTTTTTTTCTCTCATACAAGTGTTTATTTATATTAAAAACCATGAACGGTTTATAAGGAATCTTCGATTGGCTTACAGATCATAACTTAACATATGGTGATAAAAAAACTGTTTTATTACGATGAAAATAAATTTTACTTACAATTGTTACAGAATAACTTTTGATAAGTTAAGAAAAAAATAAAATGATTATTTTCATTATTTTATCAATATGGATAAATTAATGACATAATATAAATATTATTGACAAAATGTGATTGCCTTTACGTCATTATTTCTATTCGTAAGATTAATATTAAAAATTCATTGATAATAAAATAATGATTTAAATTGATTTATGAATAATGATCATTAAACAGGCTTTTAAGTTGGATGGTAAAATATTAAAGGCCAAATATCATTTAGAAGAAGAAGAAGAAGATTATTAAACACGTCCTTCGTTTATAGTTGTATAATCATATCTATATATAAAAATGGAGCCGAAAATGTATAACATTTCATGAATTGAGAATAGCTGGGCCGATTTGGCTCAAATTTTTTTTTAATTGTTCGTAATTCTCAGGGGAAGGTTTTTAAGGAAAAAATTTTTGATATTAAATGACGGGAATTGCATAAATATTAAACAACAATATCTCGAAACAAGTGCCAAAACAAACAAGAATGTTAGTTCGAAGGATTAATATGCATATCGGTTGATGATTAAACGAGATCAAGACAAAATTATTCTACGATATCATGAGCTTCGTCAACAATTCATGGTCGAAATGTATGTAAAGACAGAGAGCGAACGATTTTGATACTTGCGATTTAATCAAAAAAAGCTGCGTGCTGAAGATTCTCAAAACAATTATAGATATCGGTGATGGGAAAGTTACTACAGATGAAACGGATACATACAATTATCGACCAATTTCTGCACAATCATTGATACGCAAAATGCTCCTATTGACCAGATATTTCCCAATGTACACAGACAATACACAAATCATGAGTAGTTGGCAAAAAGAGGTTAGGTAGAGGTCTATATTTATAAAAATGGAGCCAAAAATGTATAACATTTCATCAATTGAGAACGGCTGGGCCGATTTGGCTCAAATTTTTTTTTTGATGTACACAATTTACAGAGACAATACAAAAATCATGAGTGGCTGGCAGAAAGAACAAATTTAGCAGCGAAAAATTGTGGACGTCAACGAATTGAATCTTAAAATACAACATTTGTTACCAAGAGACTTGGTGTCATACAAATCTATTGATACGATTTGCGATGCTACTGAAGCTGTAAATTATCCAACAGAGTTTTTAAACTCATTGGATTTACCAGGCAAGCCATTGCATAATTTACAAATGAAGGTTTGACATTCGGTTATTTTGGTTCATAATTTGAATCCACCACGGTTATGCAACGGCACGCGATTAGTCATTAAAAAATTAATGAAAAAAATGTTATCAAAGCCATCATTTTAAATGGCAAATTCCGAGATGAAAATATATTATTACCGCGAATCCCTATTTTACCCACAGATGTGCCAATACAATTTAAACACCTTCAATTTCCAATTAGATTGTCATTTGCAATGAGTATCAATAAGTCTCAAGGCCAAACGATGTCTGTCTGTAGCTTAGATTTGAGCACATCATGTTTTTCACACGGAAATTATACGTGGCGTGCTCTCGAACCATCCAGTTTGTGTTGGCGAAAGATGGGATAACAAATAATATTGTACATTCTGTTGCATTAAGGGATTGATATTGTTTTTTACTATTATTATTATAATTAGCGATATATATCATTTTTAAGGATCAATTTTAATAAATTATTAAAAAAATAAATGTTTTTTCATTTTTATATTCCGTCACCGTTCACAGCACTCCATACCTCTTCCACTTATATACCACATCCTAGCACACTTATATTAAATTAGTTATTTTTTTTAGCAAAATATTCTCTAGAATTAATTTATATGACAACACAAGGTTTGTCGGATCAGCTAGTTTAGTTATAATATATAATTGTTAATCCCGCGTCAAACGTAATTATTAACGAAAACCAAAGTCTCGTATATTTCATTAACACCGAGTAGACTTGCGACATGTTAGTTACTTCGTCTCCAAAACGTAATAATCGAAAAACCTATACAATCCATTTCCGTTGTGTTGGCTGAAAACTCCGTATAGACCACACCACACGCCTAGGTTGTTACGGTCGAAAGTACTACGTGGATAAGGGAATAATAAATGTATATGCATTGGTGTAACTATGGGGTTGCGGATTGTACGTCCAAGTTTTAAGTATGCCCCCGAGGTGTTGTTGTAAACTAAAAGAGTCGATAGCGATGAAGTCACTGCAGTGAACTATTTGTGTTCCTCCAAAATTACTGGTTTGTTCGTGCTTATGGTTATGTTGTCGGTGTTGATTAGGCTTAGTGTTCAGCTCTTGAACGTACGATTATCATATATTTATTTTCTACACAATAAATATTACATGCACATTGTGTACGAGAAAGACGGTCGTATTTTTCTACGGCGAAGTGGTCTTAATAATACAAGATCGTTAGTAAGTCTAATTTGAAACCATAGAAATTTTAATACCCGCGGTGTATACGAGTATGTACATGCACTACGTTTTCGTACGTTCGTACATTTCCACGGACATCAGTATAACGATTACGTCGTCAGTAATTAGTGTGTCACGATGGTGATTTGTGCCGAACATTTTGTACGAGTAAACCACACCCTGTATAATTGACAAATATGTATTCACTAATGCTTTTGTTGTTTTGAAGGTTTGATTTACACACATCTAGTGTGAAACAACAAAAAAACGTAAAATATGCACGAATACGCGTAATACGCATGAATGATTCAGTGCTATGTAAAGCGAAACGTACGTCGGTGTTCTCCAAATAATTGTCGATTGTTTATTGAAATCACAGACAACTCGTTTGGGTCCGGGGTCAAAGTTTTCGAAACGACACTAACCATAGACCTTATGTAAATACCGTAACCGAATAGTGCAACAACAATATCGCGATAACAATAACACTCAATATGCACATTGTAGCAACGGGATTTGACCGGAAAAACGTAGTACCTTTATTTTTATTCGAATTTTAACATTCAGAAAAGCATAACACATACGGTTCGGATAACTGATCGAAATGCAAAATATTAATAACGTATTCTATAATCATTATTGTCATAGTCGACGGTCCGCGTAGAACATTGTAATACGTTCGACGGTATTTCGAATAAAACGGAGCACTCGAAAAACAAATCGTCCAATGGACTAAAAGTTGACAAGAACGTTGTCCGTGAGGTTAGTTGCACACGTGTTTCACGGATTTTTAAAACCAGAACGGCTCGTATAAAGAGCGGTACATCATCCTTTATTCCGACGATGCGTCCGCCGTAATACACTATTCCGTATTCAAAGCCTTGTTGAACTGGAAAAGAAATATTTGGAATATTCTAGACGATAAAACAGACCCTGTCATTATGAGAAAGAAAGAAAAAAACCGTTTCACCGACTCGGAGACGCGTGAACATTACGTTTCAGTCCTAGTTGTTTCGTTCGAACAAAAACCTATGTGTGTTTATTAATATAAACACCGCGAGCCGCCCGTATCATCTACATTTTCACCGCAGGCATTCGTACACAATACATCGTCCATTGTTCGACAAATCAAACAGCCGATTAGAGTAATGCTAACACGGATTACAATAAAACGCTGCGTGGTCAATAAAACGAAATTAAACTCATCGTAATTATTTTTCGTGCACCATTTGACTGTTGATCTAATTATTTGGTTATTATTGGGGAACGGATTTATATGCAAATGCTTACATAGAATCGGATTAGTTTTTTTGAGATCTTATGAGAATCGTCTCCCCGATTTAGACTATTTAGTAACATTTATATTGTTTCCCATAGTTTGCATATTTCATTGGTGATTGTAGTCTTATAGTGCATATTTTTATTTACAGCGCATATATTTTTTTACCTTATATTTTTTTCACAACCACATGATATGAAATAAAGACCGGTCGTTATTGCCAAAAATAATATGACATAATCGTATGCACCACATATTATAAATATTTTTTTAATATAGATGTAGAAATATAGAAATTCATACGATAGATTTGAACATTTTAACTTGACGGAATTATGGAAACCGATTAGTCAGTGTCGTGCACGAATGCACGACACTGACTGATTTTTACGTGTACAACTGTCCCAGTTTTTATGTCTAGTGATTTTTTTTTTTATTATTCGTTCGTAACTTTAAAATGCCTAAAGTAAAAACACCAATTAAGAGTTGTTTCAAACCGAAGGATTAATTTTGTATTGCAATATTTGTGAAATTTTCACATAATTTAAAATAAAATATTTTCGATTTAATCACAAATGCATATTGAAGAATAGCTGTACACCTTGTAGCATATTTCAAACATTTCTTGTGCACATAAATCCGTTTCCTAGTTAAATTTTTGTTATACATTCATTACGGACATGTATACACGAACACATAGAGTTTATTTTACGTGCGCCAAAAATAATATTCACGTTTTCATTTCAACACGTTTTCGTGGTTTTCGACCGTGGGGCACAGAACATCACGTCGCACATCACCGATCCGCGTACGCTTACCCGACCGGGCGGAAAGATGGGACCGTGACACTAAACATTACCCAGTTATACCGTTTGTGACCGTCGGTCAACGGCGTCGAACTCTTTACCGAGGTCTTTGAATCGAAGTTCGGCTGCTCCACCGTACAAAAACTTCGTCACAAAATCGAAGCCAAACGTCAATACACTTTTCCCTACAATATAATAATATAATACTTGTAACCTGTTCCGCGAACGCAGGGGCGTAAAAAAAAACAGTACATGTGGCTCGCGCGGAAAGGCCATTTCAGTCTTGGGCGAAGTGCAGCTCTCGCCTGCATAGGCGCAATTAGGCTAAAAATCTGAGGGGGGGGCTACAGCCCTACTACCAAAACTGAAAATAACCTGTAGGTAGATTACCTATACTCTTATATACCATGTTAATATATTTTAGATATTGACCCTAGTCGGATTCACTGCAATGCGTCTTTTTTTGTATGTGACACTATTGTGAGTTAAGTTTGCTGTACGCAGTATGCCATGTATAACATGGAATATTTTTGGGGGAAATAAGCCCCCTCCCTAGTTGCGCCTATGCTCGCCTGTAGCTCGTGACACACGTCGCCCTCGACCGAAACAGCTTACTTTCCGTCCTTGCCACGCAATATACCGTTTCGGGTAAAAAACCATCGTAGGGGCCGACATTCAGATGTTGTGATCTTTTTTCACCACGTTTTCCGTCCGACTAAACGTTTAGGACTTCGGCATCACCGCCACCGACGCACAGCGGACGTGCAACGAAATTTTACTGACTACGTATTGCACACTCGAACCACGCGATCCAGGACCGCTAGCGTGTACACGAATGCGAGCCGAACGTACCCGCAAACCGACATTGACGATTGTTCGGACGGCGTGTCGAACGTCCAAAGAGTGGCTCGCACCGATCCATCGAGAATCGGGTTTTTTACCGACCGAACTCCACGCGGACTTAGTGTACGCGGCGGTGCAGCTGTTGGCGAACGGATCGCGAGTGTGACGAAACCTTCGCGATGGGTTCGACTCGCAGGTGTACGCGCGGGGCTTAAAAAAGAATCGAACGGTCCCTTATCGTGCGCAGATTGCCCACCCGCGCGCTCATATCGTCTTATCGTGTGCGTGACCAATGCAACGGTCCCGCGGATGCCGATGATCGTTTCCGGTCAGCAAGCGCGTACGAGACACAGGAATCCGAGCGTCGGACATTCCGTCGTACACACATAACGCACCAAAGGGGTTACATTCGAATCACGGGATCCGTAAAAAAAATGGGGGTGGGGTGGTGCTTGAAAAAAGAAAACCGAGAAAACAGTTATCGCGGTGAAATACTCATACATTGTGAACCACGTGATGACAATAATATGAAACGTGTGAAACACAAAAGTAAAACTCATGAAAATAAAAACATTTGTACGCGCAGTGAATTCGTGGCCGTTTAATATTAATATGGTGTAAAAGATTTTGGCGGGTGATCCAATGAAATCGGTAATCCGAGTGGAAAAAATTTCCCGCCAATACCGCGCCAGTGTGCGTGCACGTGAACCGCACCGGTGCGACGCGAGGAGGTTTTCGACACGACTGCGTGGAAGGCTTCGCCGGTCGCGTTTCGGTATGGTTTATTATTTTACACGTGCTCGAACGGTGTTCTCTAAGACGACGACGGAAAAATATGCATTTATGCGTTTATCGGAACGTTCGTACGAAAACCTAAAGCCGTACGTGAATCGTGCAACATACGAACATTTCACGGCGGTGATGTGGGGAGGGGAAGGGTATTACAGTCAAAGATAGTTGAGAAGAAATAGGTGTTGCGCGTCGTTGTTCGTAAATGTTCGTATTCGAGTGGATGGTGTCGCGCGCGCGCGTTCCCGGTTCCAGTCAAAGCCGTTGGGTTCGGAAGAGGGTGTGCGATCGCCCCTCCACCGCTGGGATATTTATACGCATGCCAAGGTGTTGTATGCGTGGGAAACGGTCGTGGCGTATATTGGTTGGATGGGGGTGGAGTAGGAAAGGAGGAGGAGGGTCGATCCCCTTCCTTAATTTCGAACGGGCTTGGGTTGGGTACACGCATCTCCGCGGTCAGGGCTACGGAGACTTCGCCACGACATCGAACCGCTTGATTAAATATACAACACCGTCTGGACGAGTGTTCAACGGCTACGGAAATAGTATTAACGCTGCAAACCATTCGTAATAACGTTATTATTTTCCCCGTTGTTGTCCGAATTACTATGGACCGCGTTGAACGACATTATAAATCTCTTCAAATCGCTGTGTTATTGCTGCATATGCGTGTTGTTCAATACGTTCAAACGAAAACGATTTTACGTATGGAAACACATTTTATCAATCGTAAACGCATCGCAACATGGCGCGTACGCGGTTCACGAAATCCCGTACATCATTATAAACCGCGACCAAACGAATACCGGATAGAGATTAAGGACAGCAACGGTTCACAGTTGTGTAAAAACGGGCGAAAGCAAAATGCACGTAAACACGTAACAGTGCAGTATACTCACTTTGATGTGCGTCAGCATGTAGTGGACGAGTATCTTTTTTTGGTTTTCCCTCTCCTGCTCGGCCCCCAGCCCGAAATGCAAGCCCATCACCAGCGTGGACATGAGCCCGCCCTCCTGCATGTCCCACAGCCACTTGGGGAAGTAGCACATCATGGCCTGGAAGAACAGAGCGAAGCACACCCACTGGTAGTACGTGTAGTACTTGGCGGGTCCGCCGCCGTGTTCGGGACCGACGCCGGGGTGGGCGACGCTGACGCCCTGTTCGCGGCGAAACGCGTCCGGCATGGTGAACGTGGACGTGATCCAGCAGTACGTGTTCACCGGCCGGGTGGGCAGACCCTCGACGATGCACTGGATCGGGTTGCCCACGTACTGCGTGGCCGTCACCATGATCGAGCAGGCGAGCAACACGACCGTGGTGAACGTGACGTGCACGCGAAACACGGTGCCGTCGACGGTCACCGGCCGCCGCTTGATGAACTCCTTGAGGCCGCCCAACAACTTCAACATGTCTGCGGTGACGAGTTCGATGACGACGACGACAACAACAACAACAACAACAACAACGGCGACGACGACGACGACGACGACAACAACAACGACGACGCACTCGTCGTTGTCATGGCACGCCGCGGAAACGCTTGGCGACCGAACGTCCCTGGTGGCGCGCGGCTAACGGCGGCACGTGGTCGTCGGGTCGAAAAGAGTGCGCGCCCGGGGTGATGGGGCTGGTAGGCAAGTGAAATCGGAAACTGTAACGGACGTAAAGACGGACCGGAACGAACGCGTTTCCGTGTCGCGGCGTAAACAAACGCGCGGGCACCGAAAAAAAAACTATCTCACTACAATGGCACGAGGAACGCGGCAGTACCACTACACCGGTGTTGCCGCTGCCGCTTTACACACAGTACTACCGATGCCGCCGCCGCCGCCGCCGCTGACTACCGTACGCGTCGGCACCCTCCCCCTTTTGCGCGCGCGGGACGTAACAGGGCTCATCGCACGCGCGCGTGTGCGCGCCCGTGTCCAGTACTGCCAACAATCACGTACATAACAACAATAACAATGACAACAATAACAACAATGACTTCTCGAACTGTTAATGCACCGGACACGACGCTGCTGCTGTAACTGCTGCGCGCGCACCGGACGGCCGCGGTTTTCGTGTCCGTCGGTTTCCGGCTCTCACTTTCGCCGACTTTCCGGTACGCGTGTCGAACGAACCGTTCCGTTCGCGCCGGAGTGATGGAAAATGAGAATAAACCTTCCCTCCCTCCAATGCGGCAGATGGATGCAGTCACCAGTAGGACGGCGCGGGACCATGTTGCAACGTAACGTTTTACGCGCGCGGGAAAACGAGGCGGCGAAATGAGAACCACTGGAACGTCGTCGTCACGAAAAAGGGGTCGGTCGCGGACGCGGCGGCGGCACCGGCTACGATATGACGGTCGTCGTCTCTGCCTACCCCCGAAACCGTATGGCCGTTGTTTACCGATTAGACCACCGCAACAACGAACAGTGAAAGCGGGTGGTGGAAGGGGACGAAAGATATGAACAAATTATCGTCCGTCTAAATCTTGTATTTTTCTCCTCTTTCGATCCTCCGGCCGACCGAGGAATTCCTGACCGGGAAAATCTGTTCTACCCGACACGCGCAATGTGTACACGCGTGCGACTTTCACTCGGCGTTGGCCAGGTTAGGTGTGGGAATGCTGGAGTGCGAGAGCGTGGGTGCGTGTTTGTGAACAGAATACGGATAATAACGCTACGAAACAGCGAAATCTCGACTATAGCGTCGCACCCGGTGGTGTTCACTTATAGTGTGTACGTGTACAACTACGCGTTACGTGTGTATGACCAAGAGAGCCACGACGATATTAATCATAGGCTTCGTAGCTCGTCGGATCTCCGCACGGGTGACTGTGGGCGAAACGTCTTCGGCGGTGGCGGCGGTGGTATCAACCGAGCGTACCCGGTGCACACATGTGTACGTATATGTTTGATAACGATTAAATTACACCGGTAGGCGAGTGTTAGTGTGTTACGAAATTACAACCTCTTAAGGAATCTCCATCGTCTACGTTGTTGTTTTAGGTTCACGGCAATATATATATATATATATATATATATGTGTGTAGGGGTGCGGAATCCGTCTGAAAAACATTTGGTTTATTACCCGGTCCCTACAGACGGACGGCTACACGAAAATCAACCGGGCGAGTTTTGGTTTCGATCGTCGAATAATGTTGTGGGATGGTAAAAAAAAAACTCGTCCGGGTCACCCTTCGTGTTTCTAACGTCGAGACGTCGGGCACGCGCGTCAAAAGAATACCGTCTCAAAAAACGTCGTCTGTCTAATCGCGTGTACCTCGTGTTCATTTAATTTATGCAACGCGGCGAGTTGTAAAATACCCATTTTATGATCCGTACGCAACACAATATTAGTGCGATCGAAAGACTAACGTTGTAAATACTTTCAGGTCGACGACGATGGTGCGCGCTGGGCATAGGTACAACTATGGAGCGCGATAGGGCTTTAGCACCCCCGAGTTCAAATCTAGCACTCCTGTTTTTTTTTCTAATTTATATAATCCGTAATAATTACAGTTAAATACCATATTATTTTTGTTTTCAGCAATTTCAGCACCCTCAATATTCGGGCTCTAGTTGAGCCCATAGGCCTCCGGCGTTATCGGAACGCCCGCTACGGCGTACAAGAAAACCACCTCACGCACGGCGCGAACGGAAATCGATCTGCTCCTCGTACTGCATCGATCGATGTCCGTCGAACAACAACGCGATACGCAAACAAATACTCCGCGGTCAGTGTCATTGCGCCGGGTGGTCCCAGTCGTCAGTCGTACGACCCGCGGCCGCAGGAATCCCGAACAATGTGCCGCCCCGTTATTATTGTTATTTTACGTGTACATTCGTATATGTTTTTTTCCCCTTTTTTTTTCTCTCCTCTTCTATATTAATCCGTTGCGTACACACGTGCACGCGGTGTATGCCTCTCCTCTACGACTGTGAACACAGCGGCGGCCGTGAACTCGCGCCCGCGGACCCGTCTCCTTTTGTCTTGTGTCGGTCATCGAATCTGGATGGGTTACTACTTTAAGTGCCCCCGAAAACCGGTTTCCTCGGCAATCATATCGTTCCGTACGTGTAAATGTATTGTGAGCGCGTACGTCTGTGTGTGCACCAGAAATTCAATTTTTTTTTTTATTGTGGAATCCGAATTAAAAAAAAAAAAAAAAAAAAACAGTTGGACTTTAAGATGTACACACACACACAATACATATAAAACCCAGCACCGCGTAGCGTATATTTATATCCTTCGAAACATTTCTCCACACCCATGATAATAGGTCCTAGTCCGTATATATATATAATAAAACGGTAGATATTATTATATTATACCGAAGATAAGGTCGGGTTTTTTGCCCCTCGTGTACAAGTTTGTAACGACCGAGGAGGCAGATACCTTTTCATCTACCGCATAACAATAACGTGTGACGAGTGTCCGTGTCGAGTACGTATGGAAAAAATGACCGCAAGGATTTTCGCCGTTCAAAACATACATCCTGTTATTTCGTATACATATATTCGGTGACTTAAATGACATTGACGAAGGTTAAATAACACGAATAGATCAAGTATATATACTACCTATCCGTATATAATGTATGTAATTATTGGCTTATGCGCGTGCGCATGGTTTATATTCTTCGAACAGCCCATGGAAAACTCTTCTTACATAGAACAGTGCGCATTTGTTTACTAACTAAAACACAATAGAGTACAGACGACAAATAGTTAATTTCTACAGACCTGGTTTTTCACAATATGTTCGGTAAACAATGATATATAAACAATAATTATGAATTAGGATACCTACATAATTTCATTTTATGAAAAATATTTTCTTTTTTTTCTAACAAAAAATAAATAAATAAAAAAAATATGTAAATCTACATTAAAGTGACTTACGACGTTTAACCGAAGATTATTATAATTTGACACATTCCACAACAGAAATTAATTAAATTTGATTCAGAAATTGAAAACTTGTCTTGATACATCTAGAAATATGATGAAAAAAACAATTATAGCTGATACTTTACCGACAAGAAACGTTTTGAATGTGGTGAAACATAAACTCTTCATAGTCAGTTTAAAAACATACATTATTTAAATTAGATATCGAAATTTAATTGAAAAAAAAATCTATTGGTTATATTTTGAAAAACAGTATAGATAAGTACCAGATACCTATACGAAATGGCAGTAAAGAAGGTTTCTTCTGTTATAATTATTCATTGTATTATAAACTAAAAATTTTACATTTAATATTTTTTTTAAAAATTCGACATTTCTGATTCACCGTCTTTCGAAATAATTCAATCACGTTATCGGTGTATCGCATTGTATATTATTAATTTTTATTCTTTCTTATTATTTTCGTTTAAAACTGAAAAATATAAGTGTAACAAATAAATCAATTAGTTATTAGTGTTATGACTAGGGCTGTAAATTTAATGTATTAAAGAATCTTAAAAAACGCATTAAAAAAATCAAAATAATGCAATAAAATATGCACTTAAAACGCAATAAACGCAATAAAATATGCACTTAAAATGCAAAAAAATGCAATATAAAATGCCAAAAATTATAGTATAAAATGAATTTAAAATAGTTTTTAATTTCATTTTTATATTTATATTAATATTAGAAACAGGATATTATAGCTTAGTTCATTACATTACATGCATAAAAGCGTTTATTTAATAAAAAAAATATTAATAAAAATGTTGATTGATATTTTCTATACTTAATGATTCACCTGAAACATTTTTAACATTTTTATTTTTTTTTTTTTAGTATGTATTTTGTTAAAATAATAAAACAAACTTAAATACATTTATTTTCTGATACCTTATTCATCTTAAGTTTTTAAAATTTGATTAAAAATATCGAAAAATGAACTAAAAATACACAAAAATTACCTAAAAAATTAAAAGCGCCAAAAAATGCAAAAAAAATTCAAAATAAATGTTTCATAAATGGATTCGTAGTTATATAATTCAAATTATGTATTTAGAAAGCTACTTTTTACAATCAACAAAAAAAAATTCACTTTCCTACAAATTCACAGCTCTAGTTATGACTTATGGCGATACTCATTTTCACATTTAATGTGATCAAAGCTACGATTATATTTCAACACCTATTTTTAATTCAATAACCGTTAGCTATATTAATATCCTGCTTAAACTTAATTCACAAACGTGATTTCCAGCACGTAGACATGATCGCTAAACACTTTTTAAACACTTTTTATTAGTACTTCCTGAAAATGCAGTGTATTCGACTGACTAACATGGTATTATCATATATAATGTACACATACATTAAAAAAACAATTAAAACATATAAAAAAATTTATCTTTAAGTATGATATTTATAAACTTATATAAATAATATTAAAATCGGTATAATGTTATACTTTATTTACTATTATTTACACGATATTTAAAAATCGATCAGTCAGCCAAAATGTGTATAACTATGTTTGCTCAAATGCATATTTTCAATGTAAATGTGAACAAAACAAATGTAATAATAGATATTTAACATTTGTTCATAAAATGATTCATTAATTACTTACTTATTAATTATAAGTTTAAGATTTTTTTTTTTTTTTTAGTGTTGTACAGCTAAAGTGTTGCGACAACAATTTTTACAACGAATCTTACCGATATCCGCTTGTTTCCTGCTGGATGAAAGGTAGAACAAAGAATATTAACTTGAACGATCCAAATTAGTACTACGGTGTTGTTTTCGAATATTAGACATGACAATGTTGACAATAGGTGATCGTCGATTATCACCATGGCCTCGGGTTACGGCCGGTTTACTAAAGCAGCTTGCGGTGTCACGCGTCAGACAGTCATCGTTTCAGACGAAGTCTGCCCGAGTAGGTTTTACTACTTGAGTGACAAAAGACAGACTATCGTCCAATAGCGATAA